ATTGAATATCCGGAGCAGATATTAACAAAGTCATTCGCGCCTTAGCTCGTAGAACGTAACGTCAAAAGACGGGGAAGCTGGGCGACGAAGCGTTTAGGCTTGAAAATTTACGCAACGTCCCTGTAGGACGTATCTTATATTTCGAAAACTGTCGCTCTACTTAAAGCTCAGAAAGAGCTCTCCTCTCTCTTTGTTCATTCTCGTTACAGCTCGAACACTCTTCGAATTATAAAATAAAAGACCGGGAGATTCTTTACGTTATCAAAAGCGAAGAGACGCGAGCAAACGGTATAGTATATTTTATTCATCGTTTAACTTCAAGTGCGTCTTGTTGTAGCGGTAGAGATTTAATCGCGCAGATAGCTGTATAAAACACGATATAAAAGTGTTTAAATAATTTTCACCGCTGAACTATAGCTCCGCCGTTGAAGTTCCCGTCAACTTTCGTTGGGAAGAAAGCTGCCCGCAAGAGACGATTGTTCCGCGGATGATGGAGCATCGAGCCATATAATGTGATAACGGATTACGGTATACCTGCAAATAAAATATTTAAAAAAAAAAACGAAACGTAAATACGAATCGCGCAACAATCGCGAGATATTGAATCAGTTCTCGCGGATCGGCGATGCTTGCGCAATCCTCCGGTATACGCGATTACTGCTCTATGCAGCGTAGAATTTTTCACAGAGGAGCTCGGAAATAGTGCCTGATAATGTGACTTTTCGAGATGGAAACACAAACGGGTTGCGCCGAGCGACCGCAGCCTCGCGCGCGCGCGCGAGAAACCGGTTTCTCCTATCCAGTCCTGTACGCCGCGATAATTGCGGGAACTAGTTGAAACAATACGGCCCCCGCACATTGTAGCTTTAATCCCCGACTGCGCTCCTCGCATTTTACATTCCCGATACTATCTTGAATATCTATCGCGTATATAAATCGTTCAATTAATAATTCGCTTGACGTTTACACATGGCGTGTGTAAATTTATAATCCTGGGTCGTCGTGCGTAAATATAGTTTCCCCCTCCCTCCGTTGATAATACACTTATCGTCAATCTATCGCGTTTCAACGGATGTTAATATTGGAGTTTCATGAGGCATTTTATGCGAAAATTCTCTCACTGTGCAAATATCGATGTCGAAAACATTTTTCGCGAAGCAATAACAGTTCCTTCGTCGGCATATTCACGTTATTGTTTGTGTATGCATCACGATCTCGGTATTATATTTCAATAATAAACACCTTCCCGACACGAATTTGAAATCGATTATTCTTTGGGACAGACGTAAAATTACTCCTCGTCATTTTGCACGGATATCGACAATTTAACAAATGCTAAAATTAAAACTCACGTCTTCTTATGAAACACTCCCACAAAATTCGAATCAGAAACTTTCTCGATTTTTAGTAAAAAATTTAATAATCAATCTGTTTAATTCATATTTGCATTTCGTTGCTCTTCGCGTAAAGTTAACTTGAGATAACTCCATCTTATTTCAATTCATTTCCTTTTATTCAATTTTTTTATTAAAATAGTCATCTTGCATTTATCTTCAACACAGCTTTATCTTAAAAACAGTTGGCATCGTAATTTCATTGATTTGTTTTTATTCTATCTAAAATTGCGAAATATGGTGTTCATGTTGTGAAATATGTTGTATATTTAATAGCAAAGTATACCTATTTTTTATTTTTACTCTTGTTTTACTCTCGTACTTGTCTTACTTCAAAGGAAACGTGAATGAAATTAAGTTTCGCAAAATCTCCAACAGACGGTCCAGAACGATAACGAGGACAAATGGTTGAGGAGAAAAAAAATCGACAGCAGCCTTCTCTGATATATCTCTTTCTGTTATTTGCATTTCTCAAACGCAGCATAAATTGTCGTATATAGATATTACAAATTAGAAATAACATCACATAGCATTTCTTAATATGGGAAAATGCGTTCGCAAAGGATCACTAACGTATCGAGAAGCCGCGGCGTTAATCGCGAGCAAAACTATCGCGAAAAACTACGTAATCGGACTTTCATATCGCGCAAGGTACAAAAATATCCAAAGCACAGCGAGCGTCGCGCAAACCGTTGCTGTGCGACATTACGAATATTATCTGTCCTCTCTCCCCCTCTCTCTCTCTCTCTTTCCCCACGATATGAGAAACTGTCATTCTCATTTCCACCCTTTCGCCATGAAGAGCGTACTTCATTAATCCTTGTCCTCGCAGTAACTTAACGTTTAACCCTGAACAGTATAAAAAAGAATATTCTTTCCTTCTGTCTGAAACGTGAAAAAAATTGAGAAAAATATTATCTACTCGGTATTTGTATTGATCCTTGAACAAATTTTGTAAGAAATTTTTGCAACCTCGAAAAGATAATTTGGAACGAATTTAGAGATTCTCCCTCTTTCTTTCGCATATGTTTACATTGTCTTATACCATTTAGGATTAAACTTTTTACTGGATCATCATCGCGACGCTATTGCGCACATTCACAAACACATAAATATTTCAAGAATATTTATGGGCACTTTTACGTACTTCGATTGCTACCGGGTGGAAAAACCTTCGCCCGCTCATGAGATCAGGAAGTTTTTCCTTGACAGCCCGTAAAAACAATTATGTCGTAAATGAAGGTGAGACGCATAAACGGGCCTATACATATACATCCTGCAGTATGCAACGCTATTTGCAACATTCGCGCGCGTAACGCACATCGTTTCGCAAATCAATCCTGTTAACGTTTCGCTTTGTCGAGAAACAATCGCTACAAACGATAAATAATGGAGGCAATCAACGGGACGCGCTTTTCCTTTTTTTTTCTTTTCTTTAATCGCCCTTGTCACGCAAGCGACGGGACTGTTCGCCGCTGTAACTTATCGGTAATTGAATTTTTGTTATCATTTGGACTTCATCCAATTCTTTTTTACGATGTGTTCCGTGCAGAACCACCATCAGGGATACGCCTCGAGAGAGAACATCGTTAGATATTAATATCTATCTTACATATGATATATGTATATATTATATATATATATTTCGTAATATTATTATTTAATTCTTTTTCCAGGAAAAAACTTGTACTGTTTCCTCTGTCTTACTCTATACAAAAAACGAGATAAACCTTTGTAACGCCTTCAATAAAATTCTCACACACTGTAAAAACGTGATTAACGACGGCATCACACCGCCGTTGTCACATTATTCGACATTATTGTGTTTATCACGATATATAATATTTCAGAAAGCACATGCACATACAAATGGTTCCATCCATGTTTAAATACCCTCTCGACGGTATAAACGGACGCTTCAATAAATTTCAAAACTTCACTGGGGGAGATGGGGGGAGTGTTATACATACGCACATACCGGTTATAAAATCGAATATAAATAAAATGATTACAAAGAGTTTTCGTGATTTTCAGCTTTTTTTCAATAGCTCTCACACTTGACGTTTATTTTGCATAATAACTTCGAATTTGTTATAAAATACATCATTATATATGTGTATATATTATATATATATATATATGCGATATTTGCAATATAATATAAATTATATCGTATTTGATAATATATAATATACGCGGACACATTCACATTTGCATATAAAAAAAAAGTTTTATACTGTATAGGATTGATCTTTCATGTGTAAAACACTGTGTAACCCGCTCACAACTTACACATGCATTCGTAGTTAACTAATAACAATTAAACGAGGCCGCGAGTATTGCTTTCTATCGCTCTGAAATCGCGACGATTCCGACTTGCGACGTCGTTTGTAGCGTTTGTTATTAACAAATAACTGCTGATTACAATAGTAGTACATGTTGATATACAGTGTAAACGAAATATCATTTCCCGAGAAGAGATTCGCCTTTTAGAATTCATAATTTATACGACATCATTTCCTTTCTTTTCAATAATCAGTTTATCGAAAACAGACATCCTGCGCGATAATTTATAATTGCTTTTTTTTCAGATAGTACCTTCTCGGGCAATGATTTACGGTCATACTGTAATGTGAAGTGCCAGCTTGGCTTGAGGCGGGCCAACGTCTTTATATGTCTTTCGTTTGTCACATCAGCAAATCAGTCTTACACCTTCCGTGCAAATGCGATAGCCCAACTTACAACGCGCGGTTAACTCTCTTACACGTGGCTGTTCCTCATTCTTACGTGATCTTTTAGGTACTTCTTTCTTTCTTTTTTGTTTTCGTCCTCGTACGAAGTAAGGGGATGTAGATGCACGACTCGGGAGGATGGTGGGAAAGTGTTCTGGACGGGATTGTGTCTCTTCCCCCTTAAAGCTTTAACCGGTTCAATTCCATCATTTAGATTATCAAGAAACAAGTTTGAAACTCGACGTCGTAAATTACTCGCTCCTTATTCCAAAGTGCCGATATTTCACGTGTTTCTTTTCCATGACACAGAAATCACAAAAAAGAGTTTGATTTCTCAACATAAACTTTTTAAATTTGTTTTTTTTTTGTAAGACAAATTGGAGACTCGTTCTATATATATTTTTAAATAATCAGTTATATTCATTACTATTTTTAAATTTTTAATAGCTATCCAAAAAGATACACTTTATGTTACTGAATATTGGTAGCATTAAATCAAATATTTTAATAAAGTGCAACAAATTATATTTTACACGTTACGTAATACTAACAGATTTTGCAAATTGTTAGATTTACAAAATCTCTGAAATCAAAAGATACTACACAAAAGATCCTTGATTCATATTCTTGGATCCTGAAAATTTATAGAAATCTTTTTTTTTGTTTCGTACTCTATAATATTATATATATATATATATATGTGTATATATATATATTACAAAATCTAAAATATATATATTTTATATAAGAGATGATGCAATCCAGATCCTTTGCTGTAAAAATATTACTTAAATATGCACAAGTGTTTACACAGTTACGAGAAACAAGTTTTAAAAAAACAGATATTATGTAAGAGCACATGAAAAAGATTAGATTCCTTTTCAATAAAAATTATAATTTATTTTAATGTATAAAATAAAATATATACAAATAAATCTTTCGATACAAGTTTATCTCTTAAACAGTGAATTTCATTGCAACAGCATCGGGTTTTTTTTTTCTTGCTTCGCCGACTTTGAAAGAGACAGTTCCATTTTATCACACACATACAAAAAAAAAGAAACGAGTTCAATCTAATTCCATTGAGTCTCGTTGCTATACGCATCCTGTTGTAATGCAGTTCGTAAAGGGAAGCCTCACTTTCTGACATAAATATTCGATTCACCGGTTAAAGCGTCGCCATCCTATGTAAGTAAACTACGAAGAGGTTTTCGATTTCAATGTACTCCTCTTTCTCTCTTGCGCGAAGGTAAAACGGGAAGGGCTCGTAACCCTGTACGCAAACACATTTCTCTCGACCCCGTGAAGAAAACTTTACGCGAGCGTCTTTAATCTAAATTCTAACGATAATCACACACACTTGCTTCTTTTTCTCTCAATCACTTTGTAATTCTTAATATCACAATACCGCCACTAAGGTTTTTAATCGCGCTACGACGAAAAGCAACCGAAGCAAAGTAAAAAAAAGAACAGAACGAAAAAGGAGTAAAGTAGTAAAAAAAATTAGACACAAAAAGAACGCCGAACAAGTATTAACCACAACGTAAGTAATAGTACGTACGGTAGTCAACGAATAATAATAATAATAATAATAATGACAAATTGAAGCGAAGATTATGAACAATTTAATGGCAGAACGTTAATCCTCTCTCTCTCTCTCTCTCTCTCTCTCTCTCTCTCTCTCTAATCCTTCGTCCCTTTTAACGCGTTTAAACGACGAACGCGAGAGCTCATCTCGTCATTGTTTCCCTGTGAAAATCTGTTTGAAGCTACGTAGAGTTAAAGCGATACAGTTTCAAGATGGATCGTCTCCTTCAGATTACACCGAGAGATATAGTTCAACTCTAATCTAGCCTAGTGGATATACAATTTACGTCTGCACGATTTTACACAATTACACTTTTTAAACTATCTGTTAGACATATAATAAGAGATTGATTCTTGTCTCGTGACTTAACAAGTTTAAGATACATTCAGAAGTGTTGAAAATTGCATCGCTTTACTCGTTATCTCGTTAAGGGATCTCTTCCTAGTCCTGCCGATTGTTGAAAACGAAAAATCTGTGCGAGACTGAAAAATCTCGCAAGCTCTAAACTTTTCACAGAATCCACTCATCGAAATAATTTTCGTACTCGCAGAACTAAAAAATCTCGGGGGAAAAAAAACACGAAACATTGAAATTCAAATTGAAATAGAACAATGCAGAAGGCGGAAACGTATTGCTTTGCGCCAAACAAATTCAATGCGGCTTTATAAATAAGTTGCTGTCAAGACGAACCACCCGGTAATGATAAATATTAATAACATTTGTCAGTAATATCGCGCGGGAACGATTACCAGCATCGCGACATCGAGAGAAGATGTTATTATAATTTAATGAGATTGTTCACACATGTAGCGACTGTTATGAAGGGAGAAAATGACGAAGGGAGAAAGATCGATTGATGGAATGACGGTATGGGCTGAACATCTGTACCATATCTCTACCAACAGGATATGCAGGATGTCCCAAACAACGTGTACTCTGAGAACACCCTACTTGGAATTAATTTTGTTACAAGTGCTTTAAGAAAAAAAAAAAAAAAATTTTTTTTTCTCGGTAGAAAATGTACAAATTAATTAGAAAATGTAGATTATTTGAATTCTTACGCTTCTCAATGTAGGCTAATTCGATTTTATATACTCGAATTATATTCCTGGTGTTAATATCAATGTGTATATGTAGTGACTCGATTAATCACAAAATGATAGTCTCATTCGGATCTATTTTCTCTGGGGCTATCCTGCAAAATTTTCATAAAGAAATTCATATCTGGGAAATATATGCTGCCACATTAACTCCAACATGATCATTTCGCATTTCACAATGAAAAATGGACAATGTGCTCGCCCATGTGTGAAAGAGACACACACGGGCTTTCTTCGAAGGTTCGTCACTAAACACATCCGACGCGACTAATAGCTACCTGACTACGATTAATCAGTAAAACGCGCTCTCTAAAAACTAATTATACTCGCTACGTATCACGTGAAATTTGTTACAAGTCTTATAATCACATATCCTCTTCAAGAACGAAGACGCGAGAGACCACCTCCTCCTCCTCGCGATATAAGATCTGTTACTACTAGAACTTGTCTCGCGCTATCACAATTATCGAACGCGTAATAGGCCTCTCTCCTTTGAATACAGTATTGCATGGTGACAGCAGACAAAAAGTGCGATGATGTTGTCGTCGTTAAACCCTTTAACCGACCTCCGCCCGTTCAGCGGATTCAGAGCGTGTTAGATTCACACCTTACCTTTACAATACTTATAATTCCAAAATCTAGATCCCTAGATTTTGAAAGCCTTAAATGCTACGGTCCTCAAACTCCAACGGGCCTCAAACTCTACGTGTCTTATAAACTAGCTTTGCAATTTTTTTTTCAATTCCAATGTCCTTCAAACCTAACCGTTTAACTATTTTTTTTCTGGATTGCAATTATAATTCAACTGATTGAATTCTTTAATCACCGGATCTTATAGAATTGAGATATTTAGATTGTTCGTTTTTTTAGGTCCCAATTTTGTCAAACTATTAGGTCCGTGGACATCTAGATTCTTCGATCTTTAGATCCATGCATCGCTAGATCTCGAGATGTAACTTTTTGCGTTCAAACTGCAATTAGTTTACACTGTAAAGCAGCATTTCTACGAACTACATTTCTTCACATATCCAATGAATAAATTCTAAACACACAGAACAATCTCATTCCCGCTCGTACGTGCGAGTATCCTCGTTCAAAAAGTAGTCTCTCTCGTAAAGTGAAATGTCATTCATATAGAAAATCCAAATGTAATCTTCAAGTTAAAGGGTTAAACGCAACATCCCGCGCGATCGCGAACGTGGTGTTCGCGAATTTTACAGCGTGCCGTAAACGACGAAATCTAACCTCAGGTCCGCATTCTGTGCTTCCGCCATCTCTTAGTTTCTTTTTTCCTTCCTGGTCTTCCAATATTGTACAAATTTGTGGCTGACGCCCACAGGGCGGCAGACTGACAAAAATGGCCGCACCCGTTTTACACAAAACGGGTGATCGTTAAACGTGCAGAGCCCCGGTGTTGTGATCCCGAGGCCCCTCAATGAGATTGCTGGAAGGACCTGTAGAGTTTCTTCTTCTGCAAAGTGAAGTCCCTACTGATCATGATGGTGCCACCACGCGTGAGATTTCTGGAAAAAGAAAAAAAAGAACGAATTGTTTTAAGTTTTCGTTATGTCTCAAATAATCGCGCGCTAAATCGCATTATATAGATTTATAGAACGTGCAATATTTTGCAACGCGATGTTTGTGGAAACGGAAAAGCTGGACGGAACGAAATTATTCAGATACGATCTAATCGTACGATCTGAGTTAAGAAGGCGGTGTTGCGATACCGCTTCAGTTTATCGAAGCGAAGATGTAAATAATAATGTTACGTAGGAAACAAAAACAGGATATCTAAAGTGTTATTTCAGTCTGATAAATAAAAGAATAAACTAAATAATTACATAAAATTGCAACACACGTTAATTTTGGAGTGTAATTTAAACCGGGCTCTAATCGCGAGATTTTACTTCATAAAGTGTATACTCACTTTAAGAACTGCGGCAGCAGCATGTGCCAGGACGTGTGGTCCTGCTTCAGCGTGAGATAAAGCTCGAACGTCGACACAGTACTGGGATCGCACTGTATTCTCGACAGTTTGCGGCACATGCTGTCCGTCTCGAAGCTGATGAACAACGTGCAGCCTCTGAAACAAGCGTACATCAATTTATCAGATTTATATTGAAAAATTTAGACAAATCGAATATCAAATTAGAAATTTATTGGAGAAACGTTTACAGCGCTAGCGAATGTGAATGCGAGAAAAATAAATTTTTATTTTTAATATCAATCTTTAGTAAACGCAAATAAAACTCCATTAAAAAAGTATGAATATAATAAAATTCGATCAAATTTTTGCTGGAAGAAAAAATCGCTCCAAAATGTTTTACACAATCACCAATATCGCCTTTAACATTATTCGTGAAAAAACAACTCGGAGAAAAGTTTTGCGATATTTTCTAAATGGACACTTGTTGCGCGAAATAATATTTATCTGAATTCGCGGATTGCGCTGAATTGTTCAGATTTGGAGATCACGGGAAATCGAGGAAGGGGAGAGGGGGTGGAGGCAAGGTTTCGACGCGACTCGGAAAATTCTACTTACCGAAGGCCGCAGGGCTCGTTCTCCGCCATCGTAAGTACATCTTTGGCTATCTTGGGCAGCAGATCGGCAGGTAGAAGGACCTCACCGCAAGCCAGCTGGGCGTGTTTAGCCCTCCTGAGCTCAACCTCCAGCCTCTTCGCCAGCGCCTGACAGGCACCGTCCAATTCGTCCGTCTCGCTTCCAGCTGTAACAATTAATTAAACGGAATTAAGCGCGCGCGCTCTCAGCCTCCCCGTCGAGTAAACTAACGTTAAAGCGGTCAATTGAAAAGAAAGTGGCGGATCACTTTTTCTTCTATTTTCAGCGGCCTATCAGGCAGCTCTCAACGCAGTCCATTCCCCCAATTACTCTAAAATAAAGCTAATTCGGGTCGACTAATTGCCTCGTTAATCCAAATTAAGTTAATCACTTAGGATAAGTAACATTTAGGGTAAATAATATTTTTCACGTAAATTTAATTTTTCCGCAAATTTTCACCCAGAGTAAACATCACAACAGCTAAAAATACACTGCGAAAAATATGGATAAGCCTTCTGCAAAATATCTATCCGAGATACAAAAAGTGCGGATTGACGTAATCTTAGACATTAACATTAAATCAGCCGATATCGCCGGATTGTGGATGTAATCGAGAGCTGCCGGCGAAACGAAAAACATATTTTGCTTCTCGATTAATGATTCACGTTATCTGCCGTTATTCCACCGTAAACGTAATCCGAACTGCAATATATAATTTTAATCGCGGTTCTCGACGTCCGATTCTCATTGCCGCGATTAGATTTTTAGATGTTACCTAATTTTACGCTCGCGTTAACTCGATCGCAGCTATAATCTCGCGATTAATCGAGCGATGAGATCATCATTTTATTGTTTAAAACCGACGTCTGTGCAACGTAACAAAGAAACAGTCGTCAGGAAAGGAGATGTTCCTCTTCTCCTACCTCGCCAGGTATTTTAATTTCTCATGTGTGATCATCGAAATAATGTCCGAATTGTAACACTTCTTTTTTCTTTCTTTCTTTCTTTCTTATGTCGATCACTAGGCCGACTATCTCGAGCTTGCGTCGACCATTGTTTCTAGCGGCCGGCGAAGACGAGGTGAGGCTCGTCGGTAACGTACGAACTCGTTTGACCTCGATTTTTTTTTTATCTACCTTGTCGCGTTTAACAAAAATCGCAATCATCGTTCCGCGCCATTTAAATAAATCAACCCATCTGTTTCGTGCACCAAAATTTCCGAAACTATTACCGGATCTTTTGTTCCGATCGTCAAAGCTGCTGGAATCGAAAATACAAAATCTCACGGGCGAAGCGAATCGCAAAATACTATTATCCGCGTATTGAAAAAAAACAATTACGTTATATTTCTCGTATCGTTAGCTAGTGAAATTCTACTTGTGTCCTATAGCGATTTGAAAGAGCAATCAATGTGAAGCAATTTACTCTCTGCTCACCGTCCGTTAATCCGTATTTATTTACCGGACCATCGAAAGCGTTGAATTTTTCGGAAATTTCCATTTATAAACACGCTGAAAGGAAGAAACTGATTGGTAAGCGACGAGAACAATCGAGGAAACATGGAAAAACGGCAGCGAAGGGCATCCCCCCTCCCTCCCACCCTCTCCATTACTCCCCTCGTACGATCGGAAGACCGACGCTGACGCAACGATAATTTGAGGTTTCGCCGGTATAATCGCCGGTGTTTCTCGAAATCTGCCCGCCGTTCGTATTATCGAGCTCGGAGCGAATTTTTCGAGTGGCACAGCCGACGAAACGTGTCGCGAAAGCAAAAATCAGCTGATTCCAGCCGGCGTTGTCAGCTGAGAACAACGGCTCGCCCGCTCGCTCGATGGTGGAGAGAAACGGAGTGCCGACGATCGACGGTGGCGAAAAAATTGCGAGGGATTGAAGGGAAACAACGGCGTCGCGAGACAGCCTTTTCGGAGGTACTCACCACGGGTGTTGCTGAAGTCCACATTGACGGGACACGGCAGGACCTCCATGATATCGTGAGACTGTCGTCCAACGGCGGACGCACAATGGATGCGGCTCTCTCGTGCCCGACTTCGCCGGACGGCAGCGCGACTTTTCTCGAGGAGGAGACGTCGACGGCGAATGACGGACAGGACCGTTGGAAACGCGACGAGGGCGGCCACGGGGAACGACAGATTGGCGGTCGGACAACCGTGGTGTCGGCGCGATCGAACCCGGACCAAAAAGCAGCTTTCACCGTAGCTGTACGTAACGCGAGTGTCGTACACGAGCGGTAACCCCACACGTAAATTCACCCTTTCGACTGATCGGCCGGCGCTCGCTGACGCGACTTATATACGTGGGTTCCCACCGCGCCGATGCCAGCCGCTCCCCTCGCCGCGCGCCGCCGCTGGTCGACCGCCTAGCAACACCGCCTACGTGACGTTTCGGCAGTGCGTCCGCGCCTCGGCCGTTTCCGCGACCGCTCGCGCCGGCCTTCGGCCGCGTTCGGCACCTCGACGAGCGAGAGCGTGCGAGAGCGTGCGAGATCGCGCGAGAGAGCCGATCCACCGCCGCACCGGTGGGGACCTATCCGCTGTTGCCGGCGGTGACGACGGTACATCGGGTTTTTTTTTTCACCCACGATGCTCGTTTTGTTTTCTTCTCTTTCCTCCCGCTCCTCTCTCTCTCTCTCTTTCTCTCTCTCCCGCGCCTTCTCAATCTCTCGTCGACTACGTGCGTTACGTCGTGCAACCTTTTATCGCGGCTTTTAACGCGGCGCGGAGACGCGCGTATTAAACCGCAGGTGAAATTACTGCGTTGGCCCTTCGTCGGTAGCCGGGTTTTTTTTTCTTTTCAAGCATAGGCGATTTAGGCACAAAAATCGAAGAGATCTCCCGGTGAAAAAAGATGCGAGACGCGTACACACACACACACACACACAGATACACACACACGCTCTTCCCTCTGGCCACATCCCGGAGGGGAGAAAAACCTGTTTTAGAAATCCCGAATGAGGTGTTGTGTTTTGCTGTGGGGGCTCGGCGGGATCAGCTGACCCTGGCTGTAGCGAAGGTTATGGTAAAAAATCGTCATGGCAGAAATTACGATTTAAATTAAAAAAAAAAAAAAAAAAAAAAGTCTTCCCTCGACGAGAATTTTGATAAAAAACTTACATTTAAAAGAACGCGGAACGATAAAATCGATAAAGAAAATGTAGAACTCGCTAAAAGCTGATTGTGAAAACCGTGCGCATTGCGTAAGATTTCCAATTGTGTTAAGAAGCGCTTGCTCACACCGGCTACGCTCGATCTAACAGCTCTACCGCGGTCGCACGAAAAGTATTTCAGACTGTTGATTCACTCGACGCGATATATTTATTTTATCGTCGCGCGTAAAGAGTTCGTACTTTTTTAATCGTACTTTTTACCGTCGCGCCGGTACGCGATTAATCATCATCTCTCTTTTTTTTTCTTTTAGACGATCGTAATATTCGATTCGACACGCCGTTCGTGCCGATTTATTCCGATACCCACCACTCTATTTTTCCATTCGCAAGTCGCCCCGTCACGTTTGTTACGAAACGGAGAAAATGTTGTTTGCTTTCGTCGACGCAAGAATTATTTTTCGCAGTTGACAAATAGGTTGTACGTGATAAGTGTCTCCTTTTTTTTTATCGGCCTCTAATCCAGAGGACACGTTGGGTCGCACGCGAGAGGAGGATTTATGTAACGAGAGTTACAAGATTAGCGGCGGCTTGCGCCGTTTACGGGGCGCGCCGTTAGTTTTAATACAAAGACGGTCACGTTCGGACAATAGATTCTGACCGAGATGCATTCGGAGTAAAAGCTTCATATTCGCGCTCGAAATTACGCGCTCCGCGCTCGGTGAAAACCGCCGCCGATTATGGAAATCGCGGGACGAGAGACGTAGATAAAAGGATTAAGAATTAGACGCGAGAGGTGTGTGACCGGGTGGTCAGGGGGGAGGGAAGGGAATTATCTTTTTCTACATCTCGATTTCAAAACAAATTTATAGACGATTCTCTTAGGAGCACTCGAGATAAACACGAAGATAAGATCTTCCTGTTTGTCCGCTATGTCGGTATCTTTAATTTTTTATTTATTACTTTCCTATTTTTCAATTCGCGTTAACTCCACCGAGGGGAATATCTTGCGATTTAGATTGACGAATATGAGAGATCAGTGCCGGCCGAATGCCGAACAGGAAATATATATAAAACACGCGAAGTAACCGAACACCTGTGACTCCAAGGGGCTTCGTGGATGAAATACTACGGGGTCCCCAACAAATACCGGATCACCGGTTCCTATAAGAATCTGTGACGGCCCGTAAGATCCCCGAGGAAACCTGCCTGACAGGTCCCGGCGATCTATAAATTCGAGGTTCTATATACCGCCAGCGAGCCGTGAATCGAGAAATCCGTCCAACGAAAATGTCCAACGGCATCAGAGATCCAAATCATATCGTTGTGGATCAACAAATCGCGAGATCGTACGTATCGCGTTTTAAATCTTTCAAGTATCGACGGTATATATATATATATATATATATATCTCTCTCTCTCCCTCTCTTATCGCGTGATTATAAATATAGCTCGCGAAGCCGCTGAAGCGGCATCGGGCAGATAAAACAATAATCCGATCTCGTCCCGCGGCGGCGCGGCGGCGATCGACAGGCCGCGGATTTGCCACAGCCGAGAAGCACCGATTCCGTGCGGCACGGAAAATCCTCCTCGTCCCTGATCCGCGTGTGCCACCGCGCGGAGGCTTCGGGGACGACGAATGTATAAATCCCGACGATCCGCGAAACGCAGGGACGTGGCGTGGCGTGAACAACAACACGCCTGTAGATTCTGGAGAATAACATCTCTATCGGAAGTGCCGTTTTTTTTTATCTGCGCGGCCGCGCGTTCCCGTGCAAACAAGCTCCCGATAATAATGCCGGGCTCCGCGCGCCGGCCGGCCGGCCGGCAACGCGATCAACTTTCGCATTAGCTCATTCACGCGTCAATCAAAACACATTAATTTCGCGAGTCGCGAGACCGGAGTCGCGGGACTCCGCGAGAGGAGGAGGCGAATCACGTTTCCCGTAATTCGGTAGAAAGAGAAAGAAGGAGAAAGAGAGAGAGAGAGAGAGGGGGGGGGGGAACCTTAGCTATGGTCGTCGCTCCCCGCAACTCGGGCGATCGATCTCTTTGTTTCGCTTACGTGGAGGCGAGTACGTGATCGCGAATAACATGACGTTCGCGCTGCCTCGCTCGTTCCTGCCGCTACTCTCTTTCTCTACTAAGTGCCTCTATCTCCCGCTCTCTCTTTCTCGCCCGCTTTTCGCTCGCCCATCCTCTTTGTCTCTCGCCCGCTCGCTCTCTTTCCTTCTCTGTCTCTCGCTCGCTCGCTCTCCTTCTACCACCGTCCCTCGCTCGCTCGTTCCATCTCTGTCGGACCTCGCCGGGCGATGCGCTCTCCGATTGCATCGTACATCCGACGACATAATCGAAGAGCTGAATTTTATTAAAAACCGGTTCGCGGGCGGCAAAAACCGACGGGCTAGAGGTAATAATCATCAAAATGCACCGTGAAGCCCCGGTTTCTTGTCGCTTTTCTTTTCTTCTTGTTTTTTCGTTCTTTCTACGCGCGATCGGTATTACGCGGTGTGTAACAATTACACGGGAGCGGCCTCGGGGCGAGAGGCCGAGCGCCTACATACGAAGAGCGTAGCGCACTAATCCGGCGAATTATCCAAGAAATTACGGGAAATAAAGGGACGTTGCCGACGCGAGCGTCTAAAAGCGAAATATAATCTGTTTGCCTCGTGTTATACTGGCGCGCTGTACACAAAGCCGTCTTACGATCGTTTACGTGTACAGAGATAACGAGAGTGTCTTGTTGATATTCTTTTATCACCGGGAACGCAGGGTGTTTCATAAATGCTGAAATCGCACATCTTCGAGAAATTCGAAGACGCGAGGGGAAACGTTTGTCGAGGAAAGGAGCATAGGCTTTAATAAGACACTCTCGAAACCGCGCGAGGAGTAGGATGTCGTTATCGTTGTTTTTCAACGTGGCTTTAATCGTCCCTCCTCCTCCTCCCCCTCCCCCTTTTCCCCGTTTAAGCAAAATGCTCCACATTTTCGCCGGAGAAAACAAACTCTCTTTGTGTCGAATTTCAGCAAACGCGAGACGCCCGAGCGGTTCCGTGCGTGCGTGTCGATGCAAGTTCGTGCCTGTTTAAAGCACAAAACCTGAAAACCCCGACCTTTGCGTCACGGGATACCCCACGGCGCAGCGTCCCGAAAAATTCGAAAAGGGACAAATACTTCGCCCGGCACCCTGGTGCGTTGCCCACCGAAGGGATAGCCATCCCGGCGTCACGGACGGTCGTGTGTTAATATACGAGCAGCGTGATTAATACTCGGCCGATTAGCGACATTAATAGAAACGCGCGACGCGTGTTACATAACTCCGCGAGCCAGCGGCTCGCCGCACATGTGTGTGTGTGTGTACGTACGTGTGCGTGTGTTGCGATTGTGTGTTGCGTGTGTTACGTACATTACAGTACTATATAATCGCGACCGGTACAATCGCGCTCCACGGAGATCCAGAAAAATCGATAGTTATCGCGAATGCGCGCGCGAACGATCAGTATTATTGTCGTTTTATGTATATAAACGCGTGTGACCGGCGAAGTTATAAATATATCGCGTAACGAGCAGCGAGTGAAACTCACGTTTGGCCCATTGGGGGCTGACTTCACGCATGGCCACGCGAGCGAGAGACGCTCGCTGGCGTATATATGTACGTATATGTATGTATATACGTATACATTGTATGTACATACACCCGTACCGCACGAGGTCCCCTTCGGCCCCTCCTGCTCCGCCATCCGTTGGGCCCCCCCACAGTTGGGAACCGAGGGGAGCGACCAAGGGGGCTTGCCCCTCCGCGCCTTCTCCCCTTCGGTGGTAACAATTACAAGCGACTTTCAGCTGTGTGCGGAAGCGCGAATAATGCGAGACCGGCTAGTTTAGCGCTTTTATAGGTGTGTATATGTACATACGCGCGATCACGCGGATGCGAAAGGCGGCTGGCTCAGCTTCCACACAAACAAAACACACACACACACACACACACACACACACACACACACACACACAGCGCGTGCGCGCGAACATCGCGACGATTCGCGTTGAATAATTGCGAGTTGTGCGCTCGCACAATGTATACCTTTATTCGCGAAAACGCCGCGGCTCCGCGAGCCTCCTGCGAGACCTCGCGCTGCAAAGATTCGATTTCCTCGCCGCGATTCTTTCCGGATTCGTCCGGAAGAATTAATTCTACGGCGACAAAGCTGCAAGGACTTTTGTTTCTCGAGATGAATCCTGATATTTAAATCCGCGTGAGGATAACGCAATATTTTCGGCTGCCGAATATAGCGGCGTCGCGGAATATGAATTATAATCCAAGTGGAAGCTTCTATTTTTACATTTATTTATTTTTCGCCTCGAGAGATATGAAAAAAGCGCGTATGTATATTGATAAAAGATAAACGATAACTGCGACTGGTTCGAGAGTTAAAACGCGACCGGCGTTGAACGGTGCTCGTCAAGAGTGGCCGAGAGGGAGTGAGAACAGAGGGGGGAGGAGGGAGGAGAGAAAGAAAAAGAGATCGTGTATAAAAACTGTTAAATTATGAAACCGTTTATTTAATCCGCGATGTCCGCGACGGTCTCGCTGTCGAAGTGTCATCAAGTGATAAATCGTTCGGCGCGCGGAGATGGGGCTTCGAGAGGGCCGCCAGATATTGCGGAAAGGAGGTGGGTCAATGGACAAGGCGATAAAAATGCAATCGGAAAATGAGACGAGAGGAGAGACCTGAAGGAGAGCGCGCCCGGAGAATCGCTGCGCCGCTGCCGCGCGCGAGAAACGCTGTCCACACAAATATATGCGCACGTAAAACACGCACACGAGCGTGTGCGTATGTGTCACGCGAGATTTTTTTAGCGATAAAGCGGCCGGTATATATATATATATATATATATATATATATATATATCGCTCTACACACGTTTGCACTCTTATAGATTCTCTTTACGTGTCCGCGCTCGCGCGCGCCGAACTCGCGATGATCGAATCCGCGCTCTCGCGATTGGCAAAAGACGAAGATAATGATAGAGGCACATAGAGGTTTCGCGAATTTTCGCGCGAACCTGCACGATTTCAATGTGAATATATTGTGCCTTGCACTGGAGAAATACGTCCCGTATTGTCCCACATAATAAATACATTCATGAAATAAGCAAAAACATGTCCTACAAAGCTTCAGTTCCCCTTTGTCCACGTACGTTCAGTATTCGATAACACGGCATTGCGACACGACTGGAATCTTTTTAATATTAATTGTATATTTTGTATACATTTAATTATATACAGGACGATAAATTTTTCCACTTAGTTTTCTTTGTAATCGATTAATTTTGCAAAATATACCAAAGTATCCTCCACTTCAAATAAGAGAGCCTCTGTTTAAAATTATCGATATGTTTTGAGAGAAATAATCTCAAATATTTTCAAATAAAAAAAAGTGGACAATTTTGTTGACTTATATCCTATATATATATATAATATGTACAGTTTAATATGTTTGTACAAGTTGTAGTTCCCAGGTAGAAGACAAAAGTCATAATAACATCATTATAAATTCATATGATATTATAAGGATGTTATGACTTTATTTATCACTTATAAGTCACAAATAACGTAAGAATTGACGTCATTGTGACATTATGTGCTTCTTTGTTCTAATTAATTGTACATATTTTATATATATACATAATATGCATGTTTTATTGCATATAAAATAAACAATTGTAAGTATTTTTATACGATAAATTGTAAAGATACACATAATAATTGCTGTAATAAATTCATTGAATATTCGAAAGCATTTATCGAATCACAGAATGACGTAAATTTGCGTGAGGTTGCTTGGATAAAAAATTGATTTCTTTCATGCATAACAATCAATTCCTGTTCGGAAAGCAACTCGGTAAAAATTTACGTCATTCCCGAGATTCCGACTGTCTTATCGGCGCGTGAGATTGAGGATGAGAGAGTGAAAAAAAAAAACACATTCTAAATTGTACGCGTACGACATTGCCTTGATACAAACGACAGACATTCGATCCGACATATTAGACGCCAATTAGAGAGTGCATGATTAGAGATAACGCATCGGTTTTTTTTTGGTCGCATGCTCTACGAGATTAGAGAACAAACATAATATATAATACCGACTTAATATAAACGTAGCGGCGAGATAATTTTGATCGATAGACTGACCACAATCGTCTATTTATTTTCATTAAACTTATCTCGATCTTCCGACTGATTGTGTATGTTAGTCATAACGATAAAGGGGCGAATTAAGTGTATGACATGATCGAAGGGGAGAAATTATTGTTTTTGTTCGCGTATCGAGCATTTAAAGGTGGATATACATACGTCGAAATCCCGAGAAATTTTCGTAGCAGCTTCGCCAATCTAGGTAATTGTCCCTATTAGTGCAGTGCTTTTATATTTAAATAAGTTAAAGTATTAAGTTAATAAAAAAATATATTTTGTCTGTTTATTTGTGCCAGTTTATTTTTACGACTTATTTAAATATAAAAGCACACTAATAGGGACAGTTACCCTAGATGCGGCACGACATGACGCACGTTCGACAAGGATTATTTATATATATATTTGCGAAGTGTAGGAGCAAATTTTACATTCTCAAATAAAATTGTTAATTTACAGCATATACCGTTATTCGGATCGGTAATATGAGAAATTAAGTTAATATGAGAATCACACAAGCACCGCGACGTGTGGCATACATAATTGCATCTTTATTTTATTATTACTTACGAAAAAAATGTTTTCTTTCCATACCACTGAATTAGAGAGGGATCGAGAAAGAGGGAGAGAGGGAGGGGGGGAGGGAAGGAGTGGAATTGAAGACAAAAGGTGAAGAGAAATGGTGATGTGAGTGGAAGAGAGAAGAGAGAAGGGGAAGAAATGGAAAGAGAGAAGTGGGACGAAAAGATGAGTGGGGAAAGAGTGAAGGGGAGTGGAAGAGAGAGATTTTTTTCTCCGTGATTATATCCATCAATCCATGTCGGCCCGACAGCATCCTGAGAGTCAGCGTGGCGCCACCTAGCACCGTCGCGTTTAACTGACACGCGACAAGTGTAACGCGGCGTCGCGGGCCGTCGCCGCCGTGCGTCGCTCCGCTCGCCAATGCGCTCCCCGCACCGCACGTCGTTCAACGTTGCGCCGTTGTCAGTCCCCGTGCCCCCGTGCCTCTTGTGCATGATCGTTCCGCACGTCGGTCCACATTGACGCAAGGTAAACCCGCTGGACGAAAACGGGCGAGGAGGTGGCGATCGTGTTCCTCGCGGAAAGGGCACGCTTGACCTCGCGCTAAACTTCACGTCGCTTTCACAAAACGGAATCTCGCGCCCGTGTGTATGTGTGTGTGTGTGTGTGTGTGCGTGTGTGCACACGAATACGGTGTGCATGCGTGAATGCTCTGGAGTGCGTGAGATCGCATCGCATATCACCTCCCGATCCTCCCGTATCTCCGCGTTACCTTATCTGGTAACCAGGTGATACGCGCGATCCTCGCGAAGGAATCCGCGCTCATGCGCGTGCATGCTGCATAATGCTTGGTTGCGTGGGTTGCGTGCATATTGCATGTATGTATGGTGTGTGTGTGTGTGTGTGGTGTTGCATCTGTGTACATGTGTGCATGTGCGTGTGTCAGACGCGACGGTAATTCGCGATTCAGTTAATGGGTCATATAAATAATGCGGATCGAGTGCCCTTCGTACTTTTAGAGGGGAGATTCGAAACAGCGTGGAACACCTACTGTCAAACACATAAAAACGTATATAAACGAAAAACGACCCGTGCTTGTTGTGATCCAAGTCAAAACGCTCGAAAACGCTTTTGAAGCGAGGAGTACCTTGTTGCCCTGTATGTCTAATAATATTCGAATAACGCTCGATGTATTTTTCGGTATAACTTTTGAAGCTCTTGTCCGCTAACGGTCTCTTTTACATCTCTATGTTATATTTGGTTTAGAAAATTCACATTTATAATTCTGTAACTTGCACAACATAATTTTTATATATATATATATATTTCATACTTATTCTATATATTATGTAATTTCTAATATTTTACATTTTGCACAACATGATAACACTCGCAAAAATTCTACATACATTATAAATAAATATACTATAATAAATATAAATATAATAAATAATATAATAATTACAGATAAGTGAAATAGAACATCTGTTGCTTTTAGAAACAGTTGAATTAAAAACTTGTTGTACAAATAATGTACTTTTGTTTCTTGAGAAAGTATCTTAAAAAGTAAGAATATTAGTCACACTTAAAGATTATTTTTTGAAAACTAAGTAATTGATAACTGTTCTTCGTCAATGATGTTTGTAGTTTGTAATATTTGCACTTAAAAAATCTTTATAATTTATTTGTTGTAGGCAAATTGTTGTTAGGAGATGGCAGCAGAAGGCAACGACCCTGAATTACGTTTATTACGATATCTGTATGTTGGAAAAGATTATGCCAATTATCAGCCTGGATATTGGTTTGCCCATCATTATTTTATAGTCAGGAATGTCCTAGCCATAGAAGAACTTGCTGAAAATGAGGAGAAGCAATTGGTACCCATTGAACTGATCACAAATGTAAATACCAGCATTCAAATCATATAATACATTTTTAAAAAATGGTCATAATTGCCTATTCTTAAAACGAGACTATTTGCAGGCATTTGAGAGCAATTTGGTTACACATCCAGAGGCTTTGGTGTTTGCCCTTGCTGTTTGCTGCAGGCAAAATAAAAGCGAGATATTACGTCATGCAGCGTACGAAAATGTGAAAAAGATTTGTGCGTCTACCCCAAACTTTATTCTGTTTGTTAAATTCGTTTCTAAACTGTGCAGAGAGAAAGATTTGAATTATATTACGCAAGGCTGGGGCCAAGGCCTGAGGAAAGCTATCAACAATTGGTACCTATCTAAAAACTCATTGGAATTTATAGAGTGTGTTACGAAATACAGAAGTAGGTATGGTTGGAAACACAAAGACATTGTCAAAATGGCTCATCCTAATGGCAATTCTCCAGGTAAACATACAAAGTCATGGTTTATGTGAGGAAAGCATAAATCTACTATTTTTTGACCTTTATTAATCTCTTTTATTTTCTTTTTTTATAGAAATCTAATCTTGTTTATTTTCTTACTTACATATGATTGATGATGATTTTATAACTAGAATTGATAACTGATGACTAAAAGTAAACTAAATAGCTATTTTTGTGTAACTTGTAAAATTTAATAGATAAAATAACAGTAGCATTTGCATTATAGCGTAATTGATGATTATAGGTATCAATTAATAGTAAAACTGTTACTTAGGTAATTAATTATTTTGTAGAAAATAAAATTATACTGAAGTACGTAATATATGGCTTGGAAAAGACCAAAAAGGATATAATAGCTGACCAGATAACGGAAACTCCTGATATCACTAAATTACTGGAATACATGAAAAATATTGAAGACTTCAAACATTGCGAAGATGAGCTCGAAGCTGCCAGAAAGGTGGAAATAAATGGATTCTCATTAGATCATGTACCTGGACAGTTTTTAAAATCCAAGGAGGTAAAAAATACAAGCACACAAAATACTTTTTATTATGCGTTTCGTTAGAAATTCTAATTTATGCAAAAACTGATAAAATCTAAGATTATGAAAAATGCAATTTTCAACTAATTTTTAGAAATGACAAAGCTATATGTTATCTATTATATTTTTTAAACAAAAATTAAACTCAATTATTAATATATGTATATATAGTACTGAACTCTCAGTTGTGAAGAATAAGATTGTCAAATTTTTAATGTCAAATTTCCAAATAATCTTCCCAATAATCAAATAATTTATATACGGTTGAAAAAAGTTTCTCAAAAAGATATAAATGATCAAAGGAAATTTTGTTAGCGTTAAAACATATTTATCAAGAATTGATTCCAACAAACTGATATAACATTTTCATTATTTCGTACGTTAGGTTTGGAATTCATTGGTAATGTCAATGGACGTTGTTGCACTTCTAAACAACCTTCAAAGGATTCACAATCTTGGGTGTCTCGGTCCTGATGAGCCAGCAGTCGAGAAAGTTACGGAACGACTTACTGATTCACACTGCATTGAGAGTAGTGCAGTTCATCCGGCATTAATTTTTATTACGTTAAAAAATTATGAATGTTCTGGAAAGTGAGTATGCAACAGTTTTCAGCAGTACTCCATGTGATTTGCATGCCTCGAGATTATCAAAATTGTCACTAATAAATGTGCATTTTTCAGATTTTTGACTTATGAAAAGCGAAAAGTTCGAGAACTAGCAAAGAAACCTGAACCGCCAAAGTATCCAAATCTCAAGATAACAGACGCTTTAAAAGAAGCATTCCGTCTGTCATTTAAAGTAAGTTGATTTTTCTTATATTGTCTCACGAAGTGTTAATTCTTGTAATTATGCATTTTATTGATATTAATATGAATTGTCTCATAATTATTAATATATAATAATGTGAATAATTAACATCGCTAAGCATATATTGTATATATATATATATAAATAAAAACTAACATAAATATAGTAATAAAAAACTAATGAAAGTTAATAATCATATTTTTAAAAAGACAGATACTTATCATTTTACGCGCGTGCAGAGATAAAATAATAAATTGCTTGATAACTGTAAACGTTAATTATCTTTCTTTTTAAAAATATGATTATTAATTTTTATTAGTTTTTTTTTTATTACTAAAATAATTTGTGTTAAAATATTTTATAGTAATATAAAAATATAACTAATAAGTGTTTTTTTAGATAAATATTGTCAGTAAAATTAATCTAAAATTATTATTTTAGATAAATGTCATCTAACTTATTTATTTTATATGCCATTATAATGATATAACAGTAATTTATTACAATATAATAACTATTTACAGAATATACAATCTACAAAGTTGCGCTACTTAGTGACAATCAGCACAAACAAGGCGATGGAAACAAGTACTTGGCAGAACGGTAATATGACCGGCCTCGAGACAGCTGCTTTGATCGCGTTGACACTTTTACGTTCCGAGGAGAACGTTACTATAGCGACGTTCAGGAACGTCGGAATTTATATAGTAAACGTACAGGGAACGGATTCTTACGACGATATTTTGAATGCCATAAGGAGTGCATCAAGGGTGCATCAAGGAAGTACCAATCCGAGTAAACCGATTTTGTGGGCCAAAAATAAACCTAAGCAGTATGATGTCTTTATCAACATTATGGATCAAATATTCCAAAAGCACGATGAATCCCAGGAACATCTAATATCGTACAAAGAGGATCAGAACCTTCCTGATACAAAGTAAGTGTGCACTTCTATTTATTATTTGAATTTCTCAAACTGAAAAGGCAGAGACATATACAAATTTGTTGGATTATCTAAGAAATATTGTTAAATATTTTACAGTTTAATTTACTAAAGAGATTATTTTTAGATTTTTATTTTGTTTTAATATGGTGCAATATCACCAAATAAGTCGCACTACAGTATCTCTTTAGCAATAATAACATAAATATAGTTAGCTGTAAAGTGATTTTGACAAATCTTTATAATTTATATGATTATTACTACATTGTGTATACTGTCATACAAAATCATACATGTAATGTAAAATAAATATCTCCTTAAAAAAAATTATCGGTATTAATTTTAACATATTTTTAACGAAACTATATTAATATCTCAGACAAAAGTAATTAGTAATGTTATATCGAAATATAAATAGCTGCAAATTTCTATTGCTTTGTATTAAAGAATAACATTATTCTAATTTTATCTTGAATATATATAATAAATCTATGGTTTTTTTCGCAGACTAATCACTTGCGCCTTATGCTCTTCCTCACCATATCGTAAAACACATGACCGTCATGTCTTGACTATCAACGGTTTCGATGCTACCGTACCTAATGTCATCCAGGCGTTTGCAAGGGGTTTATTTTAGATACTAGCATGAGTTAAATCTCTATTGGTAAATAGCGATTGATTTGAAGACGAATTGGTTGTCAGTACGGTCACCTTGATATCTTTGTATCTTATTTTTGCAGAAGATTCTTCAAAACGTATTTCTTCAAGAAGTCACAAGTGGTCAGTCAAGAAGAAAATTTTCTCCTTTTAAAGCATTCGATACGAAAGTGAAGAAGCATATGGCAGTTTTAGAGGCCGGTGGTGAGAATTTATCTGGTTAGAACAGGTTTTTTCTTCGAACTCGAGTTTGACTAACGAGCACACTAACGCAGAACGTGAGTGAAGAGCTGGAGGAAAGTTACGTTAAAAAGAGCTTTCAGAAATTACTTAAAACAGTGCCGAATTTTGGAATTCAAACTGTCTCGCCTTTTTCGTCAGTTCCGAACGTCGGCTTGTTTGCACATCCATGACTGAATCAAATTATATTTAATTTTACTATCTGTTAATTTTTTTAAGATATATCCAACGGAGACAGTATATATACTTTTTAAAACATATTGCAAATATGTAAACGCGGTGAAGGTGATTGAGAAAAGTGATCGTGCACTATAATTGGCATGTTGATAGTAATATTAATATTTACTACATGTTCTTAGTGTTAGGAAAGAGCTGTGTAGCATTTCCCACATTTTTTTGTTGTGATCAGGTGATTGAAAAATGATCAGGTATTTTTTTACTCCTATTCGGATTTCCGACGATACGATTCAAATAACTCGGCAGTTTTATTTTTAGTAAACGCTAACACAGTATCGTATCGATCCGATTATATAAGCAATATATAGATTAGTTATGGACTATTTTTTACACTGTTGCACATGAAATCTCAGTTTTACGTTAATTAATTTTTGAGATATCGTTTATTTAATTAATCTCTCTTTTTAATTTTAATAATATACATAAATATACGTCTGAAACAAGTTGAAATCTTGTATATGTACATTGTCATATACTATATTTAAAACGTGATTTGTCGAAGACATTTAGAAAGCTGTCAGATGTTTTACTAGAGCTTTAAAACAATTTCAAAAGAGAGATTTTCTTTTGTTTGATATATATTTATCACATCGTAAAAGGTCGGTCTTATAAACCAATAGTCTCAAACTCACGCGGTCCGCATACGAGTCCTCATCTGTCCATCTTCCGAAAATCTATGACACCTTGTAGTTTGCCTCTGCCTAAAAGCTCAGTGCGGTCTGCGGCGAGCTAGTTAAGACTCTGCCATAAACATTAATTAAAATTAATTCCTCTGTGTCGCCTTTTAATTTTATAAAGATACAGAGAATCGCTTAAATCTTAGGTAACTCTCTAACTTAAATCTTACTTAATTTTTAACGTTTATGGGAACGACCTGCAATGTGGATTGTTATTTAGTTTCGAAATATTTTTCGCGCGAACTGTAAAAAAAACTGTGGACCCGAAGTGTTTCATATGCAACTGTAACAATCTTGTTTTGAAAACTAGGAAAAGGAAGTACAATTCAATAGTCCTATGTTTCAGAGTAGTGCATTACGCAGCGAAAAAAAAGTTTAGGATAAGACTGCATAAGCGGATACGGAAATACGCGTATCTCAAGTAACATACGGTGCATTTTTTGACTAATGGTAAAAAAAAAAAGAAAATCTTACTCTAATATTATTAATTGCTTGCTTGTTTCTGGTTGGCGGGGATGCTTCTTCGTAATAATGCGTATAGATAACGTGACCTTATTAAAAAGAAAAAAGTGACACGCTTCTGGGACCGGTGCGCTTCTGGACGGTTAAAAATAATAATCTAAAATAAGTAAAAAAAAAGACAAAAAAAGAAAGAAGAAAGCGGAAGACGTAGAAGACGGTGAACATAGGAACGTTGAAAATTTTCCCACTGTGATATGCATTTAGCCCCAAAGAGTTATAGACTTACATTAGTATAATTTTACTGTTACTATCTCATATTTGCCATATCCAAAGTGAACGTGAGACAAATACTAAATACACTACTGAATAATACTGTGATACGAGATACATTGTTGTTGTTCAAACTAGGGAAATGGTATTTAAGTGACGCGGCCAGAAGCGCACCGTGTTTGATATTTGTTGAGTCTCTGCGCGAGTTAGCGCGTGAATTTTTTTGTTGAAAATTTTGTATCATATCTCGAGAGGAAAAAAAAAAGATGGGCTTTCGACCTGCGGATTATTGTTATCGGGTTTTTCCCTCGTTTCTCACATGAGACCACGGAAGCACGTACCTCTTTCATACACATTGCTAAAAAGTACAGCGTGGATGAACTCTCAGGTCTTCGAAACAAATTTGTGAACTAAGTGCTTAAACTATTCACCTGTTCTTTGCAGCTGTCCCCGATAATCTGCGGATCGAAAGCTGCCAACGTAAATTCTATTTCAATAGAGTGTTCCGAAAAAAAAGGGTATATAAGTAGACTATTCTTTAAGCAATCTGCATTTTGCTCCTGATGAAAATAAAGTCGAACTAATTAATACTAATTAATACAAATTAAAGTCACGACTTTTGACGAGTTAGGCAAAATGAAAAGAATTCAGCTTTATCATTAATTGTCGAGAGAGATTTATTTAATAAATTATCAAGCGAGAATTAATTGTCGATGGATTCAATTTCTTAAAGCAGAAAAAGAAATTAAAAGCAAGAGAAATCGGTTCTATATTTATCAAATGGCATATTGTATTCCGAGATTGTATTGTACATAGCGATTGAAGTATATGTTAATTTTCCACGTTTTAGAAATTTTAAGCAGAATTGCGCTTGCAACTCGGCGAAAAGAGAAACCCGTAATACAAATTACGCATAAGTTTATTTTTAAGAATGGTATTTTAAAAGAATTAAAATCCACACACACATACATACAACACACGAATGTTTGTTAATCTCGGTTGCGCAGCGTCCCGCAGAGTTCTGTATAAATTATAATTTAAATCGGGAGTGATGAAGTCAGTATATATCTTCTACGCTGGACTATATTCCTACTCGAACTTCGTGTTTTTAGCGAGCGTATACGCGCGCTTAGAGAAATTATTTATACACTTACTGCACACACTTCGTGTCTAAAGCGTTCAGTGTTAGGGGAGAGAGAAAATAAATCTCTAGCGCATTTTTTTACGGGAAAAAACTTCTGGCGCGAAGGCAAAAAAAACTTCTTTCAGAAAAAAACGAAATGTCTAGTTACTAAACAAGAGTTTAAGAGTATATATGCTACGATCATATATATAGTAGCTCAATGTATTCATTGGCATTAGCAAGTAGGCATTACAAGTATTTGTATATGTACGGGAGCGTATTGCGATCGGAGAGGATTCCCCGCGCACTTCGTCTAAGCTCTTTTTTACAGACGCGTTTACAAGAGTCGACCAATTTAATTCTAAAAAAAAAAAATCTCAAATCTCTGATAGCAATCTTATCATAGTACAAGTTCCGACCTTCACCTTAACTCGCATAGCGTTGTACGCGAAGACAAAAAAAATTATATTAGTTATAATATATTAAATTTAGCTGTAATATTCGAATAGTCGAGGGTTCACGAGTCTCGAGAAGTAAATCTAAAAATCGGAATCCTTTCCGCTCGCGGTGCATGCAGATATATATGTATTCATTAATACTATTATAAGAATATATACGTCCGAAATATATGATATAGACTGGCACACTGGAGGAAGAAAATGGAACAGAAAAGCAAAAAAAAAGAGAGAGAGAGAGGGAGGGGAAGAGAAAGAGAGCAGTACAGCCAGAATCTGAAGAGAATCACTTCTCATGCTGTTATTTCACAGTCCATTGATTTCAGGATGTGCTGTATAGTTAAACAAGAGGAAAGAAAAACAATATGTTGAATGTGTTCATGCTAGAAGAAAAAAAAAGAAGAAAATATTTACCGCGTAAGGAGAGAGAAAGAGAGAGAAGAAAATAGGAAATTCCGCATTATGTAGTTATTAAAAATGGGAAAGGGATGTAACGCGAGAGGGGACACCCGTCGGGTGCGTCATGGGCACCAAGTGCCGCGTCAACGGCCGCGCTACGTCCTTGCAACTTCGCGATGTTGAGAGGCGAAAAAGTGTGGGGGGGGAGGGGGGAGGGGGAAAAATTAGCTTCCTTGCCGAAGACGATTCTCCGAGGTTCCGGACCGACCATTGATTTCGACCAGGAAGCACGAGCGATATTTATCCGATACTCATATAGTATTTTACGCGCCGCTGGACACGCATCATCGACCGTCTCTCGGAGCAAATGTCGGTTGACCGCAAATCTGTATAGGACTAAGGACTGTAGAGGTACTATACCACACTACGTTTCTGTTAGCGGCATTTCAGTGTGTTAAGTTTTACTGAAGAGAAGAGGCGACGTTGTCGCTCTCGTGAGAGCGACAAGTTGCTCGATCCGATTCCACACGCGGTACTTTCGACAACCGGAATATACCACAATCCCGGATACGTATACATACACGCAGACCTTTCGTTTTCCGGAGGAGAAACAATCTGGTATGCGCGGACGTGATTAGTCAACCGAAGGACTTCCATTAATTTTTTTTATTTATTTTCAAACGTTCTTTCAACGTTCTTTCTCGCATTTCTTCTCAGTCGTATGCAGACTTACGCTTGACTAAATGTATACATAAGTACGAAATAGCGCCATGTTCCTTAGGATTATGATACACGAGACAAAACCTATAATTCCATAATTAGTACATTGTCGCTTCAACGATCTAATAAGAAACTAGACAAAAAAAAGATGCTCAATACCCGTTGTTCGAAGTTTTCGATGCAAATGCCAAAAATATATATATAAAAAAAAAAGAGAAAAGAGCGAAATCGAAGAACGGAACGATATTCAATTCTACATGTACAAACCGCAATGAAATACCTCGTTACTTATTCTCAGTGTAAAATAGCAAAAGCGAATTGTACTAACTCTGCGAGTTACGACGTAAAAAAAAAAGAAAGAGAAATTGTCCTTCTGGTTCGTGATTCACGCACTGAATGCCTATCTTTTGGCCTTATCTTTTTACATACGGAAATCCATACTGTAAAAGCGAGTAAAATGGATCGATTCACAGGCAACAAACAATACCGTTCACTCACTGCTACCTGTTCGATGGTTTTTTTTACGTTTCGCACGTGGGCGATCCGAGAAGGTCTTGAGACTCTTTAAAGAGATTCCCCGTTCAGCTCTCGACGCGCACAACCGCGATCTCGTCAAAATCCTATATATGCCTTTTAATCGCAAGCATTAGTCAAAATTGGTGTCGTTGCGGCCAGCATGCGTTCCCTCCCCGCGCTGTGAAAGGGATCGGTGCGCGACGAGAGATAGATCCTTTCGAAAAATCTCAAAGCCTTCCCCTCTTCAGATTTCCCACGTGCTAATCGCAGCGCCCGAAATTGTACACCGCTGCGAAATTGATTTCTCAGCGTTTTTATTTTCTTTTTCGTTTAAGGATAGTATTATTACACGTAGACTACATTCGTAAAGCGATATATTACTCGGTAATTTATGGCACATCGGAATCTGCGGAAACCGAAGTAAAAAAGAATTGTCGCGTACACAAGCTGCGTGGGAGAAGTTTCGAAACGAACCCATGAATCGAAACTTTGAAAAAGTTACTTGTCGTTTGCCATTCTTAATGCCCAATATCGTAAATCACGAGGTGTTTATTATAGATAATTTATAATAATTAATTTACCTCGAAATCTTTCGTAATATTTTATCACCTTATGTGTTTTCGGAACATAAATGAAAATACATAAAATGTGGTTAAACGCGTGAACAATGATTAATCTTTAATTATTTCTCAAATATATATTAAATATATATTAATAAATAATTTGAAAATATATATCTTTAAATATATAATTTGATAATTAATTTAAAAATATGTATTATTAAATATATGTTGATAAATTTAATTAATCAATTGAATTTATTAAAAATTAAGAATACTTGTTTTCATCGATGCAGCAAATAAAATATTTGGTAACTGTATTTTTATATAATCATTTTTCGATATCAGGTTCTTGTGAAGTGTTATCATAATATTCAGCGAAGAGATAAAAGTAAGCCAAGCAAGTTGTTTCGAAGTTTTATTTCATCGTAATTCGAAATCGCGAGACTTCTCCAACGCAGCCAACAAATTTCCCATCCTATCGCATATAATCGCGGAAAACATCTGTCGCGCGCGATTTCGAATATTATTTTTATACCTAAGTAAATTTGTGAAACATTGCGTAAAGCCCAGCGATTAAATTGCTCTGAAGAAATTTAACGTCGGAGTTTCACGAAGGAGCGAATTATGTTATTGTCATCGTGTCTGTTAACGGTTGTATTTCGGTACACAATAGGCGGATTAAGGTATTATAGGGAATTGATTATGTCTACAAATTTCGTGCTGTTTTTGTTACGATATGAACTGGATCCTTAAATAAATTTTCTCAAAACGACCTCCCATTGTAATTACATCCGATTTAGAAGACAACTATAGACAACGTTATAAACCTCAAGCTGGAATTTTCTTAACGGAAATTTTATTTTTTTTTTTTCATCCTTACATTCAATCTGAACACTTCAGTTTGCATTTAGAACTCTTCTCGTATACATGCTTCATAGAAAAACTATAAACATCTCTACGTGACCAAGCGATATCAAATTCTGCAGGAATGTTTATTAGCACGCGTCAAGGACGTATTTTAAAATTCTTGAGCTACTTTAAATATATGCGTGTTGTCTACTTATATATCGAATCTCAGGATCTGTGGATAGATCTCGGAATGCGGGGATGATTCCGCAAGATATATCCCGACAGAAGTTACGGTTTACTGAAAAAATCTTTATTCTTGCGTTACTGATACACAAAGTTGCACTCACACGTAGACACGGCTACATTGTACACAGTACGATGTAACTCGCTGGCAGTATACGAGTTACAAGCCCGCGCGTCTCCGCGCACTTCATTCACATTCTCTCTCTCATTCAGTCGTACATACGCATACTCACAAGTTTTCATTTTCAACGCACTTTAACTCCACGATTAACCGATTATTCGATTGTTACACTTAGTGGGAAAAACATACAAAACAATTCGAAATAAATTAACAATGCGGTGGAGTCAAGTATGCTTGTGTCGCGGGGAGGGAGGAGAGGGAGAAATGAGCGCAGTGTCGAAAATGCTCGATGATGTCGACAAGAGTCGTCAAAAGAATCAAGGAAAAAAAAGTCAAGATCTAGAAAGTATCCATGATCTAGAATCTCATTCTCTTGAAATCTAACGATTTCTCAACATCATTAGCATTTTCTTGCATTTCTTTTTTCAAATGTAAGACTTATGTACGAAGACTTGTATTCCCACTGCACATTTAGCTTCAAACGCCTTTCTTAACCTAAGCCTTAAAGTTATTAGATAGTGTATACTACATATTATCTAAGTAAAACTTAGAACCAGACAGCCACTTTCAGCTAAACGTACGGCGAGAATATGGATCTCGCTGTGTGTTATACCGCGCTCAGCCTCTCGTAAATGTATATCAACACTTCTGTTAAAGTATCTTCTCGGAAGGCGAGTAATCAGTCTGAGTCGCGAACCGAGGTGAGCGGGTCGCTAATTTGCAGTTAAAGTTCGTCCCTGATATCGTCGTCCTCGCCTGCACCGGTGGGCGGCACACCGCCGCCCGCGCCCTGATAGAGCTTGGCGATGATCGGCTGAACGATGTCGGTGAGCTCCTTCTTCTGCTTCTTGTACTCCTCCGGCTCGGTATCCTGATTGTCCTCCAACCACTTGATCTTCTCCTCGATAGCCTCCTCCATCGTGGTCTTGTCCGCGTCGCTCACCTTCGAGCCGAGTTTCTCCTTGTCGGCCAACTGGTTCTTCAGCGAGTACGCGTACGATTCGAGATCGTTGCGCGCCTCCACGCGCTCCTTCAGCTTCTTGTCGTCGTCGGCGAACTTCTCCGCGTCCTTGATCATCCGCTCGATGTCGTCGGGCGTCAAGCGATTCTGGTCGTTCGTGATGACGATCTTCTCGCGATTGCCAGTGCCCTTGTCCTCGGCCGAAACCTGCAGAATACCGTTGGCGTCGATCTCGAAGGTGACCTCGATTTGCGGTATGCCACGTGGCGCCGGTGGAATGCCAGTCAGATCGAACTTGCCGAGCAGATGGTTGTCCTTGGTCATGGGACGCTCACCTTCGTATACTTGAATCGTGACCGTGTGCTGGCTGTCAGACGCTGTAGAGAAGATCTGAGATTTCTTCGTTGGAATGACCGTGTTCCTGCGCAAATAAAGAACGTCGTTTTATTGCAAGAGTGCTTTTGGTTCAATCAGTCGATAACGTAAATATTTACAAATGATAATTTCAAAGATACTTTCTATTTACCTTGGAATGAGTTTAGTCATCACACCTCCAACAGTTTCGATACCCATGGTAAGAGGATTAACATCGAGAAGTACAATAGCATCGGTGTCTTGTTCTCCAGAAAGTACACCGGCTTGTACAGCGGCGCCATAAGCGACGGCCTCGTCGGGATTGATGCCCCGCGACGGTTCTTTGCCGCCGAAGAATTCCTTAACTAACTGTTGAACTTTCGGGATCCTAGTCGAGCCACCAACCAAGACAATCTCGTCCACGTCTTTCTTGCTCATGTCAGAATCCTCCAAGACCTTTTGCACAGGCTTCAAAGTACTACGGAAGAGATCCATGTTCAGCTCCTCAAATTTGGCACGAGTCAAGGTTTCGGAGAAGTCCTCGCCCTCATAGAACGATTCAATCTCGATCCTGACCTGTAAAATGTGAAGAAAACAGATTAGACTGATGAAAAATTACAAATATGTAATAATTAATCAATATAAAAAGGAAAAAATATTTTAAAGGTAGATAAAATAAATAAAATGTGTAAAAAAAAAACATATATACCTGGTGACTAGCGCTGAGTGCTCGTTTGGCTTTTTCGACTTCACGACGCAGTTTCTGTACAGCTCGGTTGTCCTTGCGAATATCCTTGCCCTTCTTCTTCTTATACAATTTGATAAAGTGATCCATCACACGCTGATCGAAATCTTCGCCTCCCAAATGGGTATCGCCATTAGTGGCAACGACCTCGAACACACCGTTGTCGATTGTGAGCAAACTGACGTCGAAGGTGCCGCCGCCCAGATCAAACACCAGTACGTTTTTCTCGCCGTCTTTCTTGTCCAAACCGTACGCGATCGCAGCGGCAGTCGGCTCGTTGATAATCCTCATTACGACCAGGCCAGAAATTGTTCCAGCATCTTTGGTGGCCTGTATAAAGAAATTACAGAATACATCAGAATACAATTAATTCGTTACAATGGTGATTTCTTCAAAAGAAGAATATATCTTTATTCTTCTAACATTACTCGATTTTTTTTTTTTCGAAATACAAGAGATCCAAATAAAATATTAATTTGAGATTTCAATACTGACACTTTTGGATGGAGAGAACACACGAGATCTTTTTTGAAGTTCAAAGACATTAAAGTGTATCAAACTTCTCGCAAACCTCACCTGTCTTTGCGCATCGTTGAAGTAAGCTGGCACGGTGACTACCGCGTGAGTGACCTTCTTGCCGAGATAGGCCTCGGCGGTCTCCTTCATCTTGCCCAATACCATAGCCGAGATCTCCTCAGGTGCAAAGACCTTTTCGCCTTGACTAGTGTCGACCTTAATATGCGGCTTGCTGTTCTTCTCGATGACCGGGAACGGGAAGAATTTCACATCGTGCTGCACAGTGGGATCCGACCATTCGCGGCCGATCAGGCGCTTGGCGTCGAACACGGTGTTCTCTGGATTCGTCGTCAGTTGATTCTTGGCGGCATCGCCGATTAAACGCTCGCCGTCACTGGTGAACGCCACGTAAGAAGGCGTGATTCGGTTACCCTGATCGTTGGCGATGATCTCCACACGGCCGTTTTTGTAAACGCCAACACTAAAAGCATATGTACATCTTATTAATTTGCTTGCAAAAAGACGATAAATAATTGTCTCTCGATAATTATAATTATTTTTAATAACGTTTCGTTTATGACAATGTATACTCACCAAGAATAAGTTGTGCCCAGATCAATTCCTATTACTGTGCCGATATCTTCCTTCTCTTTATCCTCTTTCGCAATTGTGGCGACTGACAACAGTCCCACTATTAGTAGAGCTCTGACTCCCTTCATGTTGTTTTGTATGAACTATACCTAAATTATCAACAAACACTGAATTAATACACCAGCAAGAAAGATTGGAATTTTTTTTTTGGAAAATAAAAACTTATGGATTTCATTTATAAAGTATAAAATATTATCGTCATAATTATTAGTATAATACTTGTTATAAATTTTGTAGTAAACTTCGCTTATAAAATACTTTTATATTATTTTTTTTATATATCGTTATAACCATGTATTTAGATGTATAATGTCTTTAGATATTTGATTAGATTTATATAACTCTATAGTAAGAGAAAAGAATTTCCTTATTTTCATAAAATTTCCTTATGGAACATTCGATATTTATTTCATGGAATAACAAGTAAAAACAAAATTAACTTTCACGAGCTATCGTTAGTATTTATGAGTAAAACGAGTTTTGACCGATGAGCAAAGTCACACGTCATCCAATCAAAGAGATGACTCCAGAAATTCGACGTGCCGGAGAGAGACTCGAAATCGATCGATTACCGCGGCCGTTGCAATTTAACGAACGTGTCTTTTACATCGCGCGACGATGGGAAACACGCGGCAGTTTCCACGAGGCTCGAATATCCGTTAACGAGCGAGTCATACGTGGCAGAAGGCTCTCTCGCCGCGATCTCCGGACGTATATATATATATATATAAAAAAGTAGGAAAATACCGTATCGTCCGTACGTTATCAAATAGTACGCGGATAAAAGCGCGAGAAAATTCGTCGATCACGTCGATTATGCGTGACAATTCCCGATTGACAGTGGAACGCCCGAAATTCCCCGGGAGGAACGGGAATTCTCGCGCTTCGAGAACGAATCGAATTCCGGCCGACGTCGGCGAGTCGCGCGGTGGTGGCGGCGACTCCGACAAAGCGGAACGTCTCCCGACGACGAGATGCGCGATTCGGGAAAGACGCGCCCTGGGTCGCGAGGACACCCGGGCAACGGGAATTCACTCACCAGCTGGGACGTGTGATCTCGGCTCAGACTCCGGACTCGAACGTTCCTCGCGCTCCTCACGGAAAATGCGTGCTCGCGATTCTCTCTGATTCTCTCTCGGCGAACGGTAAAACGACGACTGACATCGGCACCGGACTCGGGGGCCGGGATATTAACGGGAGTGTTACGTCGTGGCCGGCGCCGATTGGCCGGCCACGGCGGAAGACCGCGGCGCCGATTCGCCGGCGCGCATAACAGTTGGCCGCGCGTCGTTGGCCCACGTCACGCTGTCACGGCTGTCTATCTCCTCCGGAGCCTTCACGCGCCGCCGCGACTCGCGGCCAACCGATTAGATACGGCAGGTGGAACACGTGGACGCCACCGTACCAGCGAGCGCTGGCGAGCGCTGCGAGACGCGTCAGGGGCGGAATTTCGCGACCATCGCGCGGCGCGCCCATTCGTGTATGGTTTTGTGTACATACTTACTCATCCGCGTCGAAATATAAGATGAATCTTTTTATATATCACGAATAACTTCGCGTCAACATTGATATCGACTATTGCATCATGTCCCCGAGAAACATTGCAACAGATACTTTTAAACAGCATTTTTGCTGTAAATTTAAAAATTGATAAAAATTTTAGAGTCGCTCGGCAGCTTGAAATAATAAAATATTCTTGAGCGACGCGTGTCGTTTTTGCATAGCTTATCTTACATCTCACACGTGTTACATTTGGTATCATGTATGTGCTATATATTACTAATTTTAAATTATCACCTACTTTGTATGATTCGATAAGAAAGAGAGAGAGATTAATCTGCTTTAAAAAAAAGAATACAGCATCCGTTCCTCTCAAATATGATATAGATATAAAAATCTTACTGGAATGTTGTGTTCAATATGTATATAAAAACGAATATTCTTAATAAAACTTTTAACATATATCTCGATAAATAAAAACTACAATAATATGAATGTAAAAATCAATATATTAAATGATAAAATATCAGCTCCATTTTTAATTATATGAAGAAAGGTATTTGGATCCGGCTTGCTCCGAAAAAGAACAGTTGCATCAACATGCAGTAGTAGATATATATGATTCTATGTACAATTAAGTTGCATCACTTTTGCAGGGACGTGAAAGATTGCCGCGATCCCGGAGTAAAGGCTATAACTGCATTTGCCTTTTAAAAGAATATATCATTATTATTTGTTTCACTAATATTATTTTAGCAGTATAAAATAAATTAGTGATATTTTAGGAAATGTAAAAAACAAGATATAAAAATCGCAGCTATATTCGGTGATTTTCATTCATATAATTTTCTTATAAGCGATATTTTTTTGCAAAATTATGTTAAAATGTAATTATATCGTAAGAATAATGTGGAATGATGCTTTTTTTTTATTGTATTGGAAAAAATATTTTTTATTTATTGGTCAGAGAAAATATGTTTCAATAATATTGAACACATTGTAATTGAAATATTCGCTGCACTATTTCGAAAACTTTTCTATTTTTGATTTATAGAATATGTATATATATATATATATATATATATATATATACATACACACAAATATCACAATATGATACTATACATTGTCAGTATATTAAATAACAGCTTTTACTTTTTCTTAATATTTGATAATTAATAGAGAAAAATGTAACCTCGTAAAAATAATTATAAAAGTACATAATATGTATTATATAAATCACATAAAGTTTCGTCTTAATATTGTCTCATTAAATCTTTTATCTACAGGTGTATATCTATTGGTATATATCGATATCTTAAAAGATATTGCACATATGCAATACAGATATATGTGTATACCTTCCAGTTATAACGAAATAATAAGAAATTGTTTTACAAATTAATTTACGGAAGTTTTGTATAAAGTTATATGTATATATATGGATGTGAAAACAGATGGCGGATGGAGACGGGTTACATCGTCCCGATCTGGGTTTGCACGCATCGTGGCATCATTTAGTCTAACGGTACCTGTCCGTTACCTCAAGTAGTAAATGGAACGCTTGTTACGCATCGCACTACGTCATCATTTTACTGATATTCTAACACAAGCACATTTACGTGTGTATGACGAAATGTGACATCATCGTTGAAATCTTATTAATTAGCTTACCATTTTATGATTTTATAATGGCACGAAACTGCAATGCGCAAGGATTTTCTATTATCTTGCTTTTTCATGCTTATAAGAAATAATTGTCCAAATGATGAATTAAAATAAAAAAGAATCAGGAATATTTTAAAATAAATTTTTTATTTTAAGCACGACAAAGAAAATCGAAAGTGACTTGAACAGATAATCTTTAAACATTAATGATGAATTGAGAAATAGTAGAAGCCGAAGTAAAGCAGTTTGACGCGTTAATAAACATAAAAGAAATCGAAAAAATATTTTGAAGTGATGTATCGACAAAGAAATCGAAAATTACTTGAAGCATGCAGATTAATGCTTAACAGATTAAATATTTATTTATTATTATAAGTAACTTTTAGCGTGTCTTTAGGAATTAGTTTCTGTTTCATGATTATTTCACGTCGTGAAATACTTGGTCCATTCTGTTTAAATGTTTTCCGAACTGAAAATTTGTCAGAAATATTTGTGGCTAGACTTAACTTCAACAAATTGATACAATATTTAATGATGGTCTCTTTCTCAATACTGCATGTTGAATTTCTCAAATAGCATCACTACATATTCAAATAAATACTATTTGAACGACCATCCGTAATCTTGGAAAATAGAGATTAAAAAACTAAAACTAATCCCGATAGACACAGAAACTGATAAAATTTGATCGATTTTAAAGATTGATTAAACATTAAAAGGGAAAGTGGGAGGAAACTCTAGTTTCAAAAACTAGAGTTAAATCTCGATTCTAAAGAGTGCAATGATCGCGAGAAACAGACGGAAGACCAAATATTTAAAAATGTTCAAATATTGTATATAAAAATTGTTATTAATTTAAATAGTTAATTTTTTAAAATTTATATATATAAGTATATATCGATTAAACATTCTACAATTATTTCTTATTTTCATGCTAATTTTTAATTAAATAATTATAACTTGCTTTTCGGGTGCAGCAAATCCAGTATTAATGGCGTAAAGTACGTTATGATACAATCAGCGCCCGCTCTTCTCATAGAGAGCAATATCTCGTTGAGTACATTTTCTAAGTTTATCGCGCCGTTTTGTGCACCGTGATACAGCATAGCGTATTCTCCCGACACTTGATACACAAATATAGGATATTCTGGATGCGCATCCTTCGTATGTCGCACCACGTCCAAATAAGGCAATCCTGGTTTTACCATTAGCATATCCGCTCCTTCGTTCACGTCTCTTGCCTTTGGAAAATAAATATTCCGTACATTATACACATATAATTTTAAAAAACATCAATTCCACTTATTTTTATATTGCAGGACAGAATAAAATTTAATCAATACAATTTGAATATCGTTTTACGAAATGCGATGTTATGTTTATAAACTCTCATTCTTCAATATGATTACAGAAACGCTACGCAGATGTTGCAATAAGTAAAAAAAATTGATAATAAATGAAATGAAACTTACAGCAGCCCTGGCTGCCAATCCGTTGCTACCAGGAGGCAACTGGTAGCACTTGCGATCGCCGAACTTTGGTGCAGACTGCGACGCGTCTCGGAAAGGCCCGTAAAGTCCTGACGCGAACTTTACAGCGTATGACAGGACTGCCACTTTATTTGACAATCCAGCAGCGGCTAGACCGTGCTTTATTGCACTCACCCTACCATCCATCATGTCAGACGGTGCAACAATTTGCGCGCCTGTAATGCATCGCAAACGATTTACGATATATAAAAAAATTACATCTTTGATATAGAAATAATTTGCAGTAACGCGTAATCTCTTACCAGCTTTTGCATACGATACAGCAACTTCAGCGATCCGTTGGATGCTGCTGGAGTTATTTATGCTACCATCGTTGTTAAGAATACCACAGTGTCCATGATTTGTATACGCGCATAAGCAAACATCACATGCTATTAATAAAGTAGGGAACTTTTCTCGCAATAACGATAGAGCTTGAATAACAGGATTCCTTATACTATCGGCATTGCTTCCAATCTCGTCCTGAAATCAAAAGTTGCTTAAAATTAAACGGAAAATTTTTCTACATTACAAATATTGCATAAAATCTCTTAAGTAATATTTGATAATATTGAACTGAAGTTATAATAAAATATTGAATTATAAAATTAATTAACTCTTATATATATTTTACAGTTTCGAAAAAATTATATTATTGTGCTTCATAAATGTTACCTTTTCAAGATGTTGTGAGACCCCAAATAATAAAACAGACTGTAAACCTTTTGCAACCAGAGGTTGCAACATCTTTTCTAATTGATTAATCCCATAGCGGTATACACCAGGCATGCTGTTAATAGGTTCTTTAGCATTTTCTTCATCTCTACAACCATATATGCAAAAGTTTCATTTGTATTTATTAAATAATAAATATTTGGATTAATAAATCTATGCTACCATATTTACACATATAAATCATTTATAAATTATACCTAGAATTTGAAAATAATATCTTTGTATACATCTATCACTCATTTGCTACAATGATTATATAAATATCATTTTTTAGTTGCTTGCAAAAAAAGAATAGAAACATAAAGAAAAAAGAAACAATATATTTTTATCTCTACAATCAATTATTACACTAATTAGTTCAAAATTAATATTACAAAATTTTAATGTGATTTAAAACATTTAACTTCTTTTCGCTGAATTATATTGTTGTAGCAAATGAGAGAGAGAATAACATATTATATATAATAGTCGCACTTACGAAACAAATATTGGATACATGAGATTATTAACAGTAATCTCAACATTTGGCGACTGCCACTCTCGTAGGACAGGATGAAAAATTCCACTGTGAAGAGTGTGCTTAGCCGGGACTGCCATCATCTTCATTGTACTCTAATTTCTCGTCTGCTCGCAGTAAATATGTCCACAGTAATTCTTCTTGTTAGATATACACGAGCCACTTGACTTTATCAACCTGGATATCTGGATGAACACACAGACACAATGTTACTCCAAGTAAATTTGCTCCAAGTATTCTAACTGATTGAAAACAGTGTATGTACATACATGTATGGATAGTGGTGTATGTACATCAATTACATAAAATAGCAAGACGGTTACATAAAATATCTCGGTTATGCAAAAAAATTCCTTCTCTGTACATGAGAAGAGAAGTTGAATCTAACAGATAATTGAGACCGTGATAGCGATTATATCAAGTCCACGAACAGCAGACCAGTGCAATTAATGCAGGATATATTGTCAACAGTTAATTATTCAACAGGCTAAATGAGCGTGAAGCATGACACACCGAAAATGTGCCGCGTAAACGTGACGTAACAGCGTTACACGCAATGCCAAGTATAGTAGAAGTACATACATATCGATAATACTCACCGGTACTTCTTGCTGCAAAATAAATGTGTCGAGTGTCAAAAAAATAATCAGACTGTTAATTATTTTCACGATCGAGACAGTGAGAGAGTTTGAAATTTTCCAGAAGGCTCAAGCATCATGTCACGATCGAAAATCGAGGAAATCGAGATTCGAGATTTGACACGAGAGATTTAGACCAATTAGAATTATTTGTCCTGATTCGTCGCCTCCCCGTCACAGGTGCCCGTCATCATTTTCGGTCCCCGACGTCGGCCACGTCGTTCGACGGTGTGACACGGGCTTAAAAGCCACGGGACGGAATGCAACGCGGCGCATGCCTCGGCCTAACCTTAGCTCGATCTAGCTTAACCTAACCTAGCCTGGACGACGACGGGACCAGACCAGAGACCACCAGACGTGGTGATTTTTCACAGTCGCCTTTATGTCGTAGACGCGTGTGATACTCCGCGAAGTGTAGCGCGGCGCCGGAACAGCTGTGTCCACACCACGTCGATCATCTTCGGCTACCCCGCTGGCCGTCGGCGTAGATCCCGCGAAGTTTCCCCCGAGAGAGAGAGAAAGAGCGGCGTGGGCGCGAGATCAGGTAGCGATGACGGACGCGTCGAATTTACCGGGCGCCTCCACGGGCGGGCAGAGGGCGATGTCGAGGATGCTGCGGCAGCGGGCCCAGGAGTTCCTCGCCTCGCGGAAGTACGCGAACAATCTGGTGGAGATAATCGGCCACTGGGACGTGAGTAGAGCCGCGCCGACGCCCCGGGTTTCCGACGGGATCCTCGCGCCCCGGAAGCTCGGACGCGAACGTACTAATTAAAAGTTAGGAAAGGTCTGAAAAAACTGTTTTCATTTTCGTGCAGGAGTCCACCTGTTCGTGCCTGCTGACGATAGAGACGATATTCGCGGAGGTGCTGAGGCGCGGCGATATGTACATGGAACGTACGATAACCCTTACCATCTCGGGTAAGATTGAAAAGGCGTTTGCTAGCTTGGCAGATTTCTCACGTTGGCTGTGGATGGATAAAGAATAGATAAGAATAGTAATAAGTTTATTCCTTGTAGCTGGGAGGGGCTTCTTAGACTTTTTCTTTTTTCCTTGATGTCTGTATTATTTATTTATTTATTATATTTATTTATTAATTATGTAATTATTACATCTATTTTATTTTAAGGAAGTGTAACACATATTGCAGATTAGATTATATTAGATTATAGCTTTCTATAGATTATATGCCCAAAGATTTGTATCTTTAATATCATATATAAAAATATGTAGAAGCCAGCCCGGAGTCTCGCTACACCACCTGGCTAAGGAATTGCTACGAGGAAGTCTGGAAGAAAATACTAGCATCTATGGATAAGAATCGATCGGCTATTCATCTGCAAGCCCTTGCCACTGCGATGAAGCTGATGGCGGAAGAGGGTAAAGCGCTGCTGGAGCCGCGCGATAATCCGGGCTATCACTTTCCCCTGCATCGTTTAAAGCTTATCCTTATGACCCTACTCTCTCCTGAAAAGGACAATACTAATTTAATATCGAGATTCCAAGAGATCACCGGCTATTCTGACGTTTTATATTATACATGGAGATGTCTACCCTCTCTTACCCCGAAGAGGCAGCCGAAGGAAGTTTATATGAAGAATCTTTTAGAACTTATAGATAAAGTACCACTGCCAAACGAAGAGGAAGGTGAGTTCTTCTTTTTTAAGATTAAAATTCTGAATTACAATAAAATAATCCGTCGCGTTTTAAATAACACGCGTTACACGCATTAATTACACGCGTTCTAAATAAGTATATTTAACTATTTACTACGAGCTATTGCAAACTGTAAAAAGCTGTTAGTTAATCGCCACTTGGTGTTAATAAATTTTCAGATATTTTAATATTTGCCTCCTTGGTTCCTTAAGTTCTTAATAGATTTTTCGATCCTTATTCAGTTTATTAATTTAATATTAATTAATTTGATATTTATGTTCTTACAATGGTAAAATAGTGATAAATAATGCAATAGTATAAATGCAATTTATTTTTATATATTTCAGCATCTGAAATGTCGGACAATAACGAACTTTTATGTGGACCGCAACAAGGTAATAATATAGTCTGCGTTATCACTATTTACATTTCGATATCATATAACGTATGATATCGAAATGTGAATCATATAACGTTATCATATAATTATCATATAACGTGTGATATCGATATATATCTTCAATTTTTTTTTACCAGATGCTGCATTTACGTGGGATCAATCAAACGTTAAACGCGCGTTAAACAAAGTCTGGGCTTGCGTTATGCACTGGGAATTGACGCCGCAACTGCACAAACAGTTGCTAATAGTTTTGCTGGAACGAGTCATATCGCATTTAGAAAAACCGGTGTTGTTAACCGACTTTTTGATGGACTCCCTAGACGCGGACGGTCCAGTCGGTGTGCTCGCGCTGCAGGGCGTATTCATACTTGTCACCAAACACAATTTAGAATACCCAAATATTTTCACCAAGTTGTATTCGATGTTCGAGCCTGAGATCTTCCATACGAAGTACAAGGCTCGTCTGTTCTATCTGTCCGATCTGTTTCTCAGTTCGACGTAAGTATTTTACGCAATTACGGTTAGAAAATCGTGTATATCGAGAGTTGAGATAGTAGATTGTAGAAGTCGAGATTACAAAACGAAAAATCAAAATTAACTTTATTTGAAGAATATTATTTCGACATTCGGAGAAAAACCTCAATATTCCTCTTTTTTTCCACAGACATCTACCGGAAGCGTTAGTAGCGGCGTTCGCGAAGCGACTCGCGCGTCTAACATTGGTCGCGCCACCGGAGGACATCCTGATAATCCTTTTCTTCGTGGGCAATCTGCTGCTTCGACATCCCGGGCTGAAGAGGCTGATAGATCACCCGCAGGGCGGCGAGGTCCCCTCGAACGCGAGCCTCGGAGCGGGCGATCCGTTCCTCATGGAGGAGCGCGACCCGTTGCTGAGCAACGCAATGCTCAGCAGTCTCTGGGAGATCCGGGCGTTGCAGTGGCATATCCTACCCAGTATCGCCACCGCTGCGCGTTTCATTCGCGAGCCACTGCCCACGAAGGAGTACGACATGGCGTCGGCGTTGGAACGCACCGGTGACCATCTCTTCGAGAACGAGCTGAAGAACAAAGTCAAGGACATCATGCTGACGTTCGAGAGACCGACCTCCATGGCGCTGCCGAAGGGCGAGAAGCTACTGCAATATTGGCAGCTCACGCGTTGATCCTGTACGCGGCGTGATCACGACGCCGAGAGTGCAATATATCGTGAGAAAAGAGCGGCCATATACATATATTGTCGTCGGTGTCGTCGACGAGATATGAGCCGAGGATGATGACGTTCGTGTTTCGGGTAAAGAATAAAGACTTTTTGTGTTTTATATGGCATATCTACGACGTGAAAAAAACAAAACAATGCGGCATATTTTTCTGTGGCGTTGAGCACCCACGTTCGAAATATTTAAATTGCGTTTGTGCATAATTCATCGATCGCGCGATACGAGCAAGGAAAAAAAAATGCACACATGCTTTTTGTTGTTTGTCTATCTCAGTTATATGTAAATTGATAGCTTATGTATGTTACGCATAAATTACGTGTAAATGCGCAACTGACTGGCATTCAACTCTTTCACTGCTCCTTATAACATTGTTATAAATTGTTGCACCTTTTTCTCGAGACTTGCTTAAATACGATAAGAATTCATGAAATTTTAACATATCATCTTTTATATCTTATACATACCAATGCAAAGAAAACAAGCATTAATCTGTAATTACAGTCTAATTTTTCTTTCTCGATATAAAAAAATTATTTCGTATATCAGTAGATAATTTACAAGAAAGAATAGAATTATTATTCGTGTGATTTTTCATTTTATAATTTAAAAGCTAAACATATATTTATAATTATGTATGTACATGTACATAAATGAAAAGTCTCGTATTAATTTTTCATTATGTAATACTTGGCTTATCTTTTTTTTTATCAAGCATTTGTATTATAAACACTACATACATTTAAATATCGATTTCGATAATTATTTATGGATAAAGAAAAAACATGATGCGTATTTACATCAAAATATTTTTTTAATCGAGATCGAGTCGAAGCTGAAATAAGCTTACATACTAACTCATTATTTGCCATATACATATAAAAATAGAATTTTATATAGTCGCATATCACGTTCGATTCTTCAAAAATGAACTTTTGGTCGGTGCAGCGAAAGGGTTGAAGTTTGCTGACCCTTCCTGATATTACAAAAAACGGAGTCGGTAACTGATGAACATCTAATCCGTACTAAAGATAATTTGCATACTTTGCAAAATTCACAGCTCTGCCGGTTATACCGAATGTAACGTTCTCGAATAGCGATTTTTTTTTTATATCCGCGAATACGAGATAAACTGAGATATTTTAATTTAACAAATAACTCCAATTTACTTTCACGATATAGCGCTGTTTGATATTGATACACAAAACTTCGTGTTCACAACATATAGGTAGGCATGATTCAATTGCAGGTTTAATTATAATATACATATATATTCGGGATTTTACATTTCTCTTCTCCTATATATAATGTGTATGTATATTATTTTCGTCATTAGCCTTCTTTGATATGTCACAATTCTGTATATTTGCGCCTCATTGCATATCGTCTCTTACGTGTATATACAAACGCTTTTATGTACATCAGTTAATCGATAAGTTATTATTATTACAGTATCGTTATGTATGTTGTCGCTTTGTGTCCAATACCTGAAAAAAAATCATAATAAAACAGATTATTAATTTTGATTTGATTGGATCATTTATTTAGTTAGCGATGTATATGGGAGTTATACATTTATGTGATCATTTATTTTTCAAAATGTACTATACGTGGTTTACATGCAACTATATAAAGTCAGGATTGTAAATAACAACCATCTCCATATTCAGCGTAATATAATATTTTACTAAAGTGCTAACAAAATTATAATTAATTTTTATATAATAATGAGTATTATATAAAATTAATGTTTAAAATTCTTCAAATTTTTTAAATTATTAAACTAGAAATGAAAACTATGAAGTATTAAATTAATACAATTATTACACGATTATTATTTTGAGCTGATAATGGGGATTGCTCTGATGAGAAAAATCTTTTCTCACAAACAACACACTTTTATATTTTCCACTCTACTTTGTTGTACTCATGTATGAAAAAAAAATCTTTTAGATAAAAGGTGGAATCAGGTGGAATCAATAAGCTCACCTCGACCAATAATCGCCATTCGTCCTCATTCAGAGCATGCTTTATCTTCACAAGGACGTTCGCTGGGATATTGGATGGCACCGAAGTCAATGCGGTACTCGGCGTGGTCGGCACATATTGCACCTGCAACAGCTGCGATACCGTGGGCCTTGCTTTCGGGTCGTGCTGAAGGCACTTCCGTATCACGTCGACCAGAATGGGCGGCGCGCGCTCACGATTCTCGCCGTTTATGGCCGGGAACGAAATGTTCGGTTTCGGATTAGTTATAGCGTTCACCTTTGCCCACTGAGAACGTATGTTATGAAAAGGCGTATGCCCATACACCAAACTGTACAAGATACATCCTAGTGACCATACGTCCGATTTGTAACTTATCTGTCGGGAGAGAGAAACATGAAATTTTTTCTGATCTCCGTGCTTTTCAATTTGTAAATTTTCAATCTATTCAAACTCAAAATCAAGTTATATGTAAGTTTTACATCCACTTATGCATTCAAGTAAGTTCTAATTTCAATTGAATCTTAATTTAAATGATTCTGATCGAGTCAAAATATTTCTTTAAATAATTATAAAAAAAAATATTCATTTGGAATTATTAATTATTTACTCCTGTCTTACCTTGTATTTAACATTGTGCGTAGGCGAATCCGCGTTTCCGCCAATGTCCATTAAGGCTTCCGGACTAATGTAATTCAACGTTCCAATCGGATTATTTTTTACAACGGACGTCATGTCCGAATTTACACTGGAGGCAATACCGAAGTCTATTAATTTGAGTCGGCCTCGTACTAGCAAAAAGTTTCCTGGCTTCAAGTCCGAATGTATGACCCCTAAACGCAAAGATGAATTTCTTTTCTCACAGGGTGAAAAACACGATTGTATCACGCGCAATTAGACGCATTATTTTTTTTTTACCGTTATCGTGTATGTGTTTTACAGCCGTGAGCATCTCAGTCCAGTAATAGAGAATCATCGTAAGAGAGATTTGCTTCTCTTGGGACATGGATCTCAAAAGTCGACTGAGATCGGTGTCGCCCATTTCCATCACCACGTAGACCATGAAATCTTTAATTTGACTGGAACGATCAAAATGAAATTAACGAGAATCCGTTAGAGAGGCGAATACTTCGTTAAATCTCATTCATCGAGTATCGTTAAGAAATCTCTCAAAAGTGTTTCCACGGCAAGGTATTGCTACCCTTGAATATTTGCATGATGTTTTGCAATGTATACTCACTAGTCGTGCATCTTGACAACGCAGGGCGCCTGTAACTTACGCAGCATGGTAATCTCGTCCAAGCAGCCCTGGGCCGAGTCTTTGTCCATCTTGCTAAAGTCAACGCATTTGATGGCGCGTAACTCGCCGCAGGACACGTCCTGCACTCGCAAAACCTCGCCGCTCATTCCCCGGCCGAGGGAGCCCAGGATCAAGTACTCCTTGTCCTTTACGATTAACGTTTTGCCTTGCCGCTGCGGAGGAATGCTCGACGGCACGGTGAACTGCACGTTTGTCATTTTATCTAGGAGCTGCAGGTCCTTGCTCTGTTTCTCGAAGACCGAGTAATGCGGATTCTTGCAGTTCGCATTAGGAACGCTGTTGTGCTCTCCGCTGTACTTCCGAGGACCTTGTATTAACTTAATATCCGTACTGGAACCGATTATTATCTGTTTTCCCTCACTTTGATTTGCCACAGTTTTTCTACCGTTTCCCAACGTATTAGACTGCTTGTTCTCCTTCACTTTCTCGATAGATTTCGCCGATTTCAGATCTGAATGTAATTATAACTTAACGCATAGCAAAATACGATTCTACAATAGTTTAAGATTTAATTACACGTAATTTGATGCGATGTAATGCTTACCATTACCGTGACTTGTTTCTGTCTGCATTAATTTCACATCCGACAGTCCGATCGTCTTCCTACTTCTCTCCTCCTGTGGTTGTGACTCGGATTTGATGTTTTTTGCCTCGGAACGTGTGTGCAACAGAAGCGGCTTTGATTCCACGGGATGAGCCGAAGACTCGCCGTGCAATGTGGAGTCCGTTAAGGGCCGTCTCACGTTTTTGGCATCCACTCCAAAGTATCTAAATAACGGAATTCAAAATTAATATTCTCCGCGACTGTTCGAAAGTGTGATGAAAGAATAATAATCCATTTTAGATGCAAAGAGCAATAGAAATCAAGTCTTATTTTTCGCAACAATTTGGCGAATATTTATCGAATTAAATATTTAGTTCATAAAAATAAGCAGAAAGTCTTAACGTTGTCTTAAAAAAAAAATTGTTTCTATTTAATTTAAAAAAGAAATTAAACGTTTTTTTTCTAATGCATGATAACAAAATAATATTACAGTATATTACAAACCTCGAAGAATCTGGTTTTTCTATGCTAGGTGTATGAACCGCATTCCTAGCCATTTGTACATGGTCCCTCGCAACGAAACTCTTCCCTTCCATCGGTGTGTGTCTCACATTATGATACCAACTGGATAATATTGTGGAAGGAGTTTGAGCATGATTCTTGTTCGGATCGCCAGACAGTTTGCTCTGCGGGGTTTGAAACAGTTGCTTATGCGAGTTGCACGGACTCGGGTGCACGTTGACTTGCACATGCTTCAACGGAGTTTCCGAGAGCATGCGATTGACCATGGTCAACGACTTGCTCGCTTCGCTGAGCGATGGTGTGCTAAATTCCGTGCAAGCATTTTTCGCCGGTGTATACATTTCATTCGCCTCGTACTTCGTGACGTTCTTTTGCAAATTATATCTTACAGGATGCATCAGATTTTCAGACGTTTGCTGCGTACAGGTGACAGAGTCCGACAGAGCGTTTGGAATCTTGTGAGACTCCTCCTCACAGTCCTTATTTGCCTGCTCGTTAAAGCTGAACGTACCTTTGTACCGCTGGTCATCCTTGCTCAGATTCAGCTCGCTGTTCCTTGTTAACAATATCTTGTTCTCCGCCGATGTGCTATACACGGATGCTTCCTTTCTTTTATTTAATATATCTGACTTGTAAGCATTTTCGTGAAGTAACTGATTACTGTTCATCGATTGTAGATTCTTATTCGTATCTAACTTTGTGTTATAATCCCCTTTATAAACACACAGCGGAGGTAACGCTGCATTTGTCGAGTGATTGTGAACAGTGTCCGTTTGACTCCTCAAAGTAAACGTTCCACTGTGATATTCCTGAGTTTTCTCTTCGTGTTTAGAGCTGCACATCTCGGATACTTCCTTTCTTTTATTTAACATATCTGACATGTAAGCATTTTCATGAAGTAACTGATTGCTATTTATCGATTGTACATTCTTATTCGTATCCAATTTTGTGTTATAATCCCCTTTATAAACCGACGGCGGAGGTAACGCTACGTTTGTCGAGTGATTATGAACAGTGTCCGCTTGACTCCTCGAAGTAAACGTTCCACTGGGATATTCCTGCGTTTTCTCTTCGTGTTTAAAGCCGCACATCTCTAATTTACTTGGATCGCTAACTCTATGACTTTCAAAATTTACATCGCTGACTTTACACTGTTCCCTATCGGTTGCAAAGTTTGTTCCTCCTTGTACAGAAGGAGTGTTAATCACAACTTCATGATTCTCTTTTGGCAGTACGCATGCAGTCTTCAAGACACCATCTGTTGGTTCAATCAACAAGGAATTGATGCCTTTAAGTACGAGCGTCTCCTGTGGGGCATCTTCAGGAGAGTCGTCTTGCGGCAGAGGCTCGTCGAAATCCAACTCGTCCTCAGATTGATGGGGCTTCTCCTCGCTCTCATCGTCGTCATCATCCTCATCGCTTTCACACGAATGCAGAAGTGCCTTGAGGCGTACTGGCTGTGACTTTGGCAGCGTGATATTCTGCGGCAATCTACCGGCGCTCATGTTGCCAAAACTGTATCTGTCGTTAGTCGTAAGATCCGACATCATCAAGAGACTTCTGAGATAATCTTCACTGATCTGAAAGAAAAAAATATATGTTTAAACAATATTAATTACAATTCTAATCTAAAAAAAAACAGAACTATGATAAACATAAAACTTCAGCGTTTACTGCCAGTTGCAATAAGAGATTTTATTGATATATTTATGTAGAAAGATAAATTACTAAAAAAAATTTGGCATACAAAGCTAAGTAGATTTGCTGAAATATTAATAGAAATTAGAAAATATTATTCACATCCACAATTCTCTTCTAAAAAAATTATTTTTTAACTCGAAATAAATATGTAATCATTATTTGACTAATATATTTATCATTATTTATTTAATGTGATATTTAACTATAACATTATTATATGTAAGAATAATATACATTTTTTAATACTGTCATATTATTTTAGCCAAAAAAATCTCTTCTTTGAATATGTATAATAACATAAAATAACTAAAAGAAAGATATGCAGCACACATATAAAAGTTACACATGTGTTATTATTTTTCATTATTACAGGAGCAAATTCTTCTCAAATGAAATCTGAATCCATGATATAGAAACATATATAAAAATTAATATACAATTTTCTAAATTGTATATTAATTGATTATTCATTTCACTTTCATATTGTAAAGGAATGATTGTATCGAAACTGATATAGAAACATATATAAAAATTAATATACAATTTTCTAAATGATTATTCATTTCACTTTCATATTGTAAAGGAATGATTGTATCGAAACTGATCAAAACAGCCGGTGTACAGAAATCACATAAAACATCATAGATACAAACTAATACATTAATTTCATATTCCATTATAATATAATTAAATTCTTATTGTTAAGAATTTCTACTACTGGCAAATTTGTGATTAGAAGTGATTCTATTGTCTTCATGAAATAATGTTATTAGACAATATATTATTAGAAATAATATGTTATTAGAACTAAATAAGAATTATAAGTATAAAAAATCCGATTCCGATACTCTTATTAGAAATGCATTTATGTACAAATTTTCAAGTGTCATTACGAAAACATACAGAAGGAAAAATTTTTGGTTAAGTATTTTCTTTCCCTCTCTCTTTCTGAAAGATGGATCCAGGGAGCCATAAGCTTCCCCGAAGTAAATAATCACTTAAAGACGTTCGTGTGGCGTGTGTCTCACGTGTGCTAGGAGTTCATCGACCCGTTCGACGATCAAGCCTATTTTCCAGTGATCGATTCTTGTGATCGAAGCACACACAGAGCAGAGAGAACTTGGGAAGCTACTCCTTCGCTGCGAGGACCAAGCACCTGTCAAACTGAGCAGTCTCCGTAGATCGGTCCGTCGATCGACAGAAGGTACACGTCCGTACACATCACGAGCCCGTCTGCACGTTATATACGAGCATATTATTCACGACTCGTACGACGGTCTTACCCTACGCGCGGCACACGAGCATCGCCACTTCGTGCATCGCTTTCAAACTTGAACGCCTTCGACTCTCTACCGGTCGGCCGCACACGTCATGGCGTTTGAATTCGCGAGCGCGGCGCCCATTGGTCGATGTTCTAGGGACAATTCGGCAGTAGAACGTGAGGAAGGTGATAGGAATGTTTTAGGCACGCCATTGGCAGAACATTTCAACGTGGAATTTTCATGTTCTTAAAATATTATTCATAAGTGTATATTTAGTTATAAAAATTGAATTATATATTAATATATTTCTATAATATTTATTATATACTATCATATATAAGATATTATAGATAATATATATTGTCATATATTATAGTATCATAATACATATAATATATAATTTATTATATAAATATTGTTACATTATTTATACTTAATATTCTTATTAATTGAATAACCAATAGAGTAAGCTTAAATTATATATCAAATTAATCGCGCGTTTTTTTTTTAATAAATTTGAGATTAATAGTAATTTCTTAAATTTTGATAAATTTATTTGATTTTAAATTTCAATGTAAAATATTTCATTATGCAAGTTCGATCACGATTGATTTTCGTCAATTGGTTAATATCTAGGGAATTTTTGAGCGCAAAAATTATATTCTTATTGCTAACGCAATTAAATATGTATTTTTAAATCTACTGTCTGTTTAAAAAAAAAAAATCGAAATTCTAAACTTACATAATGAAGTCCATAACAGATACAAAAGCGTACAGAATAAAAAGAAATAATGTAACTTCAGCGATAGTGAAATGATTGATCACAGTTGAAACATTAACCATCATTCCTATAAAAAATTAATGTATTTGTAGATGTAAATCACGGACGAATGTATTGGTCTAATGATTTATCTATATAAATGCAATTAACATATGATAATAGGGAATTAATTAAATTATATGCAAACCTATACATTTAAAATGAGTTTTGTTGTACAAAAAGAAAAGAGCGTGTAAATAAGTCATATTTTAATTCAAGGTGGAAATACAATACAACAGTTCTCCTTAATACCAACCGATTTAGAGATATGAAATCTATTCGACTGAAAACTTCATCGTTTCACAAACGATGCGTACTGAATACAAAAATGAAGAGAATGCTATTAGTTGTTTTGCTGCTGTATGTTAAAAATCGTACACAGAAATTGTATCTTCTAATCGCGGAATCGTCCTCCCCACCGATGCTATATGTCCATAAAAATGTCTCGGGAACTGTGATAGAAACCGAAATAAAGTCGGCTTAGTCCCCCCCTCCCCCCCGCCCTCACTCTCTCTTTCGGGAAATGCACAGTCTTCGTTTCTGAAGTTCCTCTCCTATGAAATATTGTCTAGCGCTTGACATTTTTTGTTGAAGTAAATTGTATATATGTGTATCCATTACCTACGCAATTATTTATAATAATAAATCTCGTCTCTGTCACAGTTCGCGCACAAATTACTCGGCGATTAAATTAAGTTATACTTAACAGCTATTCTCCTTTATACATTATCTCTTTCTCTCTCTCTCTCTCTCGTCTTGAAAAGAACCAAATGTGAACCCGGTTACTATTCGCTTCTCGACTTTCCTCAGGAAGTCCGCTCCTGCGCATGTTTAGGAACTACTTTAGCAGCAAATATGATGACACAAGCGATTCGTACAACACGGGTATGTGTTCTATTTATAATCATCATCTCTCTTTCTTTCTTTCTCTCTCTCTCTCTCTCTCTTTTCATTTATGATCTAGTAATTATTCTAAGCGTGTTTTTCCTTCTATTTCCCTCTATCTTTTTAATGAATAATGCTCAAAGTTTCTATACAAACATATTGGTTCTTCACGAAAACGACTGTTGCTACAAAATTTAAATTAATGACAATGATTCACACGACGAAACTAAACGCTCGCCCCTCTCCTCCCTCTCTCTTTCTCCACTCTCTTTTTCTCTTTTCCTCGTTTTTTCTTCTCTTCGTACAATGTCAGGAACGAATTCAAGAGTGTCGAGACAATGAACGAATCGAAAGAGGTATAATGAGCAGCTTCGTAGGACGTATTCCCCTCGCGTGGCAACGTATATTGAGGAAACAGAGATATAAAAAATATTTTATTTAAATCTTTAAAAACGAAATTAGGAATTGCGAATAATGAGAAAGGAAGTATACTAGGCTACTCCGAAAATAATTTTAACGTTTCCCATTATTATAATTGAGAGCCCGTAACGGTGCTTTGAATGTGGACGCAGACTGTTGCTGGATCTGATATGCTACAGGATGAATTTTAAAGCCGTATAATCTGGAAAATAAAAACTATCTTTTAACTTTCAAATTTCATGCTCTATACATGCGAAAAATTAAGTTTTACATGAACGTTAATGATAATTAAACATTTTCGCTTTACTTTTTACTTTATTTTGATATTATATATCTGTTGACCTATTTTATATTAATCAGTTTTTGATTAATATAAATTTTTGATTGATATATTATTAATTTTTCCATTTTTGATTTTTGATATAAAATTTCTTCGATAAATACTATATGAATGTTGCAAATGCTTTGTTTAAATAAATGCAAGATAAAAATGTGTTGCATATATCAGCAAAATAAGGATGAATGCAATCATTAATCAGCTAATCACATCTCTATCTTTTATTTAAAATTTTAATATTTGTATACAATAATATTAAGATTCCTCTAGTTAAAGAGATTTATATTGATATATTTGAATTATCTACTTGCTGTGTATAAATATTATTTTTATTTTATCTGTAACTTTATCATAAAATGGCAAAATTGTAGTTCAATACCATTAGAATTTGCTCAAAGACAATATCTTGAACTTGGAACTCTCTTTTGTCGTGCAATTAGTCACTCTCTATTATCTACTCCATTATTAAAAATACCTATCATTTATCACGTTGATATGTAATCTGACACTTACCTAGGTACAAATTGATTTGCCGCACGTTTTGGTCTATATTCAGGATGAACCATGAATAGCATATGTGGAAATCCAGTTCCAAAATACGCTCCGTCAGTGTGATGATGTCTCGAGCTTTTCGGTGTATAAACGTCCATGCATTTAGGACAGTAGCTTTTGACCATTGCCTCGCCAGGAACATCGCTCAGCCCTAACGGCAGCATCGGCTGGGATTCGCAATAAACTCGCGGGCAATGACCGAAATCGCCCGCTTGGTATTTCTCGATCATCTGAGCAATGCCACGATTGGTAAGTATGTAACGTGCGTGGATGAGACCATAGAGCATCTCCGCAGCTTGTTCGATCAAATCCGATTGATTTGGATTATCGTCCAGATCATCGTCTAACAAATAAAAATTGAATAACAAACATTAGAAATAGAGTGTGGTATATATATTTTTTTGTTTTCACAATTTATTTGATACACTTAATGATAGTCGATAGTTTAGTTTATCACTATTAAAAAACTTACCAGGTTCAAGATCAAGAATCATATCTAATGCCTGGCGATAATGTGGTACTTGTTCATTCAGTCCCGTTAAATTGAATTTATCTTGAATATAGTCCTCATCCACCTAGGCATGATTTAAACAATTTAAATAAATAGCAAAGAGATATTATTCTATTCTTGGACAAGAATTGAAATATATATTGGAAAGAAAAAAAAAAAGATGAATCTTCAACAATAACAAAATATATGCACGTGAATAGTTTAATAAAAAATATGATTAATGTATGTGTGTGTGTATGTGTGGGTGTGACATACAATGTAAAACATTAAAAGAAATTCAACACTTTGTTAAATGTTTAAAGCACAGCAGATATGTAGATAATAAAAGATTTATCCTTTTTTTTGTCCTTTGTAACTGATATATACTTGTATTTAAAATAAACAGATATAAATTTGAAAAACGGTAAAAACAAGATAGAAAATTTTAGTATAGCTCAGTGCAGAGACAAAGAACAGATAAGATGACTAACAAGATCTATGTACCAAGGGTACCATGAACATGCAAACGAAACCCTGACTCCAGTCCTATTTTACCGTTCTACTATTCTTACACTAATTATGAACAAAATTTTTCAAATAAACATTACATACGAAACCCTGACTCCAGTCCTATTTTACCGTTCTACTATTCTTACACTAATTATGAACAAAATTTTTTCAAACAAACATTACACTTTTGCATCAACTTATGGCAATGGGACGCAAGAATAATTTGGCTTTCCAGCGTTGAGAGGTACATATCGCCGAACTCTTAAATACACCGAAGATGACATCGGGGACGCGCCCCTCGATTACTCACCTCGCAAAAGAACTCGTTCCCGCGTAAACCGCAGAACCACGAGATCCAGGACACCTCCTCGGAGCTGCTCATTTTCCTGCGGCAGAAGAAACCGTGGGGGGAATCCCGTTATTAAGCGTTAGGTAGTGGGTAGAGAAAAGGCGACGAGGGCCGGCCGAAGCGATGAGGAGATTGCACGTGTACCCGGGTGTCACGTTCTCTCTCTCTCTCTCTCTCTCTTGTTCGCACGCTGGTTCCTACACACGCGTGTGTGTGAACGACGCGTCGTCGTCGACGATGACGGAGGCGGCAACGGCGGCGGTGGCGGTGGCGGCGGCGACGACTACCGTTGCCCACATCGTGATGCGGGCAGAATTGGTTAGAGCGGCGCGTACGCGAGATCGACGGGGGAAACGACGAGGGGGGGAGGGGGGTGAGAGCCACGGACGTATATACGGACGGCGGACAAACGGAGGGGGGGTAGGAGTAAGAGTGAAGGCGCGGGGGTGTGCAATGGAGCTCGCTTTACTAGGCAAGATGCCCGACAAGTTACGGCCCCGTCCGGCGCGTTCACACCTACGTTTCCGTGGTCATTGCTGCTTCGTCAGCTGTTTTTCGAGCACGGTGCGCGATGCGACGCGGCCAGGAAGCGCATTACTCATGCAAATTGCAAACGCGGAGCACGGCTACCCGACGAAAAACCGAAAATAAACAGCCCTCGCGGCTTACCTCTTGGTGCTTTGATTAGCCACGCTTGCTCAACCGAACGGAGTGTAGCTGGCGCTGTCGGTGCGCGCGCATCGCATCCGCCATCTTCCGGCGTGTCGCGAAGCGGGTGTCCCGAAGCGCCGTTCACAATTGGGTGTGCGCCCTGGGCGCTTCGTGGGCGCTCTCGTATCTGATTGGTATATTTCTCCGGATCCTAAAAATATGGACAAAGGTGCGAGAGCTCTAGTGGAGCGCTCAGTGAGCGGCTGTTGGCTAATAAAATTAAAAATATTCCAGTGAATTTGGTTATTTTTGTTATTTTCACCTTATTCCAGGATACATGATCAACCCCCTGGATGCATTCAATGGGGGGGTGCATTCAGCGGATTCAACAGTTGATTCAAGTGAATTGCTATTGGTGTATTCTTCTAGATCTAAAAGATTGGATGACCTAAAAGAAAAATACACCAATAGCAGCGAACACACTTAACTGTTGAGTCCATTGAATGCATTCAATGGACTGTTGTACTGGAGTAAAAAATTCTCATAGTAAAAAAAATTGATTTTTTGGTCCTATATTGATCCAATTATTTAATTCTATCCCCGCCTGTCACGCGAAGTTCGATTCTCCCATCGGGGAGGTCTTTTTTGTATTTTTTATTTTTCTTATTATTCAGTATAACGTTACTTATTATTTTGTTATTGTCATTTGCATTATTAAGAAATAATATAATTTCTATTAGATTAAACATATATTGCAAATATCGATATTTACAATATATGTTTAATCTAATAGAAATTATATTATGTTTTAATAATGCAAGTGACAACAACAAAATAATAAATAGTTATATTGAATAATTAAAAAAATGAAAAATACAAAAAAAATCCTCCCCGACGGGGAATCGAACCCCGGTCTCCCGCGTGACAGGCGGGGATACTAACCACTATACTATCGAGGACTCTTGGTTTTATGTTTCAAATATTATGATCTAATTTTTAAAAAGTAAATCTATAATAAATATAGAATATATATACTTTAAATGTTATGATCGGATTTGTCATTCAAAGACATTGTAATTTATTCCGATATATCTCAATTATTTTTTAATCATTTTTCATCTTTATATCAAAAGAAAAAATTGTGCTTGTAGAAATGCTAATTGTGAAATTAATATTTGATTTAATTTTAAAACCAAAATCTCTCTATTATTCTTGTTTCTATGTAATCTTGCAAAATGGACCATACATTTTTTTTAACAATAATTTTATTTATAAATCAATAAAACAAAGAAACGCTATCACTTACAAAAATAATCAAGGTTTATGTATTAATTGTAACAATATCTCGAGAATCTCTTGTTTTTGTTTGGACACCGCGATCCTTTGTCTCCTCTCCTCGATCTCCAGCTCGAGTCTCGCCTCGCGTTCCTTTCTTTCCATCTTAAACTTTTCCTCCTCGAGCTGAATTCTCCTCTCCTCCAGATGGAATTGCTTCTCCTGAAGTTCCACTTCCGTCTTATGTCTCTCTTGCAAAAAATGCAACGTTGATTTCTTCAACGCGTCGTGGCGCACTTTGTTCCTTATCGGGCCACCTGTTCTCGACGGCGACGTGGTCGGCGACCGCAGTGGGCTCCCGGAAGTCAGCGGGGTCGACGATGAGGATGAGGATGACGAGGTTGGCGACGGTAAGGCGATTGGCAACAACGCCGACGATGTGAACGGCGGCATGGACGTTGCCACCGTCGGTTCTTCTATTATCACTTCCAGAGTATCGGAAATGTTCTCCAGAGCCACGTCCCTCTGTATTCTCGACTTCTGCGCGTTAGAGCCTTTGCCGGAACGCCTGAATTCCCTCTGCAAGTCTTGCACTTGCTGCAGAAGCCCCTCCTTTTCATTGTACTGTTCCTCGGTCCCCGACCTAAGAGGATCAAAGATACAATTGAGAGAGCATGCGAGAGCAAATTTCTCTTTAAAGCCATAAAGGTCCATCTTCACGACCGAGATGTGTCAACGACATTATTTCAATAACGCGCCTAAAATGTGTCAATTACGGTACGTCTTATGTAATTATAATTGGAAACAAAAGCGACCGAGATCAGCGAGCTCCTTAGCTTACTTCCTCAGGTGCGCGCGGCCCTCTCGGGCCCAGATCTTGAGCAGGTGATCGACGTGCTCCTTGACGCAGCGCAGGCTGAAGTTCTTCTGCGTCGCGTTCACCACCCGCTCGGCGACGGCCTTCCACCGGTCGCTCTCCTCGTACGGGTTCTGCCGCGAGACCTCGCGCAGAAGTATCAGGTCGTCCACAATTGTGAAGCGGAGCCGCTCCGGTTTCGCCATCGGGTCTGATAAGCGGGCTGGACAGCACTCTCGTGCGGACGTCCCTCCGTCACGTCGCGAGCGTCACTCGCCGTGCAGCAGCCCTCGTCGTAATCTTGCCGTCGTAGCCAAGCGCGAACGCTCTATCTCGCCCGCAATAACATAGCAACATGGCATTGTCGAGAAGTGAGATATCGCCCCGCACTCGTCGTACGGCGCAGTGACATACCCAGCCTCTCTGACGACCACCCAACATATGGCGGACTTGACATACCTACCGCTGCGTATCGAGCGACTCGAAACCATCTCTATCGACCGCGGATGATAAAATCGACATCTGTTTCGGTAGATACGTTCCCTTTTCCTATATTTCCAAACGTGTGCGTCAGTGCGTATGTTTCCTAACCTCAAAAAAAAAACAACTTGTTTGCTTTGATTTTCCTCGTGAAAAGGAGTTAAGATTGCTCTTGTCGTCCACACTCTTTCGCGAAAGATCGCGAGGATTTTTATCAGTAAGTGCGATTTTTTTTATCTCGCGACGTTTAAAAATTCTAAATAAACATACCTGTTTTCCGGACGTATTCGGAAATTAATCAATTAAAAATGAATAGGTTTAAATTGAGCGCTAATATAATATAATATTGTAATATTATCAGAGAAATTCTCAGGTGGAAAATGTTGGAGATAACGTGCAACGATCGTCTCGGCAAGAAGGTTAGAGTGAAGTGCAATCCGGACGACACCATAGGAGACCTGAAGAAATTGATAGCCGCCCAGACTGGGACGCACTGGGAGAAGATCGTGTTGAAGAAGTGGTACACCATCTTCAAGGATCATATAAAATTGCAGGACTGTATCCTTTAAATACTTCGAGGAAACCGAGTCGAGAATATTTTCTTCATCAATTATCTTGTATTTCTCAAGATCTTTTCCTTAATACACTGCCTCAGATGAGATACACGACGGCATGAACTTAGAGCTCTATTATCAATAAATCTATATAAAATAACATTACATGTAAGCGATTTTAATATTATAATACATCTAATTATATTAAATTTCACTTTCTTTTCTATATTTAAATATAATGTGTGTGTGTATGTGTGTATATATATGTATAAGAATAAAAGATTAAATATAAAATATTAAACGATCACAAGTGTCAACAAGGAAAACAATTTCTATTTTTGCGTTATACAAGCCTCATAAATATCACTATATTTTTAACAATGTCTATTTTGTTCTACAAATTAATAGTTTCAATTGTGTCGCACATAATAGTATATATCTATGCCATTTGATATTAGTGCCTCTTGTGACTTGTATGCCCAGGATTATCCTGCCAGGATGCAACTCAAAGATATATTAGCAAGGTGAAAGTAGTAAATCACTCGCTAGAAGAACGAGAAGGATAATCTTGTTAGGCATGTATTCATTCTTATCCTGCTACATGTAACTTGCTCTCGCAGCTTTGCTATATATCTTGATCGCATCCTGTGTATTCTATATAAATACTTTGTGTAAATTTAATTTAGATTCATAATTATTCAGTAATTTTCACTCTCTCAAGTGTCACGGCAAACTGCAAACGCTATGAAAAAATATCGTTAAACAACATGATACTCTAAAACATTGCCCTTTGAAACATCGATCTAAAAAGATTTCCCTTTATATAGTTAAAACTGCCTTTATATGGTTAAAATTATATAAAAAATATATCCGAGTATTAAAAGAAAACAAGACTTGGCGGATCACGCTTGGAAACACGTTAAAGTCTCAAAGATTAATGCGGCCGCTTGAACAATCCTTCTACCCTGCTTATCGGACTTTCGGGTTCCACCATTTGCCTACCTCGGTTGCTTAAGAAGTCTCTTATGTGCTGCACTATCAGATCTATCGCCACTGCAAACAGATCACGAAACATCAGTATGCAATCGCGAATGTGATGCGCAATTTACGTCGGGGAATAAGATGAATTGCTTTATTTGCGATATAACATTATACATCTTGGAACAATATCAAATTGTAGATATTTGGAATTAATTGTTACCATCTCGAGTAACAATTATGATCGCATTACGATTACGTATGGTTTTATTATGCTTAAGACACTTGTGTTCATATACTGTTTTGCAAATACAAGAGATCTTTTTTTTTTTTATTAACAACAAGCGATAGAGTGTCCCAGAACTGGTATTCTCTTTCTTTCTCTCTCACTCTCTCGACTACAAACTATTCTTTTTTTTTTTTTTGGTATACATCAGGAAGAATTAATAGTCTCAAAATCGAGACTACTCAATAAAACTAAAATTTAAGCTATATATAATAAAAAGTTAAGATTTCAATGAATTGAGAAGTTAACGGATCAAAGAGAAATTGAATAGAGATTTTTTAATAAAGATTTTGCTTCAAATTTAATTATTATTTGTACAAACAGGAACAAATTATGATCCCATTGGAATTACATTATATTAAACAAAACTAGTTTCGAGATTTTTGCTGTACAAAAAAAGGAACTAACTGTTGGCGTATCTTGTATGCTTGTACATACATACATATTGAAATACAAAATTGATATTATAAGAGTGTAATAGGCAAATATTTCCACGTAAGTTAAGTCTAAACTAGATAAATTGCATCTTAGATAATTATGCTAGAGGATACTTGCATGTGATTACATTTTTTAAAGTATTATGCAAAATGCAAATGCAAAACATATAAGTTATTAGAAATCGGATAATGTCTTATAGAGCAGTCTAAAATTTATGCGGTATTTAAAATATTACATTTATACACACAAATTTACACACGTCATCACACATATCACAGATACAATATCGCACACATACATTCTATTTGTAAGTTTTGTTTTATATAATACTTGAGACATTTGTCCAGGAGATTGAGTGACCACAGACAGTTACATGATATGATATTAAGTTATAATCAGCAAAAGATGGCCAAGTTAAAATTAAACTGATAGGAATTTACTTAACGAAATTGAATTCCTAACTTTTCGAAATCAGGAAATGTTTCGACAATTCTTTGTATTTTTATTTTATATCTTCTTATATAAAGAATATTTTATTTCTTGTAAAAAAATGAATTATTTCTTCTTATATAAAGAATTGAGAAACAAATAATTTATGAAGGAATATGAATTAAAATAGTTTTCAAAAAGTTGTCCCTGTTCGATCTGTACTTACATTATATTACTTGTAATTAAAAAAAAAAAATTATTTTATATCAAAGAATATATAATTCTTTAGTAAGTAAACACGAAAAATATAAAAAGCGAAGCTAGCTTATTGATGAAATAGAAAAAAACTTTAAAAAGGTATTAGAAAATATTAGATAAAAATCCAGAGTTGAAAAATTAAGAATTCAGCTGTGTTAACTGTAAGTATTGCTTGTACGTCAACATCTCTTCCTCATCTATTTTTTTAGTGGATTTACGCAATTTCATGCATTTTTCGATGATTTGGAATTGTAATTTAACTCACGCTAATGTATTCATTCGGAATAAAATATGTATAAAAAAGCACCATTTTCTCCGCCTTGTAAATGTAAGATATAATCCGTCAAAGATCGTAATACGTAGTTGGCGAATAAACAATGTCCGTTCTCATTGTATAAAATTTGAATTGTTGAAGACATATTGTATTCAATTGACCACACAATCTGACGTTTGTGAAAGTATCACAGCAGAAATAAAAATCCTAGACGTTAGTAAATACAAAGTTTTCGTATAAAAATTTAATACTTGTCGCAGTCAGTTGATTGATCTCGACAGAAGTTATTTCAATCTAATTAGATAAATATTATAGCAAAAGTATTTATCGCATTTACGTGTTCTCTTTCTTTTATGTACTCGACTTACTATTTACGTCGTATGTCTTAATCTATTTGTTATTTAAGTTACTGCCAATTGATATCAATGATATAAATGTGAGTAATCCTGCATTCAAAAAAAAAAACGGACATTACTTCTCCGTTTATTATTAGAAAAGGGGATTGGAAAATGTCGCAGAGAATTCAGTCATACATAAGAGCGTGATGTAGAAAAAATGCAGTGCTTGACAGAGTGAGCTTATCATGCTTAAGTCATCTGCTGAGCGTGTCGGATGAGGCCGAGGTACGCCTACGCTGGTAGAGGAATGGATGCTGCCCGGCTGAGTTTTCGGCGTTTTTCAAACGCATAATATCCCAGATGTGGTGCACTATTAGATCTATTGCCACTGCGAACATACAATAACCAGACCATGTAGGTTTCCCGTGAGATATTCTCCGTTTCTCTTAAACTTTCGCTTAAGTAGGTGTAGCTCTGACATCCACAACCACGGCATACCAGGCAGCACCCATGAGGTATATAACAAGTTGATGCAATTTGAATATATAAACAAGGAGAAAATAAAAAAAAACTAACGTGTAAATTATCCCGTAAAGTATAAAACTTGGGTGTATACACAAATTAATTATTACCAAGGGGACCGCATAAATAATTGTACATCCAAGTTTTAAAAAGTTGTTAAGAATTTATGTACGATTGAAAATTTTTTGCGATCATATCAACTGTACAGTTATTGTATGATAGTCTCCCATATGTAGGCAAGTGCAGTATCAAATAAAAGCATTACCATATTAGACAATCATGTATCTTGATCATGACTTGTTATTGTTAAATATCTGATTAAAAATTTCAAGTTTTCTTTAAGTTGAAATATGTTAGAGTATTGTAATATTGTTACTAACAAGGGAACCTCGCGAAGTATTAAATTCTGATTTTAATGAAACTTTGTACACTTTTAAGTTACGTAAATAAATGAATTTAAAAAAATATTGGTGTTAAAAAAACGGTTTGAAAGGGTGAAATCAACCCTTCTATGTAAAACAGTTTTCAGTTCTTTTCGTTATATCTCGGAAATTATTTAAGAAATTAAAAAATGTTCTATACAAAAATTTTACAGTAAAATTATCTTTATTTATTTACGTTAATAATATTTTTTTTAAATAATTATTTTAAAAAATATTAACATTTCCACGTTAATAGTAGCGTTTCGTCATATTCGTATTATTTTATTGTTTTCTGTGACAATAAAATGTCGCGAGATTCCCTTGTAAGACAATGAGTATACATGGTTTAATTACTGTTCAATATAATTCTTTCTCAATACAAATATCTCATCTTTGCAAAAAGGGTTAATTGAAATTTTTAATTAATAATTCAAATAGTTACGAGTATATTTATTACAATTTGTGTAGCAAAAATTAAAATATATAGTTAGGATATATTTCTCAATTTGCAATATTGAATCATTTTATAAATTTTAAAATTTTTAAATTTTTAAAATCAAAGCCAAAAATATAATCATAATTCATAGAATGAATTTTTGTTGTCTAGATTTGAACAACTCAAGTATTAATCATTAAAAATCTTTCCTTCTTAATTACTTTTAACACAAATTATTAATTATTTTATTAAATAATAAATTTTGTAATAACTCTTGTACAATAATTATAATTTCTTTTTATTTTTGCTACTATTTATTTCTTTATTCTTTAGTATCTACAGTTGAGAAGAGAGAGAGAGAACAGTTCTGGAATGCTTTGCGTAATTTGAATATTGTAACCGGCACAATAACAGTAATTATGATAATAAAAATACATATTTCTAATTCATTTCATAAAGAAATCAAAAAGAAAACTTGAAAAAATACATTTTAATTAATATGATAGTCAAACACGAAAGCTTTCTGAATGAAATAATATTATAATAAAATGCATTATAAACCGAAAAAAAAGATACAAATATTTTATAAGTAATATATCTGACAAACACACTAAATTCACAAAAACAATAAACCCACTAATGAACATTAAGCGAGAGATATCAAATAATTACAGTAGTTGCAATAAAAATATTGTTATGCATATAATAATGTATTACCTGTATTGTCTGCTCCCCTCGGTATTATAACATCCGCAAATTTTTTTGTCGGCAAACAAAACTCCTCGAAAGCTGGTTTCACAAAGTTCATGTATTGATTCAAGACGTAATCCAAATCCCTTCCACGTTCCTTTATATCTCTTGGCACTAAAGGAATTAACAACGTTGTGATAAGTTGCGACAAGTGCGACGAGTGATAATCAAATTATACGCAGACTTACCTCTTCTAGCAAGTCTGGTATCGGAATCGGTATCCACGAACAATTTCATGTGAAACAAATCTCGAATTTTGGGAAAATAAAATACCAGTATTCCTTCAAACAATACCACATCCGCGGGATATATTGTGGTAACTTGATCTTTCATTCTGAAATATTAAATTCATAATTTCCCTCTTTAAATAATTTTTGCAATTTGCGTAAGATTTGTTTCTCATAGACATCTATTAAATCGCTGTATTTTAATTATTTTGCAACTCTAACTTTTTCATTTCTATTAATTGCTGTGTAAATCAGTCAATCCAAAGATAGTAAATTAACACTAATATTAAAGTAACACGTACAAACTGTTTGTCCTATAATCATAAGCTGGTATTTCACACTTGACGCCGGCAAGTATGTCCTGCAGCGTTTGCAAGATTAGATCATCGTCGAAGGCGTCGGGATGATCAAAATTATACTGTCCCTTCTCGGCTTTCACCTTTTCAGCAGGCGTTAAATTACGATAAAAGCTGTCTTGCGATATGCACACCACCCGACGCTGTTGGTGATCCATATCGACCTGCCCTAATTTTTCCATTATACGCTTGCATACTGTAGACTAAAAACAAAGGCGACTTGTCAGGACGATCCAATTATTTTTCTATCTGACCATTCTTATTGGATTTCATTTATCTTATGATAATTAAATAGAGCATAAAACCAATTCATACATTATTGATTATTGCATGAAGAAGCTATATATTTACTGGTTACAGAAACAGTTTTCTTTTACAAGCAGCTGCTACAAAAATAACCGGAACTCACAAAAGTTAAAAATATTAATTTGAACGCACCTGTTTGTGCGTCACAGAATGTCAAATGATAAATAAAACGATTTTGAAATAAAAGAGAAAAAAAAATCAGGGAGCGAGAAAGCTCTGTGAATTTCTATAGAAAGTAACTCGTGTAACACACACGTGCCTCTATCGACCGATTAGCTATCCTTATCTATATAAATTAATTTCATGCACGATGTATGTATGTACAGGTACCTTTCCGCTCGCGGTGCCGCCGGAGACGCCTATCAGGAAGGGCGTCTTGCTCTCGAAGCCGTTGAGCTTGCCGTTGATGCCGAAGGACGTTTTGCGCGTGATGCCCACGTTCGCTGGCATATCTGCCATTGTCGAGCACGCGAGAACGAAAAAACGGCCCTCTGACCTCGGTCGAAGACGGGATTTTCACTTGGCGCGGCCGAAGCGCGACAGCCGAGAGTAGCTGGGGGACGTCGTCGTGGCCTGCGACGCGTTTCCTCGATGCTCCCCGCGGACGTCCGACGGTTTTACAGACGATGCAGCCGTAACCTCGGTAACCACCGTCCCCTCGCTGCTGCGGACCGTTTGCGGCGTAGTGGAGCAGACGCAAAACGGAGGTGCGGGCGCACAAAGTCAGCCGGCCACGTGTGTGTATACGGTATACCGGGAGCGTCCCTCTGGGCTGCGTTCAGTAAGCTTCGCCTAGGTGCATCTAGATGTCATTTTATCCTTGTTTAACATTCGGCGAATAACAAGGATAACATGATATATCATGAATTCCCGAAACGCAGCCCTACGTTCGATCAGCTCGATTACGTCGCGATGCGACCGTGGCCATTCGCAGCTACCGACGTTTGGAACTTTTCCGTTGATCCCGGCAGGTCCTGCCATCGAATTGGCCAATTGGCGACGTGGTTCTTGAAATTTCCCTCGCTGCCACTCGAAATTCATGAAAATTCTAGAACGTCCCAGATGTTCTTTGCTTGACAGTCGATAAATGCGATCGAACTTGCTCGAAAATAATAGCTCGAGACATATATATATATATATATATATATATATATATATATATATACGCGAGTTGAATAAATTTATATTTAATGATCAATTAGTATTATTAATATTAACTAATGTTTAATAATTTAATGTAACTAAATAAGGACGCTCATTAAGATAAAGCACTACTTCAAAATATAAACAAGAGCGGTATGATATCTCTCTTATTATCGACGACGAAAATATATAAACAATGCATTTGACTATCTTTTTACGAGCGTTCGCTCAATACATAGTTTTTTTTCCAGTTTACGTATTTCTCTACCTTGGACGTTCGACTGAAGTCAAGCCAGCCATCGAAAATCAAGACCTCACTTGTGTCCCGGTAGAAGTAGGCGTTTGCGATCGAGGGTGGCAGGATAATTTCGGAAAAATCGAAAATCTCGCTTGAAACGAATTTTCGGCGGGATTAAACGGGGGTGACAACAACGGACACGATGATCGAATCACGTGAGTATTATCGAGCGGTCGTGGCGCCGTACGTATGCACGTATCAACGTGCGTACCGTACCGCCAGCACTTCCGTTTCCGCGGAACGGTTACGCTCGCCATTTGGGTCGTGACCACGGAGTCGTGACCGTCATTAAGGTTAAGGGCCTGGGATCGTCGCCCGCGACGAAAGGGGAGGCCGACTGCTCCCTGGAGAACGAGCGTCACCGCTCATCGCTCTTCGCGTCGTCCCCTGTGCAGCACCGCATCCCGACTGCCGACCGTCGTCACATCGAGACACATATTTTACTACTTTGGCACTGACGAAACATGGCTTATTGAAGAAGATGAAGGGTGCGCGCAAAGATATCGTTTCTCCGAGGAGAGGAGACGGAGGAGACAGCCGCAGCTGCTGCGACGAGGCGAGTCACCAGACTGACTACAGTCGATCCGCAAATGGACTTGAGGCCAAAATTCACGCTGTCCCCTGCGAGGGGGACTGCTGCTGATGCGAGAAAGAACAAAGGTGCGTCTTCTCAAGGTCACCCGCCAAGGTGGACCTCGGTCCGAGGTACAACTCGCGGGCCGCTCCCCCCCTTCCCCCCCGACGCGGCTCTTCGCACTCTCCGTACGTTTCCTCACGTCGAGTGGTTTCCTTTCAGATGTCAATAACAAGCACCATCTGGGAACTTTGCGCAGAAGAGAACTCGCTGGCGCCCATAATTTCCCTGATCATGTACAACCAGCAAAGTACAATGTACAGAAAGCAAAAGATTTTGTTAAGAGACAGAGACCTAAAGGACAATATCATGGCGGTGCAGAGGAGAATTCCAAGGTCGGCATTGTGCTGATATTCTTTTTTTTTTTCAAGTTCATTATCAAGCTTTGTAAACATCTGTATGTGTCATGCAATTTCTGTATCTATGTAGGTAGTGGAGGAGAAGTTACCTGAGTATGGCTCAGTATTGGTCCCAAGAAGCAAAAAGAACGGCAATCACTTGCTGAATTTTCACTACGAGCGATACGTGATGCGAGATGCGCAAAACAGGGATGTGGGGAGACATGGTTCCAACAGTAATCGATTGCTGCCTCCTGTGCAGCGGCATAAATACAACAAGGAACAATTCGTACAGGCTAGGTAGTAATAATACAATATATAACTGGATTTTTACATATCCTGATACCCATATTCATATGAATTCACAGATATCTGAATATTCGATTTGTTGTCTGAATGTCAAAATAATACACTTACTATTTATTACTTGAATCATCAATAGAAGTCAGTTAATTTCATGTCTGTTAAAATTTGTGTCCCAGATTATATAAATCTATTAGCTTATTTATATGTTGATATTGAACCAGCGTTGCTCAAAGATTGTTTTATTACATTTGTTTTTATAGAATCCTTGAATCCAGTTACTTGATTTCTTAGTTATTTCGATGCAATTGTCGAGATACTCAAGTAATATTCAAAATTATTTGATATTAGCATACACAATACACAACACATGGATAGCGCATAAAAATAATTTTTAAACTCTAGAAATATTATATACGTTTTTTTTTTATATATTTTTATTTACATTGATAGCTGCCAATTTGTTGTGACTGCAAGCAGAGATTATTCCTTGCATTTGACTAACCCTGATATTCTCGTGGATTGGAAATCGATTGAACAAATTGTAAGCATTTATTTCATAATACAAATTAGCAATTTTATTGTTGCATAAGATTTTATGCAAAATTTTCTGGTACATATTATTGATGTACTATCGAATTAAATTCTGATTTAATTCGTTTACAGATATTACACAATTCCGAAAATCTCTCTTGCCCTATTTGTTTACATCCACCAGTCGCAGGCAAAATGACTCGCTGTGGTCACGTCTATTGCTGGCCTTGTATTCTCCGTTATTTACGTTATTGTCAAGAGACTGGCAATTACAAATGCCCGATTTGTGATGAGTATCTTCACAAAAATGATTTGAAAAGGTAACATTTTATAAAATTGTAATTAATATGTACGGAATGAAACAAATGTCAATTTCATGACAATATTTTAATTGTGTATATCCTTTTTTTTTCAGCGTCGTCGAGATTACTCGAAGCTCATACAATTTGGGCGATACAATCAATATGTGTTTGATGCGTCGCGAAAAGAATTCCTTGTTCGCAACGCCTGTGAAATCTGTTATTCAACCACCGACAACGTTTTTGTCTGTTTCGGAAAATATTGGCAATCCGATATATTCGAAACTTCTTATTGCAAATGTGAAAGATGTAAGTCTATAAAAAACAAAATCTCTCTCTCTCTCTCTCTCTCTCTTTATATATATATATATAAAATGTATAATATATATATATAACGACATAATGACATGGATGAAAATTGTTTTCAGATTGTGAACATCATAGATTGCGAGTATTCGGAATTAGAATTTGAGCTGAACGATAATCCAGACATGGCCGCTGATATCAAGCAAGCGCTTAGTGAACTATCAAAAAGAAAAGAAAAACTACTCTTGCAGGTAATATTAACTATTTACTACTATTAATTATATATCCAATTTAATATAGAATAATGAAAAATATGAGATGTATGTATCAGATCGCAGAGTCTAATGCTTCACTGACCGAAAATGTAACGGAAAAGGAAATTGAAGAAACATCGCAAAAATATGAAGATGTCGATATATGTTGCAATGATGATGACAAGACTTTAGCGAAACAGTCTTCGACAGACAGTGTTTCCAGTGACAGCCAGACTACTTCAAGTCCTTCTAAATATTCTTACTTTTATCAAGGTAATCTCGCAAATTGCCAAAAATTTAATGTTTAATTTGAATAGAACAATGAGACAGAGGCCTATACGAATAACATTCGATAACAATAAATAACGGAGAGCTAATGAGCTCGCTAGGTATTTGTGCTATTAATGTAATGTATTTTTAAAGATATATAAATTCATAAGATATATAAATTAACCATATAAATTCTTCCGAGGCTCTAAAAAAATCATAATTTAAGTTAAACCTACGTTTTGATCTTTTTAGAGTGATCATCTTCAGTGTTAAATACATAAAGTTTTAATGAACACATACATTTCGTGGTGTTTCTACGCAACACCTAATATATTATTTTTTTATATCTCTGGTCCAAAGGCTTCTAATCACAATCTTTGCCCACTCACTTGTGGTCCAAAGTTTGCGATTTATTCATGGTTGCTTCAAATTTCATTTTGGTATAGATCAACATCTCTTGCAAATTTTCCAGGATGAATCTCTAGGAGAACTAATTTATTTATTTTTAAAAATGTATTATACATTAATAGCACAAATATCTAGCGAATACCTCATTAGCTCTTCTTTGTTTATTGTTATTTAATGTTTAAAATTCTTTTGTGGACATGATATAACATAATTTTTATGTTAAACTTTTTTTTTTAGCGGAGGATGGACAACATATGTATTTACACGCGGCGAATGTGAAAATGCTGGAAATGCAGTATGTGAGCCTGGAGTTCTGTCCTCCTGTAATAACGGGCAAGCTTCTCGAAAAGGAAGCAAGCATCTGCACCGAAGAGTTGCGACGAAGATTACGGTATCTTTGCCACTTACCACTTACATGTCCATTCGAAGTGGCTGAAATCGAATTAAAACCACCACTAGTATCGGAAAAAGTTCTTCAAGCTTTCCAAGGTGATCATTTGGCATCATTTATAATATTTTTACTGCTGTTTTACGAGTTATAGACATACGGTTTTATGTATTGTGATTATTATTATTTTTTTTTATTAGAGCAACTAAAATCGAGACAGAAATACAGAGAGCAAAGAGAACGAGAGGAAAGAAAAAGGGAGAAGAAGATAATAGAAGAAGAAAATAGACAAATTGGCATATATCCAACGCCCAATATTGATATTGAATCCTTCCAACATTTTCCTCAATTACAATCGGAGCAATCGGAGCAGTTGTCCAAGTAAGCACAAATAATTATTATCTCCATTTTTATCCGCTATTTTATTTAAAGTTTTATTTATTTAATTTAAATTTATACGTATTGCATTCTGTAACGTACAGAAATTATCATTTTATTTATTATGTTTTGTCACAGCGAGAACGTGCTGTCACCTTCAGAATCGGTTATGTCAAGTGTTGCTAGCAGTCCGGCTTTGAGTTCATTTGACGAAATTGCCCCAAAACAAGAGACAGATCATTCCCGTGAACAGACCCGGACATTCGCGGACATAGCAAAGACATCAGCGATGCCAACAAAGTCTAATAAATCCGCTGACGCATGGCCGACCGTAAAATCGAAGACGCACTCCGGCACGGCGAATGCATGGTTCAACAAAGACGAGGAGGTTATGTCGACAAAGACGCAAAAGTCTACCGATGCTTGGCCGTCTGTTCAATCGGAAATGTTCTCTGGTACACCAAGTACCTCGTTTAACGAAGATGAAAAAAAACCGGACGTTTCTGAAGGTAAGTCGCATTCATAGACATAATATAGATAGACCGAGCATGCCATGTGCCAGGCATGGGCGGCACGTGCGAGCGAGAGAACAACTGATTTTCTCTTCTCTCTCTAATATACAAATAACATTTGAGAAAATCCGATGTTGTTCCCTCTCACATATGCCGCCCATACCTAACATATGTAGTACGCTCGGTTTATCTATGCTATTAGTGTTTTCCTCTGAGATTGCACTCGCACGGTGTTTTCACAAAAGCAATGTTATTATATTTGCACGGAGGCAGTGCAGATTTTAACATTGCTCTTATGGAAATTCACTGCGTGAATGCAGTCCCAAGGAAAAATGCCATATGCTTGCCTCACCCTGATATTGAAACTAAATAAATTATTTAGCATTTATAATTACGAGTGTAATTTTTGTGATCAATAATCCGTTGTTTTCAGAAGCAAAAGATGAAAGTAATGCGTCCGGTAAGAAGAAGAAGAAAAAGAAAGGAAAGGGAACCGTACTGTTTACAACTGGTATGACATCTGGTTATTCTTTATAATTACTATGTATTATCGCATGATATTTTCACGCTATTCTTTGCGCGTTACCCATAATAATTGGTAGAATTTCATTGGATCAATCGTAGAAATTTTGATTTCATTTACAGCTCTTGCCCATCATTGTTTGATGTATTAAAAATACGTACACAGCATACGTATCAAATCTTAATTTTCTGTACTGAAATTATTATATATTGTTTGCCATAGAAAGAGAAAAGATTATTTGCCAAGGTTCTCATATATTGCGCTCACGAATAAAATTTTACTTCATTTATGCATTTGTTGATTCAATAACAAAAAAATTCCTTTAACCTATCCTTATATCTTTATTTCATTAAACTTAGTTTGTTATAAATTAGAAAAAAAATCATTTGCGTATTAAATTGGCACGATACATAGCGAAAAAATCAGGCGTAGATAAAATCCAATCAAGTTTCAATATTTATTTCTTTTCTAATCTTTTAATGAACTTGTAACGAATGTTTTATAAACAAGAAATAAAGAATCAGCATTTTCTAATCGTTAAAATACTGTTGGAATTATTCATACATATTGTGTTCGAGTTATATCAAATTATCTTGTACTATTCTATGTTTGTTACCGGGATAAAAGAAGGTACGCAATATTCATACAATTCTGGTAATCGCTCTATATTTTTACGAAGTTTGGAACATAGAAAATTACAACAGATCCTCTCGAGAATAAACCGTATAAGTACAGTACGATGATAATAAATAAATTACTAAAGAGTACATTTCAAAATAGAAAATAGTGAAATAGAGGAACTTGTTTAAAAGACGATGTTAGAAAGAAATGTACGTAAAGGAATGATTAGAGCAAAGACCGCAGCTGTATAATAGTTCTATGTTCGTTTATTTCGTGTTTTCTTTTTCTTTTATTTTTTTTTATCGCGCATTAAGGAATGCGTAGTAGTAGAGGGATGACCGCGATGATGGGCAGTGGCGAGACAAAGCCGGGGACGATCCTTCTTAATCAACCTCCTCGATGGTCGGTCCAGATGCACCGCCGCCGCTGGGTGCTCCACCGGGAGCGGCGCCACCGGCTCCGGGGAAACCGCCTGGCATGCCACCGGGCATACCACCGGCACCCTGGTAGAGCTTCGTGACGATGGGGTTGCAGATGGCCTCGAGCTCCTTCTGTTTGTGCTCGTACTCCTCCTTGTCAGCCAGCTGGTTCGCGTCGAGCCACTTGATGATGTCGTTGCACTTGTCCAAGATCGTTTGCTTGTCGGTCGCGCTGATCTTGTCCTTCAGCTTCTCGTCTTCGACGGTGCTCTTCATGTTGAAGCAGTAAGACTCGAGGCCGTTCTTAGCAGAGATCGTTTCCTTCTGCTTTTCGTCCTCGCTGCGATACTTCTCTGCCTCGTTCACCATTCTTTCAATATCCTCCTTGCTGAGTCGACCCTTGTCGTTGGTGATGGTGATCTTGTTCTCCTTGCCGGTGGACTTGTCCACGGCGGAGACGTTGAGGATACCGTTCGCGTCGATGTCGAACGTAACCTCGATCTGAGGAACTCCGCGGGGCGCTGGGGGTATTCCGCTAAGCTCGAATTTGCCCAGCAGATTATTGTCCTTGGTCATGGCGCGCTCACCCTCGTACACCTGAATCAACACGCCCGGCTGATTGTCGGCGTAAGTCGTGAAGGTCTGGGTCTGCTTCGTCGGGATGGTGGTGTTCCTCTTGATGAGCGCGGTCATGACACCGCCGGCGGTCTCGATGCCAAGAGATAGCGGCGTGACGTCGAGCAGAAGCAAATCTTGCACCTCCTCGGATTTGTCGCCGTGCAAGATAGCCGCCTGTACGGCCGCGCCGTATGCGACAGCCTCATCGGGATTGATAGACTTGTTGAGCTCCTTGCCGTTGAAGAAGTCCTGCAGGAGCTTCTGAATCTTGGGGATACGCGTGGAGCCGCCAACCAAGACGATATCGTGGATCTGGGCCTTGTCCATCTTGGCGTCGCGCAGCGACTTCTCGACGGGCTCGAGGGTACCGCGGAAGAGATCGGCGCAGAGTTCCTCGAAACGAGCGCGGGTGATGGAGGTGTAGAAATCGATTCCCTCGTACAGCGAGTCGATCTCGATGCTGGCCTGCGTGGAGGACGACAGGGTACGCTTTGCGCGCTCGCAGGCTGTGCGCAGACGGCGAAGAGCGCGCTTGTTCGAGGTCAAATCCTTCTTGTACTTGCGCTTGAATTCCTGCACGAAGTGATTGACCATGCGGTTGTCGAAGTCCTCGCCACCCAGATGGGTGTCGCCGGCCGTGGACTTGACCTCGAAGATACCATCTTCGATGGTCAGGATGGACACGTCGAAGGTGCCACCACCGAGATCAAAGATCAGGACGTTACGCTCGCCGGTGGCCTTCTTGTCGAGGCCGTATGCAATCGCGGCGGCGGTGGGCTCGTTAATGATACGCAAAACGTTCAAGCCCGAGATGGTACCAGCGTCCTTGGTTGCCTGACGCTGCGAGTCGTTGAAGTAAGCGGGAACGGTGATCACGGCATTGGTGACAGTCTTGCCTAGGTACGCCTCTGCGGTCTCCTTCATTTTCACCAGGACCATCGAACTCACTTCTTCGGGGAAGAAAGTCTTCGTCTCTCCTTTGTATTGTACTTGGATCTTTGGCTTGCTACCATCGTTTACAACAGTGAAGGGCCAGTGTTTCATGTCAGCTTGGATGGTTGGATCCTCGAAGCGACGTCCAATCAATCTTTTGGCATCTAATTAATCAAAATGAAAAATAGAATTAATAACACTGAATATTTCCAAATTAACGTTTTATACAATGACAACAAAGATAACAATGTAATAACTATATTTTTACATTTATTTAAATGTATTAAAATTTATTCCTTACTTATTTTAAGTAATAATAAACATACATATGTAATATACATTTTTAAATTTATTTAAATATATTTAAATTTATGTCTTGCTTATTCAAATAGTAATAAATCTACTATTTTATTAAATATACCTGCTAATAATTCACACAAATTATAATACTTTGACATTTATTTGAAAAATATATTTGAATTTTGTTTATTTCTTAAACATTTTTAATTATTTACTTATATATTTCTTGCTTTGTTTCAAGCAGAAATATATCACTATTAGTTTATTGAATGTCAATGCTCTTTTTTAGCAAATAATATCACAAAAATTCTAATAATTATAAACGCGCACGCAATCTCATTGCGTAACATTTCATTCTAGATTTCAGTCGTATAAATCGATTGCACAGGCGTGAAAGAGATAAGCTCATCACACATAGTATGTCTACAGAACGACGAGATATACCATCGAAGATATCGACGAATGACGCGATCACAGCCGATTCTCGAGAAATTTGCCAAGTCATGATTTAATTTCGTAACATAATTAAAACTTTTGTACGCAATGACGCGCGATTCCGAGTGGGAATAATCAATTCGAATGATCCCGAGTTCGCGATCTCCATCTTCCCAAATATATATGTAAATTAATTTATAAATTGGTTTAAGAAACTAAATTAAAATTTTCCAAAAAAACACAGCACTGCGTCCCGATAAGGGACACGGATATCCGACGAAGGGGAGAACTCTTTTGCACGGCGGGAGCGAACAGGAAGTAGCGGGAAACTTACCGAAAATGGTGTTGTTGGGGTTCATGGCGACTTGGTTCTTGGCGGCGTCCCCGATGAGACGCTCCGTCTCCGTGAAGGCCACATAGCTGGGCGTCGTGCGGTTGCCCTGATCGTTGGCGATGATCTCAACCTTGCCGTGCTGGAAGACGCCGACGCAGGAGTAGGTCGTGCCAAGATCGATACCGACAGCGGGTGCCTTCGCCATTTTCTCGGGTTTCTGCAAGGTGCAAGAGAAAAAAACGTGGACGGTTGAGATCTCCGTGCGTGGACGAGGAGTCGTCGGAGTGACGAGTGACGAGAGATTGTCGCGAGCGTCAATCACGCTGCTGCGGCTCTTCCCCGGTGAGTTCTCGCCTCGCGAGACGAGCTCGACCGGCCGACCGAGGGGAAGGTCACGTACCTGTGTGTTTCAAGCTACTTGGAGCCTCGGTTAAAAATTCGCGTCTAGGACAAACGAAGAAGTTCCTCGTACAACGATTCGCAACGTGAGTGAGAAATCCGCGCCCCTGCTCCGGTATATATAACCTCGATGCGGCAGCTTCTGGAACGTTCCTTCCGCGCCGGGCCACGCGACGGACGAATCGCGGCGCCGGCTTCCGTTCGCGTAGGCGCGCGATTGGTCGACTTGCCCGAGAGTGGCGAGAGTGGCATCGACCCGGGGGCCACCGGCGGAGTCAAGCGAGCGACCGTGAGCGCGTCGCTTTATCGATCGCGCCAAGTCCCGAGAGAGGTTACGGCCAAGCGGATCTTTCCCCAGGTTAGGTTCTCCTCACACGCGGTTAGCCGGATGAAATATAATTTTTACGATCGCGCGCGGCCGCGCGAGACGATCCGCGAGAAAGGGCGGGGTGAGGAAAAGAGGGACAGAGGGGGATCATTTGCTCGACGAGCACGAGGTTCCGGTTTCCGGTTGAAAGTCCGGCGGAAGCGGCGATGAGAAGTGGGACAGTCGTGCGGACGGTGAAGAGAGGGGTTGAGGGGGAAGGGTAGCGAGCGTCGGAGGGAAGGCGTTTCTCACGCGGCCACGCGGGCAAATTCTAGAAACTGCTAGAAACCGCCGACGCCGCTCGTGCGTGCGGCCAGGAGGCGAAAATCCGATTAATAGAGGGGAACGCGCGCCAACAAGGTCCCGCAAAGTCCGCGCGTGTGCCAGTGACGTCAACGGGTTGACTGATGTCGATGAAAATCGCGAAATCGCGCACGTTCTCGGTTTTACCGGGGTACCAGGATCGCGCGACGTTACGTCACTCCGACGAGCGCGTCTCGTTCTCGGATACCGTGTACCGATTGTCGATGGCGGGATCCACCGCCTCCCGGACGCCTCGCCCGTCGATCGAGTCTCACGATTACGAGCTCGATTTCGTGTATGACTCACGGCACACAGTTGTTAGCCCGTAATTGTCGGCTTATCGGCGTCACGAGCGGAAAATTTCATTGCGTTCTCGCGCGGCGTGACGGAAAACTCACGCAGCTCTGGCGAAATCCAAGAAAATTCCAGCACGACCGATGGAATATTCGCGAGGTTCATTTTCCACGTCGGAAAATTACGTACATACATTATCTTACGCGATCGTTGTCAATTTGTAAATCGATTATTACATGCCCGAAGTTGTATTATTTTTTCAACGATTCAATACTGAACATTTCTCATTTTATTTTTATTGCACAAAAAAAATGATTTTTAACCCATTATGGTTGCTAGAATGATATATATAAAACGATTGCTTTATTAAATTTCAGCTAATTTAAAAAGTCATAACATAAATTTTTTTTAATATGACAGATAATTATATTCACTGGAACCACAATGACAAATTATGGTTGTGAGCTGTACTGACGTAGCGTAATTGTTAAACATAACAATAATAATTGTAAAAAATTTATCATACTCCATCCTAATAATATGTACTCGCAGGGTTAAATATATTTTATATTACACGTTGAAATAAAATATTAAGATGGATATAAGATTATATCAAGCTTTTCATCCGCTTCCAAGCATATTAATTATTAAACATAATAATATCAATTGAGAAAAACATGTCATGCTCCATCTTTTAATAAAATGTACTCGCAAGGTTAAATATATTTTATATTGCACGTTAAAATAAAATATTAACAATATGTATATAAGATTATATATCAAGCTTTTCAACCGAAGCATATATATGTATATATATTGTTGGTCTCATCCGCCCGTTTTAGACACATCGGCCGGAGAAAAGCCTCGGAGGAAAAATTATACATTGAGTCACGCGTATCTCCTCATAAGGTAGACACGACGTCGACTCCGACATTCAGCAAAATCGCGCCTTCAATGCCAGCGGCAATCAACGCGCGTCGGGTTTACGTCCGCGTAGGTATAGAAAGGAAGAGGAGGCGCGACTCGCGCGATCGATAACGATTTAATTCGATTTAATTCGACCACGTGGCTCTCTGTCGAAGGTGTCCGAACGTTTTACTGCGAAGCAGTGTAGAGGCAGGTATAGACGCGGCTAGAAAAAAATGAGGCGTTCAGCGCAAGAAAGAAAGAGAGAGAGAGAGAAGAGCACGTGGAACCTCGAGTGTGCTCTTTTCTCCTTTTTTTTTAAAGCGACAAATCGAGGAAAAACGGATAAAACGGTAGCGGGAAAACGAAACTTTTGCATTCGACTCTCGGTTATTACGAGAAGCAATTACGAATATTGCTCCTTGATAATTACGAACGCCGTAATATCTGCAGTAATGCTTGTAATTCTTGTAATTGTTACTCTGCTCCATCCGTTAGCTCGCATTATTCGAATCGTTTATTTTGAGTCCTTATCTCGAGAAACTACTTTGAGAATACCAATCGACATTTATTTAACCAATATTTATTTCACATATTTATCTGTGATATGTTATATCGATGTATTTGAGCATATTTTTAAGAAATACAGAAAATAAACAGAGGGGATGAAGAAAGGACATTATGTTCTTTACTTTAATTCTCTCTGTATTGAAAAAGAAAAAAGAAATACAGTGCACGTGAAGAGAGCGAGGAGAAATATTTGTTTTCTTTTCTACTCTGACTTTCTTTCCGTGTCAATGTGATGCGTAAGACTATAGGAGAGAGTGACTATAATATATTATATAACGAGAAAAACTGTCATTGTTATTTGTCTGAATGTCGAAGTCGAGAATGCTTATAGCGCTTTTGTCTGCTGAAAGTGAGAAATTTTCAGCATTTGAAAAATCTGCAAAAGACCGGAAACGGATTAAATATTTCAGGAAGCCTGAGCACTGTATGACGATCCTCGACAACGTGCTTTCCCGCCGTCAAGGTGTGTTGCTAAGCCAGACACCAAGCCAGATGCAGCGTCAATAACGACACCGCAATAACGGTCGGTCGAGTCGACCTGGCCTGGGCATCGCTAAAGAAGCTGAAGTACAATGCCCTTCACGTCTCTCCCCTCGGAACATTATACTATGTATCTGAAACAGCGGGAGGGGATCTCGTACTTCTTTTTTTCGAGATTGTATACGAAAATCCAGGCGAGCGAAAGAGGAAGAACCGGCGACCGAAGAATCGGTCTTGGCATCGGTTATTATTTTAATCGTTTGTGATTCTGAACAAAGAGTCTCGATTAAACGGTTCACCTGTTTTTCACTCTTTTCGTACGTAAGCCGAGACAAAAAGATTGAAGTTTGAAGTAGCTTTTAACGATATCTGAATGAATATAAACTTTTCACACACGTATCGAGACTCCCTAAAATATTTCTAAGTATTAAACATTTAAAAAAGAATTCCGAAACGGTTTTTTTTTGCGGATTTTGTAAAGATTAGTTGACCAGTTCTTTTGAAATTATGTGCACAAAATTAAAAAAAAATGGCTGCATATTAAAAAAAAAAAATTTTAATTTTAACAAAGTTTAGAATTTTATTAAATTTAAATAAAAAATACATATCTATATCGAGCGACAGTATCGTGACGCCAAGTATGCAGTATTTTTGTATACCTGTGAAGTACATTATCCTTTTCTACGAAGTACAATATCGTCCTTTTCATTTTGTCTATACTTTCTTCAATATGTTCCATTTCGATCTTCAGATACTTTCTAAAACTATTGCATCATTTTGTCGCTTCATTTTTCATCGTCTTGTCCGAATCATCAGAAATTTCAACATCTTTCATCATCAACGAGAGATCTGTGTGATTTATTTAAAATATTAAAATATCAATATGAAGAAAATCCACTATCTTCGATTATTTTAATTTATCATACAATTTCACGTCCAGTAAATCGATATCTTTAATATCTACATTTGTATAAATACTATAATTTTCTTTATATTAAAATCTTTTGTTTATTTTGGCACAAAGAGACAATATCGTCTCGATCTCTCGTTTTCTCTCTCTCTCTCTCTCTCCCCCTTCCTCGCTCACTCGTTGACCACGTTTAGACGGCCTTGTCCTTCCTTTTTTTCAGTAATATATATATATAGGGTGTTCCGGAATCTTCAACCTTCATTTCAATGAAAGTCGAAAGAATTCCTTGAACATTCAGAATAAAAAAAAATGGAAAATGGATTTTGTACGATCATTTAAAGTTTGCTCTTTGATACCGAAGTTCGTTTTCCCCAACACAAAAATTCGCAGTGCTATCTCTTCCTTAATTATCTCATCATTTTTATTAAGTCTTTTATTCTATTATTAATCTTAATGACCAAGTTTCAAATTAAGATTCTGATAAAGCAAGAAATTTCACTTGAAATTAAAGAAGAATTAAGATAAAAGATTGTTTATGTTTTGTAATTTTTTAAACGAAAAATATTTTCCTTGCTAAACGGAAGTTGCAGTAACTGCAATTTGTCAAGTATTTATTGCCGCGGAGGCAACGAATGTTCACGAGATAGATACATAAAATAGTTAAACACATCATAATGTATTCATAAATATCCCATGAAAAGTTGCAGTTACAAATTCTCGATGCAATTCAGGCCAAGTTGCGTTTAATTTAACCACCAGTTCTTTGTGCAAAGGGCAAGAAGTATACAAATATATCTTACGCGAGCGATATTTTTGATTTTCATTGAGATTCGTTATCACCAGAAATAAACGGTGGCCTCTCGACTGAATATATATAGTATACTTACGATATAATAAGACCGCGGATTTATTTCGAACGGCGAGTGGCCAGTGTCGCTTGTAAATAGCAATAAATTCGCGGCGGTGATCAAATCGATGCAGGAAGAAAGGGAATTAAAGATCTTAACTTTCGAAATTCGTCTTTTTCTTGAGTCCTGTTTAAAAAGTGTTTAAACGTCGTGTAAGACGTTACCTATTTCGGCTCGCTATATGAGCGTGCCTGTCGTTTATCGATAATGAAATGCGTTACGATAAAAAAAAGGTCAAAATAAAAGTATACAGGATAAAATTCTTAAAGCTCTTACCTACGCTATTATCATCCCAGATAGCACACAGAGTTGAAAGAGAAATTCATTAATTCGTATGTTCAGTCGTATGTCATCAATTCTGAGTTCACTTTCTGAGATATGAAAAGAACTTTTTCTCGCATCTGAGAATGAACTCAGAATTGATGACATATGACTGAATTTTTACCTCTCTGTGCTATCTGGAATATTTATATTGAGTTGAGTCAACAGAAATACTACGCCGTATTGAAAACGAAGATATTAACGAAAAGATCGATACTAATATACTTTACAGTCAATTTAATTCCTGGCGTTGTTAATACATAAGTCATAAAAAAAGGACTTATGTCATCGCGCTTGATTCGCTTGAGCTCAGCGAAATTGTAATCGGTTTCGATTCTGCAGCTGTCCCGATGAATTATAATTTCAAACCGAAATTATCTATTAACGAGCCAACAAATTGGTTTTGTTATTTTACTGTGATAAATTCGATTTTTCGTGTTGAAGACACCGAAGAATAGAGCTTGGCTAGAGTCGTAGCGATATACAATCGCGTTCTATCTGCGAATGGACGTAAAAGTTATATCGATCTTGAATAGAGTGATAAGATCTATGATATCGAAACATTCGAAACACATATGAACTAAGCGAAATTACTGGATTCGAAATTCTTATGTATATGCATTGTATGTTATGTGTATTATTTGTCAACGATACTGTCATCCTTCGGCTATGCACGGTGTGTCACAGAACAAATACAGCATGATCGATTTGCGACTGTAATAATCTGACAGAATCGTTTCCTGAATTTACTTTTGTTTTCATTAAAAGAAATAAAATACAATAATTGGAATTGAATTCATATTGCCATCAAGTTTAACAGGACATGCGTTGCATTTTTTAAAGCTTATACATTTTTAATGATTATCGAAAAACGTTTACATAGATATCTAAGAGACTTTCTGTTATTTATATAATTTTATTATTAAGAAATGTAAATAAAAATAAGCTCAATTTAATCTCTGATATTTTAATCGCTCCATTTTGTGAACTCCAAAAAAAAAAATATTGTTCCAAATTTTATCAAACACGTATGTACAAGACTTATTCTTATTTTTTTTATCGTTCTTATAAATTGCATCTCACTTCAATTTTCCCAAATATTTACCATGTATATTATTGTTCATAAAACTGCGTAATATTATAAGCGTTATACATTGCAGGGTATCGATTATGTAACTTTTTCTCTAGGACGGAAACGTGAAAGGTGAAAACATCGACATGATAATACCGACTATTAAAGATTATATCTTTTATAATAGTGTATCGTCGGTGTTTTCACTTTTCACGTTTCCGCGTCCTGAAGGAAAAGTTATTGGGCATTGTCGATGCCCAGGATATGTATAAATGTAAATGTCTAGACGTCCAGGTATAAGCACGGAACATTAATCCAACAACGTTGCAACGTTGCTGCAGTATTGTTAGGAATGTTACCTGATACCTGGGCAGTACACTAAACTCGAGTAGATTTGTCAAAAGTAATGACTGTGCAGAATATCGGCTATCCGATCATCCGGCTTGCCTGCGAGAGAAGTTTCTGATTCCGTTGCACGTGAAACGTGGGAACTGGGAAGGTAGCGTCCCCCGACGGGACGTTCTCGATATCACGCGAACCGCAACCTCGACTGCCTACGTCGGTAAGTCGGCGTTCTAACTGGATTACGTTGCGGTACCGGGAGCGGGGGCCGCGCGCCGCGTACGGCCCGCACGGCGCACAGCTGGACTGCCGCGTTGCGATGTCTTTCCTGTGAGTGGCGATAGCGCGGCGTGACATGTGGGTCCGATTACGCGCGACGATATAAGGCCGACGGGTGGATTCGTGATTCCATGCGAGTCCACGCGATCCCGGACACGAAGCGTGCCGGACAACAACGACGACGACGGCAGCAACAACAATAGCATCAGAAGCAGCAGCAGCAGCAGCAATAACGGAACCTGCAGGACGAGTTATGAGCACGTTGTACCAGGGAACGAGTCTAATCTTATCGTAGAGCCGCGTATATGACACGACTGCTCTGAGAATGCGGTTGCCAACGGGAAACGATGACCTCCCGCTGCTCCCGCTGCTCCTGCTCGGCGTGCTCGCCACCGGCTCGCATTGCCTCGAGGTGATATACGCGATCAACGCCGGCGGCGAGTCGCACACGGACAGCTACGGGATACACTACGCCCGGGATCCACTCCTGGGAAAGGTCGGCACGGCCTCCGACTACGGTAAGCAGCTGATGATCGGGCGCATCAGCAACGTGGATCAGATACTGTACCAGACCGAGCGCTATCACCACAACACCTTCGGTTACGACATCCCGATCAGCCAGGATGGGAGCTACGTTATGATACTCAAGTTCTGCGAGGTGTACTTCAACTCGCCGAACATGAAGGTGACATTTCTTCGCGATACAGACTCGTCCCGTTGGAAAAACTCCGTTAGTCTCTGTCAAACGCCTAATGTACAGCTGTTCCATTTCAGGTCTTTGACGTCGTGCTGAATGGCGATCATACCGTGGTCACCGATTTGGACATCTTCGAGAGAGTCGGCCGAGGAGTCGCGCACGACGAGTACGTGCCGTTCAGGGTGCAGGGTGGAAAATTGATATACAATGATGAAGAATCGGACATTCTCGCGGGGAAGATAAGGGTGGAGTTTATAAAGGTAATCTTAGATTAATATACTTTGTAGTACATACGCTTGTACACGCGTATCAGCACGTTTCTTTGCGTATTATACAACCGAATTTGTTATTTTTGTAATTTTACAGGGTTATAGGGACAATCCGAAAATAAATGCCATAGCTGTTGTGAAAGGTTTTTTGGATGGTTTGTATTCACTTCAATGTTGATGAATATTCTACAATCAAAGCAAGTGAATATATTCGCGTAAATATTATATATATATATATTTTTTTAGATGTACCACAATTAGGACCGATACCGCCTGATCCGGAGGACTATCACGGTATGCAGGAAGAGGAAGAGGAGACTACTATGCGTAGCAGACACACGAGCGGGCCCAGAACACCCGACCCGTACTTGATAGATGATTCGTCTATTATGTTTCCTGTTTTCGTAGCCATCGGCGCTTTTATCCCATTATTGTTCTGTTTATGTAAATTATAAGCGGACAGACGCACACGTGCATAGGAATGCCTTGTACTTAACAGTGTTCCCGATTATTTAGACTCGCTCAATCTATACAGGAGGACGTCTAAATAGTGTAAATAAACAATCATTCATCTAAAGCTCCTTTGCTTCGTCAGATTTAGTGCGTGAGAATATTTATTTTTAATTTATAATCGTAGATATTACTTTGAGACGTGTGCCCCGCACGTTTTGCCTGCATTATGGATTTTTGAAGTATTGTTTTTTTTGTATAATTTGATATATTTACAAGACTTAATATCTAATTATTTACCAAACAATTAAATCTGTATCACTTAAGCTTACTAATTCTTAAGTTAATTAACTTAAAATTAGTTTAAAAAATTTACTTAGTATTAATTTTTATTATTTATGTTATTACGTTGAGGTTTTCGAATTTATAAAATTTATTTATCATAATCAATTTATTGTAAGTTAAGAAAATTAATTAATTTTTAAGATAATTCTTAAAATTAAATTAAAAAGTTTATTTTCGAATTAAAGTTTTTGAATTAACTTGTTTTATATAAAGCGTTGAGGTTTTTCAATTTATAAAAATCCTTGAATTTTCGATCGCGTATAAATTTAAGTATAAATTTAAAAAAATTATACTTGAATATAATAATAGTTGCTCCAAAACGAAATGGAATTATAAAGATATCTAATGTAAATTGTGCTTAAAAATCTCCAACCTTAATTTCAATGACAAATTTTTAAGAAATTTATATGTAATTGATTCTTAGGGAATATTTCAATAAATTTGGAGACTTTATTTATATTTTTTATATAACCCTTAAATCTCATGATCAATCAAACAGTTAAATTCGGTAAAAAATTGTTTTCAATTAATTCAAATGCGTAATCAAATGTTATCGTTCAATTGTGTGACACAAGTTTAATTTCAATTTCATAGATTTTTTAACTCGAAAATGCTAATTCACAATTTATATTCTAATTAAATTCATTTGTAAGCCAATGAAACAATCTCTTATTAAAGTTAAGGTTGAAGGTTCAGACAACTTGCTTATACATTTTGCATACCAGAACCAGATGTGTACATACATCTAAAACACATAAAAGTTTAATGTATATACATGTAACGATTGTCTCAAAAATCAACATATAAAACATGAAGATATGACGATTTGCGCTACGAAATTTTCTCATCGTTATTGCTTTCCGTATTCTGAACTCGAATATCGCGTCTTGTAGCTCGTGATATACCCATCACGAAGCGTTCTGTACATGTGTGATACGTGTCACGTTTTACCTCTCGTACAATCTGATCTCGAAAGATTTGCACGCCGATATGTAACTTTGGATTATATGTAATAATTACATGAATTACGTGTAATTTTAAAATAGGCTTCTTTTAAGATCGATTGTGGAGATGGATCTGCAAAGCAGATGACAGTCTTACCAAAGCACGTCGATTCATAATATGAATCAATCTTTTGCAAATTGGAGTAAATAAAACTGTTATTACGTAAGACGAGCCTCCGCATTGTCCTCCCTTATTTTCGAAAACAAGAACGAAGTCTCGAGTCACGTTTATCGAACTGCTATCCTATATCGCGCACATTACGCAATAAACGGACTTTAACGACGTCGTCTATCTATACTGTCAGATAATTCGACCAAACGCGAATCTTATCTGGTCAATTTGTACGTTTCCTTGAAAAAAAAAAATAATTACATGATAGTGTTACTTGTATTCTCGCTAAACGTTCAGGATCTGATGTCGCTTGAATTTACGAAGTAACGCTTTTTGTAGCGCACATCATCTCTTGGCTCAAAATATTAGTCTTTAACTCTAGAATAAAACAGTTAAAATGGCTTGTGATTAAAAAATTTACTCAAATTTATGATATATTTTTTGAGTGACTTTTGTTGCAATATGTATAATACATATATTATTATAAATTCAATATTTATTTTCTATTAAATTAGAGGCAAAATTTGCGAATTTATTTCAGGAAAAAAATAAATGAACAATGTTCTTTAAAATGTAAAAAATAAATGTAATTTAGGATGTAACAAATTCATTTGTAATATAAAATTTATTTATTTGCTACGATTCCGCGACTTCTAAGGAAGCAATTTATTATTTTCTAGTGTAATTTTCCATACAACACCTATTTGCTTTACAGAATCTAAAACAGATATTAGAAAAATGTTATTACAAAATGGTAACAAATTAAATAATATCAATTTTTACATGAAAATTAGAATTAATATTGTGGTTTTATAATACATTTTATAATACATTTTTCTTATAATTCATTTCAGGTTCAATCTGTAAAGTGTCCTAAGGAAAATTAGATCAGAAAACAGACATTTTTCCTAAAAGTTACGGAATCGTGGCGAAACGCGAGGCAACTTGAAATTTTCCGGCCTGTCTTCAATGACAGAAAGCTCCTATACTTTTAATAAATATTTTTGTATTACAAATAAATTTTCTACATCCCAAATATAGTAGTAAATAATATCTCAATGAAGAACTGTGTCCATTTATTCCTTTCCCTGAAATAAATTCGCAAATCGCGCTCTCAATTTGACTATACAAACTTTCTGTCCTTCCTCTTTCTCCTGCCATAAATAGTAGAAATTAATCGCCGGTATAGTTTTAATTAATTTTATAGTTGTAAATGAAATTATTGCCGATCGTACATTCGATATTCCGCGCGTGAGTCGCCAATAATTCGTCCCATTTTGCAGCGTCCGAGATGAACGCGGAGAAGAAGGAATTGTCGAACTCGGGCGCGGGCATAACGCGGCGGAGACCGGAGGAGCGACCGTCGACGTATCGATCGCGCGATTGTTCGTAAACCGAACCGGCAAACGGGATAATGCATACACGTAGGTACAATAAATTCAATTGAGCGTCCCGCAACGTAAAGAATCGTACACGTTCTTAATGGGAACAAGCTCATTCATCCCGCGTGAGACGACGGGACGTCACGTGACCCCGGCGCGCTGGACCGACCGGAGCAGCGCGTCCTCGCCTCGCGTCGCCGAAGTCTTTGATGCGTGCTCATCACCGGCAATTAGCTGTCAATTCATGCAGCCGTACTTGTGGTTTCGGAACGGCGAGACTGGCGGGACCGCCGGGACCGGCGATCCGCGAGAAGTTCCCCTCTCTCTCTCTCTCTCCCTCGATCCCGCATAATTCCCCTTTCCTTCTTGCCCTTGAAGTAGAGAGCGCGCGGCCAAGTGCTTACTTGTAAATGCCTCTTATCCGTATCAACGACTGACGCGATGCATCGGAGATCAAACGTCAAACGGAGATCGCATGCGTAGTGCAGTAAGCACTATCGCTTAACATCGCCGGCAGATATTGAATAACAGTATCTATAATATTTCGCCGATGTCGGAGATAAACTCTCTCATCGAGCGCTCGGAGGGGGCGAAGAAAACTGTCCTGCTGCTTTAGAGATTATTTTTACAATATCTATCGCATTAAAAATAATTATTTTTTCTAGGTATACAATTTTTTTTTAATTTTAGAACTATAAATAAAGTCTTTTAAAGACTGGACCAATATTTCATATTCCAGAACTGCCAATTCTAATCTTCCGAGATCTTTCCGATCTCGAGTAACAGAGTTTGCAAACCGAAATCACTTCCCGCGTACTTAAATGAAGAGCGAGACAGTTTTAATTCATTGTCTTTTATTGAAGATTCTATTCGAATTTACGAGTGTAATGTCCTGCTTTTACAACCAAGAAATCGCGAAATTTATTCAAAAAATCATGGAAATTAGGACGGAGGATTTTAGTGAGCTCTTACGGAGCGGCGGCATGACGATGGCTTTTTCGAACACTTTCTTTTTTTTTCGCTCACGGATGATTTCCTCGTTACTAATTGCATAATGACGCATTTTCTTTTAACGGAAACGACAGCGACGATTATTAATGACTAACGAGCGATGAACATTGACCTTCGTCTAGCGAGTGCGAAACGCTCGCTGGAACCGCGTTTCACCTAACCCACGGTCAAGATATAAATACATACATGTTATCCGTATCTATCGGGTAAATTTAGATAAGAACCTTCGCAAACGCCGACACGGTGGCACTTTTGATCGGGCGTTTATTTTCCGCGCGCGATGCATCGGCGAGAATCTCTCCCACACATGTATGCATCCTCCCTCGTAATCGGCAAAGAATGTTAACGAACAGGTGACGGATCGGCGCGGCTTAACGCTCGGACACATACGTGACTTGTATATTTGTGTGGACGCTCTCCGTCTCAAGTGTTATTCAAATTACAGCCGGCGACCATGCGTCGCGATGCCCGCCGTCGCCTGCGTCCGCGATAGCTCCACCTGTATTCGTTTAACTTTGTCCCCTGCGCGATAAGCGGCGCGAATATTGTTTGCGCGTTTTAGCAATATAGGTTTCGTTCTCGAGGTAGATACGCGATAAAGTTTGGAGAATTATCGATAACCGGGACAACGCAACGCATAAAATTAAATAAATTGCGACTGCCTTACTTCCCTAATTTTCAATTGATGAGTATTAACTATCGAAACTTGTCGATTCACTTTGCAAATACAATCGCAAATGTTGATTATTCGTTCTGCCGGCGACGAGACTTGTAATCTTTTTTTCGATGATGTAAGCTTTTCATACTTTATTTTATATTGATTAACTCGACGAGCTCAAACGTGACATTCGGACTTCGTGGAACTTGGATGATTGGATATTACTTTTTAAGCGATTATACTTTATCAAGTCGATATATATTGGCCTCGAATGGCCTCGAATGTTTAAATAAAAACGAAAGATACTAATGTAATTATAACGCATTTTCTTTTTCTACTCGTTATTTTCTAGTAAAAAGCGAAAAATATGGTAAAAAAATGTGCGTCCAACTCATATTTAATAGAAATTATAATGCTGCAATAAATGTAAATAATTTTTTTATAATAATAAGAGATCTTTGAAGAGTCGACCATTATATACATTTGACTTTAAAAGTAAAACATCTAAAAATTATGATGTAAGGCAAAATTAATCCTGCGCCGTGTTGCAGGGATGCTTCTAAGATATTGAGAAAGACATTAAAATTCACTGAGTCACAGCGCAGGATGTAAGCCGCAGAGACCAGCGCACACAAACGCAAATAAATGCAGCTCCTCTTTCGCCCCTCGCGCGCACCCACCACCGTGCGCGGGGGGTACATATCAGCAACGATGATGGAACGACAGGATAGGACGACTGACTGGCCGGTCTCTATCAACCCGTCGACGATAATCCGTCGAATACTTTGTCTGGAATCATCGCAGATTGGCCGGCGGCGGTTGCCTCCCTCCCTCTCTCTCTCTCCTTCTCACTCTATCGCGGTACCGGCGAGATCCCTTAAACGAAATCCCCCCCCGGATGTCGTTATAAAAGCCGGCGCGCCCCGGCGCGCCGTTTGTCTTTCTTCGACGGCGATTCAGGTCCTGACTTGTGCGCGCGACAAGCCATCCTCACTCGGTTCACCATGGTGCAGATAGTCGGCAAGTACCAATATGTGTCGAGCGAGAACTTCGAGGATTACATCAAGAGCCTCGGCAAGGGCGACCTCGCCGACGCGTTTCTGCAGGCCACGCCGGTCGTGGAGATCCAGCAGAAGGACGACCAGTGGGTCGTCGTAGTCACCAGCCAGGGTAAGACCGTCACCGCCACCTTCAAGCCCGGAGAGGTCTACGACGAACAGCTTCCATCCCAGGGTCTCGTCTTCAAGGTGGGTCTCGCTGAGAGAATTTATCTCGCTTCAATCGTGTATATTGAGCGAGTGACATTACATCATCAAATATGAATATTAAAATTAATACGACGGAAGACTCTTCGATATTGAATTCAATGATTCATTAGAAGTTAGCGCTCGAAATATCTTCTTCCATGCAGCTTCGGAAAAAAAGCTGCGAGATTCCAAGAGATTTGATATTTAGGAAGAAGATAACATTAGATAGATTAGTCTCCGTGTCGAAAATTAGTAAAACAATTTTTACGTACAATATTGATGTTTCGAATTTTTTTTGTAAAACTCACGTTAATTTGCGCGCTAACTAAATGACAGAAGTGAGTCTTTTTTTTCTATTTTCTTCATACAAAAACGCATAGAGGTATAACTCGGTGATGATTAAAAGATACAGAAACCAATGGGTTTCAATGCAAAAATTATGTATCTCGCATTCTGCCGTCATTGTCGCGAGTTATTGCCGTTATTTTTACAATATCAACGATTATGTAATTATACATTGATTTTGTATCGCAGAGCGTGTCCACGAAAGAGGGCAACGGTTTCAAAACCGAGACCACCTTATCCGCGGACCTCAAAGCGATCCGAGTTTACGAATTCACAGACACCGGAATGGTTGTGGTAAGTGTAATTTCCGATAAAGATAACAATATTATATAAACGATTCTGCATACATGACAATGACGTAATACAAGTTCATAGTATATTTAAATATAGACAAAGTTCGCCTTACGATTTTTCTTCTTTTCCATTTCAGCACCTATCCTCCAACAAGAGTGACGTTAAAGCCAAGCGTACATACAAAAGACTGTAAAGTCGGTTTCCTAATTTAAAAATAGCAATACATAATATCACATTTCATTAAAGAGATTGAAATGTATATAAAAGTGCTTCTCTTTCCTTTTTGTCCATTTCACTCCATTTTCTCAGAGATGCGCGTGAGGCGAGACGAGAAGCGGCGAAGGTGAGTCGACGAGGCGGGACGTACATGTAATGCTGAATAACACTGTTCAAACGTAATATTTATTTATTCAATTATGAATTCTAAGAAAAAAAAAAGAAGAAAATGGTGACAAATACGCGTACACAAGAAAATCGGAATAACATGAATACGAAACGCGCATGTGAAACGCTAAGCTACACTCTCTCGTTGCTACGGAGCCGCATTTGTATATCATATATTGAATATTGTGCGTGTGTACCAGATCGGCATCGCGAGTCGCTCGCGCGGATGACTCGCTCGCGTATCCTTTCGAATCAAACGATATTCACCTTACAAAAGAAACTCGCCGGGTCACTTTATGATCCTTGATTCTCGTTGCGCTCGCAGGAAGGCTCTCGTTTAAAACGCTCGCGTTGAGCGCACTTGGAAACCTTCGCGCGTGCATGTTTCGGTTGCGATAAAATCAGACGAAAGTAATAATATTCCACGATCGGGGGGGAGTGTCAAGCGAAATAAAAAAAAAAAAAGAAAAGGAAACCATTTCTTCGACCGAAGTTTCCACAGTAATTGAACGCACAGTATCGAACGTTGTCGATCCGAGCGCGCGCTCCAACAGTTGGGAAGCGTCGAGACGCAAGAGAGAGAATTGCGAGTTGTGCAATGTATAAAAAAGCTTTAAACGCACGCGACAATCGCCAACGTCGATCGCGTCGAGAAATGCGAAAAGCAGGATCCAAACGTTTGATTAAAGAAGATTTAAAAAGAACGACCGAAATATTATACGAGACACACACGAGTATTTCTTTGATTCCTTTTTCTCTTTCTCAACTGAACCTTTGGATTCTACTCCTTTTCTCTTTCTCCGTTCATGTACATATACGAACTTCTTCTTGGCTTCTCTTGCGTATCATTCGAATTTATTTAATAGTACTGTAAGATATCACATTAAATCATTAAGGGTGCTGTACACATAGATAAGATAGCATTATATATCATGATTACGAGTCAATATATATCTCGCAATGAATTCAACTTCAAAAATAGGAACAAACAAGAATAAATATACGCTTCCCTCTACTCCCTTGCTTTTCTCTTTTTAGTTTCTTTTTGTCATTCGAGTAAAAAATTGTGTCGCGAGTAATCGTTATCAATTATAATGCGTATATAAAATTAAAAATTGTAAAAAAATCCGTATATTTTATCAACTTTTGTTAAAGATTAAAGATTAACGTACTGCCGTATCGGTGCTGAAAGTCCATTTTCTCAGGCCGTCACGAGCACCGTCTGAGTCCTCTCCCAGACAATCTCAGGCCCGTGGATCACGGTTGCAAAATAATGACGCATGAGAACGCATCCGAATTATATTTACATAACAAGACTATCGATCCTTATTACGATAAGGCAGCAGTTGTCGAAAGCAATGTTTAGGTTATGCCTCGCTCTCCCTGATAGACGAACATCCCTTGTCACGTATGTATGCATTCACGCAAGAATAAAAAATTTTTCGGTTTGACATACATGTATAATCCCCTTAAACGCACTACTCCAGTGGATGTGGTTTCGACGCGCGGTCGTGTTCTGTCCGTTAAACAATAATAAGAAGGAAAAACCTATGTATTGGTTCACGTGTTAAACCCGCGACGACGTGTAATTCCTATAGGCCGACGTATGCTGTCGCGAAGCTGGCGGACAGTTCGCGGCTTACCGATCGACCGTTCAATCGGCGATCAGCTGATTATCGGTCGGCACGTTCACCGGCGACGCGTCCTTTCGCGGCACGTCGTCCTCGGGCATGCTCGTGGCTGTTATGACGGCAGCTTTGGTCACGTCCTCCTTGGGAATTCCATTCTGTATTACCTTGGTCTCACCCGAGGATACTCGCTTCGTCACGGTGACGGGGGTGGTCCTCGACGCGGTCTTCGATGTCAGAGTCTTCTTCGTCGGCGAGATCGCTGTAGCGTTTCCAACCGATTTTCCCGACGGTGTGCGTGCCTTTGTAGCGCCAGTGGGTGTCGAACTACCGACAGATGCGGAAGCGCGACCACTCGTCTTGGGCGCCGATGCTCCGGAACGGGAGATTTGCTTGTTGACGGTCTCTTTGCTCTGTTTGTCGATCAACGGTGACTTACTGGTGAGCGTTTTAACGGTACTTTCGCGCGGCTTGGTCGTGCCACCGGAAGTCGGTGCGGTTCTGGGCCTCGACGAGCCGATTGTAGACGGTTTCGATGTCGGTGTGATTTTAACGGCTGAAGTCGCGGACACGGATCGTGGTTTCGGCGTTACGCTGGATGTCGACGTTTTCGCGGTCGTTGTTGACGTTTTGGCCAATGTAGTCCTCGCGGTCGTGCCAGTGGTCGTTGTTCTAGGAGTGGCGCTCGCTGGCTTCGCGGTGGCGGACTTACTGACGGATTTCGCGTCACCACTCAACGTTGACTTCTTCTCGATCGATGTCCCGCTGTTTACTTTCGACAAGGCGGTGGTGGTCGTCGTTTTTGGTCTCGTACCAGCGCTTACACGTGGGGAAGAGCTGGCTCTCGCTGTTGCTGTCTTCGTAACGGTAGTTTTACCATTGACGCTCAAGACTGCTGCCTTGGCCGATCCATCCACCAATTGTTTAGGACGAGTCGCGGTACTCGTAGCCAGTTTCTTCGCAGTCGATTGTGCCGGTGACGACGTTGTTCGCATGACTGCACTGATCGTCTTAGAGGGCGAGGTTGGCGATTTTGTTGCCGTTTTCGTTGTCGACACCGTTGTCGCTCTCGCCGTCGTAGTCGTTTTCGTTGGACGTTTCGCGCTCGTCGTCGTAGTCGTCTTCGTTTTCGTTGGGCCTACGATGTTGGCGACCGCCTTCGTTAACTCGACGGCTTCCGTTGCGATTCCACTAACTTTTTCTTTCGATTTGTCTATCGTTGCGGTATCTTCTAATAATGCTTCTACAGTTTTCTGTGACTCTTCAGTCTCTTCCTGTTTCGGAGGAATACTTTCGAAAATAATTTTTTCTTTATCATTATCAGATGGTGGAAATTCCGCGTCTTTTTTCTCTGCTTGTACTTGCTCAATTGGGCAAGTGAGCAAGTCCTCAGTCAGTGTCGTGGTTCTTATCGGCACGTCTCCAGGCAACTTGTCTTGAGATTGCAGATCCGTCACACTGCTAGGTTGTATCATCGAATCAGATGAATGTAATTCCTCATCAGCACAAACACGTTTCTCGTCAAACTCTCCTTCGCTTATATTTTTCCTTTCTGTTTGATGAGGGAAAAGATAGGAAACCCTACACTCGGGATTTTGAGATAAGGGCATTTTCGCATTTTCTGTTTCATAGAAATCCGGCCAGTTATTAGATTGATTCGATTCATTAAGTTCCATTTTGTGCTGTAATTCAATTAAACCTGAGTTTTCAGGAAAAGCCTGAGGATTATCTTTCCTAAGCTGAGCACACTGTATTTCAAATTCCAATATCGGCGGTTTTGGACACTTCTCCCAGTTTATCGATTCCATTGCAGCAATAAAATTTGAACGAGACTTTTCTTTCTCTTCGGAGTCAAAACTTTTGTTTACTTCCTCTTCGAAGTCTATATTTTTGTTTTCTTCCTCTTCGAAATTCAGACTTTTGTTTTCTTTATCTTCGGTGTCCATATTTTTGTTTTCTTTCTCTTCAGAGTCCATAATTTTGTTTTCTTTCTCTTCAGAGTCCAAACTTTTGTTTTCCTTCTCTTCGGAGTCCGTAATTTTGTTTTCTTTCTCTTCAAAGTCCATACTTTCGTTTACTTTCTCTTCTCCTATGTCAGAAGACTCCCTTTCTTTTGATGTTCTGTCTATATTTTTGATAGTCCGTTCTTCCATTATCTTATCGTATTCAAACTCGTCAAGCTTACATCCTGGCATGTACGGCCCCTCCGTATTATGCAGTACCTTTCTCGCAATGGGATCGCGTATTTTTTCATAAGAATACAATAGATCCGAATCTATCGGTTCATCACTATCGGTTCTGTATTGAGAAGAGGTGTACGAGGTGTCGAAGCTAATATTGGAGGAGTTTACAGTGTCATCTAGGGTTGTGTGTGGTGTTGACGTAGATAAGATCGGATTCTTGCCCACATCTTCGACAAATGCGTTCGCGCGATCCTCGGTGAGTTGATCCTTAATCACCGTAAGTGGCTCAGGCACTTCGGGTGAACGCGGTGGTGTGTTCGCTTGTTCGGCACCATCCGAACTATCGTCCAACATGTGCACGGCATTCAGATCGACATCTTTTTCCAACGCCGCCATCAAGTTACCCGGGGTGAGTGACATAGCCATGGGATTATCCTTGACGACAACGTCGCTCTCCTCCTCGGATTCCGCGTCGTCTTGCGTCTTTTCGTTCCACTGACAAGAGATATCCGTCTGCCACTGCGAGGTAGACATGATATGCATCATAGATTCGTCGTCGCCCATTTCGGCCTTGGTCGACGAAATCTCGGATACGTCCAGATTATGCGAGCTATTATTCTGGAGATCTGCATTCTCCTCGTGCGGGAAGCACTTTTCGATCTCTTTCGGCCGATGACACACTTCCTTATCGAACTCGCTCTCGCTCGGTACAGGAATATCATCCATCGTCTGCGTGTGTTTTAGAGGAGAGCCGCTAATGGCAAAATCCTTCAAGCACTCTCTGTTGGACAATAACGGTGGTGATAACGGCACAAACTCGGCTGCCTCCGGATTCAATTGGAAATCCATGTCCTGTTCTTCTTTCTTCTCTTCCTGTAGATCTACGAAAGACTGCTCCGAATTGCTCGACTTCTTCTCGTCGCTTATCTGAAAACACAATGGTATTACTCGAAATACATCCTCTTGCACTGAATAAACACAAACATGTTTAACAATGAAGGCGAGAAAAGAGCGACAAGATAGACTTACGTCGATGCTGATAAGCTCAGGCGAGGAGATATCGTTCGCTGTTCCTTCGCATTTAATATCGTTTTCTGCTTTCGAAGACTGAATGACTTCCGAGCAAATTACCTCGACAGACTCGAGATTCTTTTGTGGAATGAGCGCCTCAATGTCTTTGAGGGATTCGTCTACGGTAGCAGCTGCCGCTGCGGCTGTTTTTTTCGGATCGGCACGATAATAATTCCACTCGTCCTCGGAATCCTCGCTGTCCGCTACATTATCCGCTACGATCAGTGCATGCTGAAGAGGTTCTGAAATAAACGCAAGAGAGATTAGAGCTGATATTGATGAATAAATTCGCTGTTATATCTTTTACATCTCTTGTTACTTTCATTTATCGTAGAAACCGCGATTATTTAATCGATGTATTACCATTTCTTGTGTACATCTCGTATCGTCTCGAATCGTATCAAATCAAGAAACAAAGTTCCACAATGTGATTTTTTATCGCAGAAAAGTAAATGCGCATGTACGAGTAAACGTGACACTGCATGCGCGTCTTTTCTCTAATAATTTATTGACTTTCTTGGGTTCTTACAAGTTCTCTCACATCTTGTTTTACAAAGATACCGACACTAAATAGTATCAAGTACATGAAATTACAATATTTTATTTTCAATCTTCATGTTTTTTTTTTAACTTTCTATGAACTTGTATTTCTTTTCTTAAACTCGTATAGTTATAGAGCGGAGAGTTTAGTACCGAGAATTGGATAAATTTCTAATAAGACACTTCGATACAAAATCGTATTTAAAATAGACATTACGCAATATAGACTTACTTATCACCCTTACATCAAATATTTTAATCATCACACGAATTATATTATCTTTTATTTCACGAACGCACAAATTATATTACCTTTTTATTTCACGATCATATAATCGTCGAGAATAATTCGTAAAATTTTTGATATTTTTAGTAGGAATTAAAAAAAGACGTTTTCTGATGAAAATTCTGATGGAAAACATAATTACGCTGAAATTAAGAATAAAAGGAAGTGTTAAAAATGGTGTACAGAAGCCGTAAAGAAGAATATTCCTCTTATTCCAGATAATTATCAGGTTATAATTTTCAAAAGAGACATGTTGTTTTCCGCATCCACATTGCGGAAGCTAATAATTGCACGCGACAATGAGATAAGATAATAGTGCCAGCATAATTCGTTCGATAATTCAGGGAGCATCGCGGATCACTCTCGAAAACCACATACGCTCGCACGCACTGTAATAACGAGTTCACGTAACGAGAGGACACGGTACGTACCTGAAAGGTGACCCGCGAGACGCGATGGAAATATCGAAGTAACTATCGATCGAGGAGTTTTCGGGAATCCGAAGACGGATATGAGGCTAACCCACGTTTCGAGGGGTCGATCCCTAGTTAATATTCCGCGCGATGTCCCGCGGGTCACTTCGCACGTTCGTACACGTCGATGCACGCACGTCGATGGGCGGTGGACGGCGACACGAGCGACAGCACCTTCTCTCGCGAAAGCCGGGGTTGGGCTCTAAAATGAAGAATATCTCTTCTCTCCTCGCAGGTGCGATCGCCCTCCGGTGACTAAGAGGAACTACGCCCGCCAAGAGATGCATTATCGATCTAGTCCAGAACCCCCGGAGCATTCTCCTCCTCCTCCTGTTTCTCCTTCTCCTCCCCGCCCCATCTGTACGCACCACCCACCTGTGCACCGCGACAGTTGGAGGAGAATCACCCCCTCGTCCGATTGGATGGACCTCGGAAATCGTCGAATCGATCGACCCGTTCGATACGTCTGTTACGGGGAATAATCGCGTGACGGAGGAATAACTACCCCTTTCGCAAGTGCATCTTTTCTTTCCACTTTTTGCACTTGATTTTCTGCGACAATGCAGTGGCGAGATAACAACAAAAGGCATCGACACTTCCATTCTGGCGCAAAGAATTTCGCCATGATATTACGGTCGCCCGTTACGTAAATGGACCTGAAAATCGACCTGATTGTCATACTCGATTCTTGAAAAGTCCTCAACTGCACTTCCTTAAGTCCTTTGTATTTGGCTTATGAAAAACTTGAGTAATTTTGTTCTAAAGTCAAGAATTTTCACAAGAGAAACGACAAACGCAACATATATTAATTACAAATAAAATCTTTTTTGTAGTATTATTATTACTATTATTATGTAATAAAAGGCAGTAAATTAACATAATTAATTTTGATTGAAGAATAACTAATATTAATTAATATAATGTAGTAGGTAATTTGGATTAATGAAATTTGGAATAATGAATTCGTATTCATTATGTAAACCTATCGGTTTGCAAATTTAAATAAACTGCCAAAAGATATCACTAATTAATATTGACCGTTCCTCATTTTGCATTGTGATCACATATTTATTAATATATTAAATTCATATAATAAATTTTATGAGCATTTCTTGAGATTTTTCCTTGTAAAAAAAATCATTTGACTATTTTCATCACACAAATATATAAAAAATATAATTAAAATTTACCGTCGTTCTATAAAAAAAATTAAGGCTAACGTGCAGAAATATTTTAAATTACGGATGAAAGGGCGAGTTCTCTCTGTAGAGATGCTCGCGCGAAAATGTCTCGCCACTGCCGCAGGATCAAAATAAAACAAGAGCAAACGATTAGAGAGAAGGGAAGTAGAAAAAAAAACGTAGAAAGGTGTAAAGAGCAGCTGATAGAGAAATATCCGTCTGCCCACCTGGCCGGGAAAATGTTGATGTGGAAACTGGTTAGGGGATACTAAAAAAAAAAAAAAAGCGCGGCCCACGCGGAGAGCGCTCGCTTAACAACCCGTTCTTAATTTCGTCCCAAGTCTCTTTGCCACCAACGCGAACTCGTGCCAACTCGCGAGATTCTCTCCCACGCGCTCGATCGCTTCTAACGCACTTAGAAATCCGCTTGCGGATTCGCCAAAGAGCGTCATATAATATCGCACGATTTCGGGTAATAATATCCCGCACAGTCACATATTCCGAGTCTTGGGACGTTGACCTTGCAAGAGCAAGAGCGAGAAACTCTCCGAGAGCTTCTCGATACGTAAAATCCGCAAGAGTCTCTTCCGCTTTGATATATCGCGCAAACCATCCTAAAAAAAAAAAAATTTCTAACTACTATTGGTTCTAATAAGTTTCGAAAGATACGCGTAGAGATCAATTCTTTTTATTAAATCGTTACACGTTTAAACCATCTGTCGATACAGAATAGAAAAATATAGCTTACAAACTAGTTTTCTAGTTGCTTTAATAACTTGGAAAAGTAGTAGTAGCTCTCGTAAATTACTACGTTAAGCTCTCTCCTCAGCCCACAGTCATAGAGAGTTAATTCTTGATCGGTTCTTGATTAACACACCTTTGTATCCCCCTGAACTGATCACGAAAGTGATCTTCGACATTCGAGTTACTTATTCCACTAAAAAGTATTATCGCAAAAATGATAAGAATGTTATTTCTTGTATGGATATAGATCTTGCGTGTAAAAAAAGATCTCTTTGGCACACGGACATATAAAACCGGATGGCGAGCGTTATAATCAATGTCATTCTAATGTCGTCGCATTTAACGCTTGTCGCAATATCGCGTTTCTCAGGAACATAAGAATTTAAGGCAATCCTCTCTAAATGAAGTAACCTTTCTAAAGTGCGCGAATGGAACTGTTGCGTTCCACGAGGCGTCACCATCGAAAAGACGTCGCGACGGACGGGACCAACGCCCGACGCGTCGCGTCGCGTCGCGCAATTTCAGTTCGTCGGAAAGCACACGATGGAATTCTCGTGTGGCATGCTCGCCATGCTCGCTAGGAGAGAGCGAAGGAGGAAAAAGGGCAGGCGTGCGTGTCCTCCTCCTCCTTTCTCCCGCGTATTTCTCTCTTTCATTTTCACAGAGCGAGTGCCGCGTCTCGGCGCGAGTCTCGCGAAGAGTAAGAGGGAGAGTTAATTTTAAACCAAAGTCACACAGGAGGACCACGCAGGGGCGGGCATGTGCGTGTACGTGTATTTATATGTGAGAAAAAGAGAAAGAAAGAGAGAGAAAGAGAGAGAGAGCCCAGTTTCTCTCGATTATATCCCGAGACGTAAGAGATTCGGAGTATTACGGAGCCGGCGGCGTATGTTTCCAAAAAGTACGGATATGTACGGGAATGTAGAACGGCGGGATATTTGTAGACAGGATATATTACGAGTCTCGAGGTTTCAGAGGATGGCAACGGAAATAATGACTTTTCAGGAAAACAAGATTGAGAAAGTTGGAAATTTACGATTATGACAAAAGTACGAATTTACTATAAAAAAAAACGCATGGAAATAGTAAAGAATTTGGACATTTACAGGATGGCTATTCAAGGGCAAGTGCAACATAAAGGAATTGCACCATTGATGTACATACTTTTGATCGCACTTTTCGAATAATCTTTCGCGCGAGGATGGAAGGAGAGGGAGGATCTTTAATTAACAATGTCCTGTCCATGCAATCACTTGCGGATCGACGACGAAATGATTGCCTGTAATGGCCTCGCTGATTTACATACGAAAACGTCGGGGCGCAGCGGCGCATATTTCACGCCCGAGAAACCAGACGCGCGGCCTAAAAAGGAATTGCACGAGTCGCGAGTGCGATAAATAAAACCGATCGCGAAAAGTAAATGGGATACCTGCGCTCGATCGACAGTTGTCGGTTACATTACGCAAAAGTTGCATCGAGACGAAATGAATCTCTGTGCACGTCACATACACACAAGGGGACGTTTCCTTTACGCTTCGAACAAACCTTCCAAAATACCTCATTCCCGAAAAGAAATTATCAGACCTTTCATATAGTTGCTTTAAAAGTCCTGATCCTTTAAGATAAAAGATAAATTCTTGAATTTTCGATACATTTCAAAAAGAATCTGATAAGCGTAACAAAATAGGAATTTGTAGGTAGAAGAGTTGTTCGCCTAATAATTTTTTTTTCCAAATTCTTAAATAGTCTTTCGAGAGTTCTAATGATTACTTTTAACACTGGAAGCAAAAAAGATAAACTTTCGACAATTTTTCGTTCCTCGGGACATTTTTCCAAGTACCCACGTGCAATTCTCCACGAATGTCCCCCTCTTGAAAAGAAGGAACTCATATGCCACCACTTTATATATAGAAAGTAGGAATTTTTTCGAAGCAAAAAGGCTTCTGCCCGACCCCTCTGATCTCGGCGGAAGGCAGCCGGAGCTTAACCTTGGGATTCGCGCGGAATATGGAAGACGG